CCTAACCCTAACCCTAACCCTAACCCTAACCCTAACCCTAACCCTAACCCTAACCCTAACCCTAACCCTAACCCTAACCCTAACCCTAACCCTAAATGCTTGCGAACCCCACGCTCAGTCGTATGCACTGCATGAGGCTTTCGCTGTGACTCAGACCACTCAGCCAAGTCAGGCGTTCTATTCATTGTCTTAAAAAGTTGGCTCTACGTGAGGGCTCGCGCGTATAGGCTGATCCAACCTCTCCTCCGGTCGCACATGGTGATGAGCGAGTTGAATAGAGATCCAGGTGAACATGCAGGTATGAGCCGATCACTAGATACGCGCTGCGTGCATACGACTATATGCTAATTTGCGAACGGGCGAAGTGCAAGACACCATCAGGGGTAGACTGCAAGGCTACGCACTTGCTAATGACTTGCTGACAGACCCCTTGCGCTGCATGATTCCTGTACATATGCATATGTGTACCATGATCTGCTGATGCATACAATTAGACACGATCGCATTCAGGGGCTGACGAGGGTGGACGCAACCAGACGCTACAGACAGTCGAAGACGATGACCTGCTTCCACATCTTGCGTGTTTCTTCCTGTAATGAGCTGAATGTCGCTTAGCATGCCATATAATTACTCGCATTGTATTTGTACCTTGTTATTTGTGTGGCACCACGTTTGCTAAAGATAATTCGCAGATACCTTGACGTAATCCGAGATGGTTTACTGATGGCCCATTGATGGCTTACGGAGACCGACATCGATCGAGCGACTCGAAGCGGCAAATCAATGTGAAAAACAACGATCAAGAGCGAGACTGTGCCAGAAAGTGCTGCCGGATTGTCTTAGCGATGGGCTGAATCGAGACAAAGATGTTCGAAAGCCATACTCCGAATGGGTTTGTTGAGTGATGATGTTACGACAGGATGTAAGTCAAGGGACAGCTGTGGCGCTGGCCTCGTTCTAGCTCTTTGTCTCTCTGCATTGGTCTGCGCAGCTATAACGGCCAGAATGCGTGCAGAGAAGGGCTGAACAAAATCACGCTACTCGAGTGCTAGGCGTCATTTAGCTGCATGAACTGTTTCCAGCCAGACCGCCACCCACTCACCCCGATATTATTCTGTGCGATCGTATGTGTACCTAGGTCATTGCATCGAGATGTGTATGTTAAAAGAGGCTTTCCTTCACGCTCATTTCGACGCTCAACTCTACTTCCACTCTCTTCCAAAAGCTCAACCCTACGCTCATCCATCCTCGCGTCTCGATCCCATTCCCAAACTAATCGCTGCTATTCAAGATATCCATCCGCGCTCCTTCCACTCATTTTGCTGGGGTTTGTTCTCGATAGAGCTGGATCGTATCCCTCACTCAGCTTAGCACAAGCGTTTCCAGAAACAACCATGATGCTTTGTACCTTTCTATTTAACCTCGCTATCTCGATCACCTTGGTTGGCTCAATCGCCTCAGTACCCCACACACCATCTAAGGATGACTCGGTCTTCTCCTTGGATGAGAGAGCGACTCCTCCTGTGTGTGGCAAGCAAAGTGGCGGGGCCTTGTGTCCATCTTCGATTGGCACGTGCTGCTCACAATATGGCTACTGCGGAAATACTGAAGCATACTGTGGACAGGGCTGCCAGTCTGGGTCCTGTCTGTACAGCACAGACAATACTTGTGGATCACGAAATGGAGGCAAGCTCTGCTCTACTGCACAAGGCATTTGTTGTTCTCAGTACGGCTACTGTGGAAATACTGAAGCATACTGTGGACAGAGCTGCCAGTCTGGGTCCTGTCTGTACAGCACAGACAATACTTGTGGATCACGAAATGGAGGCAAGCTGTGCTCTACCGAACAAGGCATTTGTTGTTCTCAGTACGGCTACTGCGGAAGTACTGGCGCATACTGTGGGAAAGGATGTCAATCAGGAGCTTGTGAAACGGAGAGAGTTCGATTTGCAGGTATCAACATCGCCGGCTGTGACTTTGGGATAGACACAAACGTGAGAACCTCTCCCTTATCTTGCGATCGCCTTCTAACCTACGCTTCAGGGCTACTCCGGAACGAGCAACTGTCCGTCATCTGTAGGAGCGACACAGATGCAGCACTTCGTTCAAAAGGATAATTTCAATATCTTCCGATTGCCTGTTGGCTGGCAATACCTTGTGCATTACGTCCCTGGTGGTACGTTAGATCCACGGTTTTTCGCGACCTATGACAATCTTGTCACGCAGTGCTTGGAAAGTGGGGCCTACTGCATTATCGACATTCACAACTACGCCCGATGGAATGGTAAGATCATCGGTCAAGGGGGCCCCTCCGATCAGCAATTTATCTCATTGTGGACTCAATTGGCGAAGCATTATGCTCCCCAGCAGAAAATCATCTTTGGCATTATGAACGAGCCTCACGATCTGGATATGACCAGCTGGGCTAGAACTGTCCAGGCTGTAGTAAAAGCAATTCGTGTAGCTGGTGCCACTAGCCAGATGATTCTTCTTCCTGGAAATGACTGGAGTGCTGCTAGCAGCTTCGTACAAGATTCTGCACCTGCCATGGCTACTGTGGCAGATACTGATGGCACTACTGCGAAACTTGTTTACGACATTCACCAGTACTATGACGGCAAAGACGGCAATGGTGGCGGAAACGAGGCAACTTGCACCACTGACCACGTCAGCAATGGGTTTTCACCACTCGCAGACTATCTAAGGTCACACAAACGGCAAGCCTTATTGAGCGAGACTGGAGGAGGGAATACAGGCAGTTGTTCGCAGTACATTTGCAGTGCTCTCGATTTCCTCAATGCGAATTCAGATGTCTTCCTTGGATGGGTAGGGTGGGCTGCAGGGAGTTTCGATGAGAGCTACCTTGCAAATGAGAGCCCTCAGGGAGACACTGACACTTCGCTAGTCAGATTGTGCCTTGCACCGAAGTTCAATCCATAATTTCGCAAATTGGTCGAGTCGATTCGTTGATGGATGCCATAGAACACGATGGCAAGCAGTTTTAACAGACCATATAGCAGTTGGACATACCTATAAACCTTGAGATCTTCGACCCTCTCTACTCCGATCAGGGCAAGTACCCTCTAATCATGTTACGGAGCGCGAAGCGCGAAGTTCGTACGGAAGACACCGTTCTGGCACCCTCACTTAGACAAGAAACCCGCCGCTGATCCACGTTCTTTGGTTGTTGGCTTCCAAGGATGATACAATACTTTGACTGGTAGAGAGAGACGTTTGTTCAAGGACACAGGCGCTTGTGATGATGATGATGATCCATGGTGAGTTCTTTGATCCTACCCGGCGCCGCTTGCGATAACGTCCGGCTGCATTCAGTACGTCCTCTTTGTAACGCTTGGTGACTGTACTTGTAGATGATACATCTACTCACGTTTACGATCACGAATACACAAAGCACATTTATAGGTGTGGCGCAAAAACGACAGACGTAGGCCAAAATGGGTTCTGCAAATTCCCAGCTCCACGAATATCGTGACGGCTGTGCGCGTCTCGGCACAGTGTGACGTACGTTGAAGCATTCTGTCGTGTAAATAGGTGGTCACAGCGCCATTTTCTTACAAATACTGACACTTGCAGACGGCTTGCAACAGCTACGTCCCGGCTAATGCTAGTAGCCCCTGAGGACATGCAGGGATAAGGGAGCCAGGATCATCGAGGTAGTCGATTAAAGCTCTGAGTCGCAAAATGTACTTCAATGATAAAGAAATGCTTGTTTGATTGACGCGGCCGCGAATAGTAGTGTTCACTTCGTCTTCGATAACCTAACCATTACTTGCTATCTGGAAATTCCGGGTCGCCTTGGAGAAAAAGAATGTGTCTTTAGAGACTCCGCGCGGAACTCGATTTAGCTAGGACAACGCCTTAGAAAGAAGCTCCACGAGTCATTATTTAGCGGACGTGATCGAGTCTGCATCGTCGACATCTATAGAGCTAGTAAACACTTAGAATATTTTATGCCTTATAGATAAAGAATATCTCGATTCCATGTCTAGTCCTCCCTAGAGGTTTAATACCTTAATCTTTAATGCACGCGGTTAGTTATACCCTACTAAAACTCCGCCGATCGTAGAGCTATAGTAAGGACCTTCTATATAGGAGCTGACACGGTCGTGGCGAGTTTAACAGTCAATTTGATACACAAGCTATCGTACGGTAGAAGTAAGAGGAGCGCGAGCTCCGAGTCGCGGATAAGCTACGTGGGAGCTTTGGCCACGCTGGAGATAAGGTAGGCTTATCTCCGCCAGTCCTAAAGGTCTACGGTTCGACTCGGAGCGTAGGCAGAACCGTAACATTACCCCCCCTTCCAAAAGACGAGCTCCGGCGAGTCTGAATCGTTCAAAAGTGCAATAAAAGCTGGAATACATAACAATTGTTATGTTTGCTTTGTTTGCATTCCCTTTTCTTTGCTCCCGGCGCTCACATGGCCTAGGGAGGCGTGTTTACAACACCCTCCTCACTCTCTCTGTCCTTCCCTGGCTCTCTAATGGCCAGAAGAGGCGCTTGTTCCAATGGCCACAAGCCCTCTTCACTCGATGTCAGTCCATGGCGCTCTATGGCCTCTAGAGTTCCATGGTTATCCGTCCGGTGTGGTCCGAGAAGGTCTGCGCGGTGCCTCCGTTCAGTTCACGTGGGTGCAACGCATGGCCTTCATGATGGGAGCAACGTGTGCTCAACCTCAGGTGCGCTGGCCAGTAAGACCGTAGGAGATCAATCCGGCGCCTTGAAGTCTTTCTAGGGACCTGGGCTGCGATGCGTCGCATGGAACTCTGCAACTAATTCTTTACAGCCGTCGACGAGGTCGTACCAGGGGCGCCATTCCGGCTGGTAGCCCACGTACTGGACTAAGTATTGTAGCTGCTTCCCACGGCCCCTAGCCTTCTCCCTAGAGCCTAGTACCTTCTCGACTTCCTAGCTCTTCTCATCGGTTTCTGACATCGTCACCGGCGGTGGTGCGGACGGTGTTTGGTTGGGAAAGGGATCGGTGGCTACCGGTGACAAGAGGGAGACGTGGAAGACTCGGGTGCTGAGGTTCCAGCTCTTCGGTACATTGATTTCGTATGCGCGAGGGTTCTTGTCGCCGATAGGTCGGAGGACGTTGTAGGGACCATAGCGCTTGTCATCGAGCTTCTTCGCCGGTCTTATGAGGTTCTTGAGGTGTCGTGAATCGAGCCAGACGAGATCGCCGACACGGAAGGCAGGCGCCTCGGCGGCTGGTTTCTCTGTTCGCGAGGCGTGAATTAATTCAAGTTCTTGATTAAGGTTGTTGTGAAGTTGTCGCATGTTTTGGACGAATTCTTGTGCGTCTTGTTTGGCCAACCTGACTGGCGGCGCTTCGGCCTTTGCCTTATCTCCGTGTGACACTGTACTGACAGTGAAGGCAGCATTCCTTCCGCAGTCGGCCATTATGGGGGACATGCCGAGTTCTTCGATGTCGCGGTTGTTGAGGACGAGCTCGGCAATCGGAAGCCAGGTGATCCAGTCGTCCTATGCGAGGTTGACATATGCGCGAAGATACTGCTTAAGCTGTTGGTTGGTATTCTCGGCCTGGCCGTCTGTTTGAGGGTGCTAGCTGGTAGACATGGACTGGTTGAGATGCAGAAGTCTTGCCAACTCTCTGAAGAAGTAGGAGTCCTATTGTGTGCCGCGGTCGGTCACCAGCTTAGTGGGCAGGCCGTGGTGACGGACAACCTGGAGGAAGGCATGTGCGGTATCCTACGTCGATATGCCCTTTATGGGTATAAAGCACTTGCGCTTCGTAAACCGGTCCGTTGCAGTCATAATGTTCGTGTAGGAGACACCGTTGCGGTCCTTGCTAGGAGGAAGTTCCATAATGAAGTCTACTAACCAGCTCTTGCCTGCTCCGGTTGGCGTCTGTAAGGGCTTGGGCGCTCCGTGTCGCGGAAGCCGGGAGGCCTTGGTTCTGTAGCAGGTATGACAATTCTTTACGTATCTCTTGACGTCAGTAGTCATGCCTGGCTAGACGTAACTTCGTGAGAGTAGGTGGTAGGTGCCGTGTCTCCCTGGATGGCCTGCTAGGGCTGTGTCGTGGTGCTCCCTTAGCGCGTGTGCCCGAAGTGCTTCTGGAACATAAATCTTGTCGTCTACGCGAACTAGGCCGTTAGCGCTACGGTCGCAATCAGACAATGAGACGGGTACCCCTTTAAGGGTGCCCGGCAAGAATGGTTGCAGCTTCTAGCTTGAGGTTAACCAAGCCGTCTCGATGGCCTTAACTAGGTCATCTTTGCCCTGTTCTTCTAGAAGGTACGACGTCCAGTCTTCGTCTGGTGAAAGGACTTCCGTCAGAGAGATGTCGCAGGCTGCTGCCATTATTATGTCTTCCTATGAGGGCATTCGCGGGCTCAGATCCATTCCCGCGATGTCTGCTGCAATTGAAGGACGGTCTTCCTAGATGTTGTGTTTCTGAATTAGCACTTGGTGTCTGCTAAGCTCTTGATCATCGTCAGCGTCCCGAGGGAAGTCGGCTAAGCGCCTGGACAAGGCGTCCGGCTTGATGGCCAACTTTCTAGGACGGTAGGTGAGCTTCCAGTTGAAGCCACTTATGAATTCAGACCATCTCAGCTGGCGTCGGGTCAAGCGCTGTTTAGTCATGAAGTATTCTAAAGCCTTATGGTCCGACAGGACTTGTACCGGCGTATCCGGTGAAGCGCTCATCAATTCCGGTTCCCATTCCTCGAAGGCATGGATGACCGCCAGCATTTCCTTGTTGTGAATTTGGTAGTTACACTCGGCTGGGTTCATCTTCTTAGACATGTATGCAACCGGCCTTAGGAGCTTGCCTTGCCTAGAGGGATGGTCGTGCTATTGAGAGAGGACTGCTGCGGTAACGTAGTCTGACGCGTCGGTCTTAAGAACGACCTCTTTGTCGAAGTCGAAGTGTGCCAGTATCGGGGCTTTAGTGAACTTGCGCTTAAGGGTCTTGAACGCCGCTAAGGCCTAGTCGTTTAAGGACAAGGGCCCTTTCCTCCCAAGTTGGTCCTTCTGCCCTTTGGTCATGTCGGTGAGAGGGCGTGCCACTTCGGAGTAGTCGCCAATAAAGCGCCTATAAAAGTTTACAAACCTAAGAAACCCTTAAATATCCTTTAAGTTCCTAGGGGTTGGCCATTCTTGCATGGCCTCTACTTTCGCCGGATCCATAGACAAGCCGTCGGTGGACACGATCAGCCCGAGGTATTTGGTGGAGGTCACCTCGAATTCGGATTTGTCGATGTCGGCGTACAGCTTGGCCTGGCGTAAACGTTCTAACACCTTTTTGACATGTTCCCTATGCTCCTGGAGGGTTTTACTGAAAATCAGGATGTCATCCAAATAGCCCGTACAGAAGTCATCCAAGTAGTCGTGCAAGGTAGCGTTAATATATGACTAGAACGTGCTAGGGGCGTTGTAGAGCCCGAAAGGCATCACTAAGTACTCGTATTGGCCGTAACGGGTGTTGAAGGCAGTTTTCTACTCGTCTCCTTGTTTGATGCGCATATTGTTAAAAGCGGCTATGATATCGAATTTGGTGAAATACCTGGCCTTAGCCAGCTTATCCAGGGTTTCTCGAATCAAGGGAATCGGGTAGCGATTCTTAATAGTGAGCTCATTAAGTCCTCGATAATCCACATAAAAGCGCAGTCCTCCGCCTGGTTTGCGAACGAGCAAAACCGGGGCAGTAGCAGGCGAGGATGACGGTCTAATGAATCCCTTAGCTAGGTTTTCGTCCAGATACTTCTTAGTCGCAAGCAGTTTATCCTTGGACATACCCCGAGGGCGGAAATACGGTGGTTAAGCTCCTGGCTGGAGGTCAATAGAGTGGTCCTGGGGCCGGTGTTCAGGTAGGGTGTCCGCCGCTTGCCGTAAGAAGACGTCTAAATAGGCGGCGTACTCTACGGGCAATTTGTCTAAGGGATCGGTGTGCGTCTTGTTTATGAACTTGTCGATATCAGATTGTGATATAGTAGTAATATCAAAGTATTCTGCGAGGCTCTCTTGTGAGAGGTTTGACACGTCAACCAAAGGGTCAGTCTTAGTAGCTTCCCGCCATGTGCCGTCCTCGCTTATGATGCCATAAGCGTGAGTGGTCTTAACGATTTGTTGTTCGTACCCGCTGACGTACGCGAAGGCGTAAGCTTCCTGTCCCTTAGAGAGCAGCTCCAAGTATTCTTTAGCAGACACCTCGGCAATCGAGAAGTCGGATTCATTTGAAGTATTAGCGCAAGGGACCACAAGGTTGCGTCCACCTTCGAGACAATACTCCCGGCAATGCTAGGAGCTGAAAGACATAGTCCTAGTAGACCAGTCTACAGCGGCGTTGTGCTTTTCCATCCAGGGAACGCCTAGGATCATGTCTCGGCGACTAGTATCGAAAACATAGCAATCCACCTGCTCTCGATGGTGGCCGACTGTCATCTAGACGCGAGCAACTTCGGTGATAGGGGTCTGGTGTATTTGCCCGTTGGCAAGGCGGCCACGACGGGGTTTCTTCAAAGTAACGGTAGTAAAGAGGTGCGCATAAGAGGGGTGAATGAAGGAGGCATTAGCTCCAGGATCATATAAGACTTGAGAGGTGGTCAACGAGGGAGTATCATTCTTGTGGCTAGAAAGACCGCAGTGTAGTAGGAACGGCCTACCGCTGAGCTGGTCTTCATCTACTGGTACATTTAGATCTCCCGTAGGTGTTTTCCTCCTTCTCTTCTTAGATCCTTCATCACTCTCAGATGAGGGCTCCTGTTGGCGACTTTTAACAGGGCCTAAGCTTTTCCCTACTCGGCGGGAGTGTCGACAGGGTCGGCGGCGTCAGTGGTGGAGGTCTCCGCAGCGTTGATATTGACTGGCTTGCTAGGAGGATCAGGGCAGTTCTGCCAGGTGTGGCCATGAGCTCTGCAGTTGAAGCACTTGCCTTCCTTACGCAGGCCGGCTTAGACTTCCTTCGAAAGGCGAGGGACCTTCTTGTCGGGCTTGCCATCTCCAGAGCCAGATCCAGAGCCAGAGCCAGAGCCAGAGCCAGAGCCCTTGCCTTTGTCGTCCTTGCGACCGCCCTTGCCACCACGGTCGTTGGCATCACCGTTGCGGCGGAGAGTGTCGTTTCTGGCGAACGAGGCGTCTAGGTCGTAGGCGCGGTCAAGCATGTCGCGGAGACGGGGATAACGAGTGCCGTCATCGATCTTTGAACTATACCTGTTGTTCAACTTGTCTTTGATCTGTTGGGCCTGCAGCTCCTCGGGCATGGGGACGTAGGCCATCTTCTCCTCGAACTTGGCGTAGAAGTCTGCGAAGGTCTCGTTCTTGCCCTGCCTAAGCTGCATGAGGTCGGTGTAGGCAGTAGCGCGGAGGTGGCGATCGCCGTACCACTTAGAGAGTTGGTTAAGACACTCTTCGGCATCGCGGAAGACGTTGTCACCAGCCAAGCCTGTGCCTGGAATGCGGACCTAAAGGCGCTTAAACGGGCCCTTCTGGGTTCTCGAGAGGATGTATTGTAGGGCCACAGCGGGAGGTTTGCCATCAAATTCACCCGAGTTGGTGACTTTCATTCTCATCTTGATCTCCCATTCGCTAAAGTCGACCTTGCCGTCGTTGGCGAACTCGGGGGGATCCCTAATGCGAATGCCGTGTAACAAGGTTGTGGCGTTAGTGGCCATAGTGGGCACCTTAGACGGTCTCGGGCCTGGCGAGTGGTTACGGCGGTCGCGGCGGCGGGAGTGGCGACGAGAGCGAGAGCGAGAGCGAGAGGACGAGGAGGAGCTAGATGGTGGTCCTCTAGGCGAGTGGGCAGTGCGTTAAGAGCGCTAGACAGGACGACCTCTGTCATCGGCCGTTTGTTTCTGGGCCTGCTTCTAAAGTTGAAGGTTCTGCTCGTTTAAGGCCCGGACTCGGTCCTCCTGGACTTTGAGCCGGCCTTTAAGGTCATCGGAGCGACGGTTGTAGGCGTCCTTCCATTGGGTGATTCGTTCGTCGCGTCTTTCGATCTTGCCATTAAGCTCTGCAATGTTTTCCTGGGCCGTTTCCAAATCGTAGCGATATTCGTCAGTCTGAGAGAGAAAGCCTTCGGCGCGAGAAGTGACATTATCGTGGTCGGCGCGCAGCTTCTCCAGGTCGGAGCGGAGTTGGCGGCTCAAATTCTCCTGGTTCTGATGTTCGTTCTAGAGAGCGACGACAGCAGCATGCCAGCCTGCGGGGTTGGCGGTTACTTGGGCGACGAAGTCATCTTCGCCGGATGTGCTGAAGTCGAGGTCTGATTCTCGGTGCAGGAGTTGTTCGAGGAATCGGTTTAGGTCAACACTCTGACCGTAGGTGATGTCGTATAGGGTGTGGCCGAGGCGGCTGTCGCCAGACGAGGCGGAGCGATTACGAGAGCGTCGGCTGGGAGGAATGTCACGAGAAACATTCTCAATGGAATCGCGGCGGTTGGTATTTCTGCTGGTTGTGTCAACATTGTCGTAGATGCTGTCACCGAGCTCGTCGGCGTCGGCGTCATAGGTCTTCGTACTGGTGACGGGGGTCTTACGGAACACGGTCTGAGACTGGGACTAGGTTCCGCCCAAAGTAGGGGTGCTCTGATTAGAGTGGCAAGGGATACGAGGGCGCGCCTGGAACGTGGTTGTAGGAGCGCCGCGAGACTGGGAACGAGTACGTCCGTTCATGACAGACTGCTCGGATATCTGGTGGTCGGCGGTGGCGCGGCCGCGGCCGAGAGGGTTCTTGCGAACCAGCTGTTCGCGGTTGATCAAGCTGGATCTATCGCTGTTGATCGGAGGGGGGTCTTAGGTTGCCTCGCCTTACGTGGCGGTGTTGTAGGTGCTCATCTTAAGCCAAGTTAACAAGCTCTTGCTGGTCGAAGTTGGGGTATTGCGCGCGGCGCGTATCAATTCATAGGCCTGGCCTGTAAGGGGTTGGTACGATAGAATGACACGGTCGTGGCGAGTTTAACAGTCAATTTGATACACAAGCTATCGTACGGTAGAAGTAAGAGGAGCGCGAGCTCCGAGTCGCGGATAAGCTGCGTGGGAGCTTTGGCCACGCTGGAGATAAGGTAGGCTTATCTCCGCCAGTCCTAAAGGTCTACGGTTCGACTCGGAGCGTAGGCAGAACCGTAACAGGAGCGACATAGTCTAGCTACGCCTCACCCTTCTTCTTTACCTCCTATAAGTTTTGTTTTAGAGTCGCTATATCCGTTAGGACTATGCTACGCTTTAATATAAGGGTAGTAGCTTTTAATCTAGTAGGTCTCTTAAGGAAATCGGTAGCACATTTAGAAGCTATAAGTGCCTTTATAACGCCTTAGATACGGATCTAGCGACCTAGTTACAATTAGTAGAAAGTTAATACGATAGTAGGATTATTAATAATCTATTTACCCTTAGAACTATCTACTTTAATAGTAAAATGCTAGCCGTAGTAATTAACGTTCTTAAGGATAATAACTTAAGCGTTAGAATAGCTATACTTATTAACTATTGAAAGAGTCATTATATATAGTTCTTTAACATTATTCTTAATTATAAGAATAATGACGAAATAGGCGGAAACTTAACTAACTACGTACTGTTTAGAGTTTAGCACTAGCAGATTACAAATCATTATACCTAACACGATACTATGACCGAATTCTCTAAGGGTTATTCCCTAAGCGCGAAGCTTATTTCCGCCACTACGTCGGATGTCTTACTAATAGCCCGCATACAGAAATGACACTCGTACGTGCTATTTTTGTCTATAAAAGTCGCATAGCCGCCAGCCGAGATGCGCCGTTTGGCCTTAATCCTCGAAGGTGAACAAAAAGGTAATATACATGTGAGCAATTGAGTCGACGCTCTAGTTCCTATTCGAATCATCGCCGGTCTCGGTAAAGTTAGCCGATCACGCTGCAGTCCAATTCGCATGGCTTCGAAAACAAGATTGCATCACCCTACAAGTCCGCCATGACTTGGTTTCGCGATGTTGACTTTTCGGTAAGCTCACATGCTTCGATCATTGATTCGTGGGTGTACCCTCCGTACAGCTTCAGGCTCCGCGATAGCCAAGCGACCGGATGTATCGTTGTGAACCATCGCTCCATACTTGACTTCTCTTTGACCGACTTCTCTGATAAGCTCTTTGACACCAGCATTGGCGACAGCGGGATGATCGAGGATGGGAGCGCGGAAAGCGTTGGCGATCTCGAAAGGTCCGAGAGTGACGTCGCGGCCCAGCTGCCAGTAACCCCAGTAACTGGGAAGGACGCAGAGGACACAGAAGAGAATTGATGCTAGAGCCCCATACATGAAGCCATGATTCGTCTTGTAGTGTATGCTTTGGCTGTACTCTTTGGCGAACATCTGGGTTAGATTCGCGGAAAAATCGTTGTTCGGATTATCGAAGAAGGGATCGACAGACAACGTGAACATCAACAGATTTATGCGACGTAAGATGTGGTCTAGGGGATCTTCGTACTGGTAACCACAACCAGCAGCAGAAGTGTTATATGGGGCTTTGAATGGCTGCACACTGGCCAAGCCGGTTTGGTTGAGGACGAAGCCACCATGTATACCATCGAAATGCATAGTGCTTGAACCTTTCAAGTAACGATCGAAGACTGAAGCCAGGCCACCTATCACGGTCAAGGAACTTCCGGCCAGGGTTAAATCTTCGAGAATATCTTTGTAGGCGACGAGAGAGTAGTTGTGGAGCTGATGCGCACTGCGATCGTACGCTGAGACATTCGTAGAGAGGGAGCGGTCGGCGTCGTCTCGGAAGCTCGTCGCGCCTCCATCCTCCGTATAATAGAGTTGTCCGCCATAGGAAGTGGTATTGTAACCAAGGTACATATTGGCGACAGTGGTTTTCGCGGAGGTGTGGGTACTGTCCTCTATGGTCACAGGGTACCGAATAATTGCAGGTCGGAGTGTGCAACTGTGTCGAATGAGTGTTCCTGGACAGCTACTGGGATCGCCTTCTTTGGCTGTGGTGTCGGTGAACGTAATGTTCATCACGATTCTCGAGTAGTCGCCATTTCCGTAGAGAGTTCCGAAAGTAACATCGAAGAGGGCACGCTCGGCGGTAACATTGACAGTCGAAGTGTCATTGGCAAGAGCTACCTCAATGGCCTCTTGCGCCACAACTGAACCATAGTCGATCGCAATCTCCTCGGTCTGACAATCGACACCAAAGCCGGTGCCGCTTACATCAAGCAGACATATCCCGTTACAACCAACGTAGCTGTTTTGGAAGATGCCCGCATTTCGCGACCAGACGTCCACCTCTGTGCCGAACCAGTCGATCAAGTCCCCGACTTCGCCGGATCTGTCATTGATGTTCGCTGTGAAGGGCATTGTATCGTTCACGAACATGTCAGCCCTGATTGAACGGACCGGGTCATCGCCGAGTCGCGTGCCTGCAGCCTTCTGTAACAGGATGCCATCGATGATGGTAAGCTTCGCAGCGAGGGCCGCTAGGGCGATGAAGTTGAAGTATTTGCCGCAGAGCACAACGTCCTTGATACTCGAGCTGAATTGCCAGGACCGGTGGAGTTCCTTGATGGTAGCACCCTTGAGCGCCTTCCGCCACCAGGTGATGGCGACGCCGTTTGCAATTGCAACTCCAAAGCAGATGTTCGCAATGCCATTGAATGCAGACAGCAGAACGCTGGGTCCGACTTTCTCTGCCCAGTGCCTTTGCCTCTTCCCATCGGAGAAAAGGAGGACAATGAGCGAACTGTTTGCACAGAGAATGATGGTGAACAGTGCGATAAAACCTGTCCAAGGGAATCGAGCTTTCAGTCCAGTCCTCCATTGAGGATCACCGAAGGCGCGCTCTTCACTGTCGAGCGAAACTGTATGGACTTGTGGTGTTTCCTTGCTGGTAGACATGGTCGGAAAACAGGAGAAGTGATGGGACGTTCAATGCCGATGCGTGAGCAATGCGTTGATTTATCTTCAGATCAGACGAACACAGTCAAGCACATGTAGCGTAGAAGCTGCGTCAAGCACCTAAGGGCCATTTTCCAAATCCTGTCACGCGTGGTACAGCTGCGTCGAAGGTCGTTCGAGCCGTTGTCGATAACTCTCGAGCTAAGGTAGGGTTCAGTTCAAGCATGCATGCGGGTCGTGGTCAGTTTCGACATGTTGCAAGGGTGTGTGGAAGCATAAATGAAGGCGGCAAGGAACAGATCTCGCAAGGTTGTTCGAAGGAAACAAGCGTCGGACAGGCCGAGTATAGTGCATATGCTGGAAGTCAGAGAGTATCTAGATCCACGGGCCATGTTCAGCTGCGCCCAGAGAAGTTTCAGGAAGCTGAAACGCACAAGAAAGTGTAAGCGTGGCGCAAAGGCTGGAGCACAGTCAAGTGTGGCGCATTGGCCAAGCGCTTGGCGATTACGGAACCCGCACCTCCCACATCTGATTTCTTTTCCTTTTGACCGCAGAACCATCGGCGCCCTGGCGGTCTGAGAACATCTACCCGCGGCAGTTTGTGGAGGCAGTTTGCTTCTCAGGTAGACTCCCCCACGCGATGATCGCAAATGCAGAAAGAAGCTCCTCCGAGCTTGCGTTTCCTAGCGAAGCTCGGGCACCTTTGGACCTGAGCCGCACTCGGCTCCCCACCTCTGGGGATCTCGACATCTTTCATGTGCTGCCCTGCTCCAGACTTCCATCTTGCATGAACTGCGCGCATCACGAGCAGTCCATCCCATGCAGTCTTGAGTAGCTGGAGCAGCTGGAGCAGCTGAAGCGTACGGTAAGCCGATGGTTCCAGGGACAAGCGGGAGATGAACATCAGCGTTCTCTCGCTCCGCTCTGTGGTGGCATGCCCAAATACGATCGCCATCAGTCGCCTGCCTATCCGACTAGAGAACACCTCCACATGCTGCCAGGACATGCTCGCAACTAAGTCGGCCGTTCCGAGCGCACCTCATGGATGCGGAATAGTCCTCCGCTCAAGACACTTTTGTTGCTTGCATGCAGCTTTTCAGCTTGCGACAAGTATGCTCAGGATTTAAGCATATCGCTGGAGGCATGACCGAAGCTCTAATCGGAGCTGACCGATTCGGTCAGGTACGTACCACGTAGCTCACATCGGCTGGCAAGTTTGGGAAAAGCACCATCTAAACTTGTTGATTGGTCTGGTGCTCAATCGTCTCGCATGGTCACCACGTGAGCTCAGCTCTAGCTGAGGTACATGCAGGAGAATGATACTTGACACACTTCGCTTGCATATCATTGACACTGCTTGCACATAGAAGAGAAGAACAAATCATATCGAGATCAGGGCTGTCCAGCTGGAATGGGAAGAATGTTGTCCAAGTACACATCTGGATCAATCTCCTCTTCGAGTAAGAGCTGACACACGACCAGAGACGGCAAGTGCTATCTGAAAGCGTGAAGAGTGGAGGGCGCCAGACACAAATTTTAAGCGTCCTGAAGTTATATTCTCTGCTCTCCCATCATCCTGGTCATATCGGCACAGCCCACTATTCCGTCTTAATTCTTGCTTCTCATTATCAAGACGATCCGCTTCCACGCGGGCCTCTCTCTCTCTCTTCCTTATCTGTTGGTAGAACCGTCAACATGATGGCCAGCGACGAAGCGATCGTACCTGTCGAAGTACTGACATATGGCGCTACCGACAACAAGCCCAAACATGACGTAACCGTCACCACTACCGCCATCGACTTACCAGATTCTCCTAAGCAACGTCCAACGATCAAGCTCCAGGGCCGCCGTAGGACGACCTCATCTTTAGACCAGTTGGAGTCACCTGCCTCTCATGCCAAGAGTACAGACGACACCCTTACAAGGATCGGCAACCTGATCAAAAAGGTTCACAGCTTTTCTATCATCACGCGATATGCGCTGTACGTTTTGCCAATCGCAACGCTTCTGGTCATCCCTCTTGCATTATTCGACACAATCTACAAACATGCAAGAGCAGGCAATATACGATTCCTTGGACTGTTCATCTGGCTGGAAACCGTGTGGATCGGCTTGTGGGTCTGCAAATTACTAGCCAAAGCATTGCCTGTCGTCTTCCAAGCTGCATGTGGTCTCGTCAGTACGGGTATCAGAAAGTACTCGCTCGTGCTCTTGGCCCTCGAGATTCCTCTGAGCTTGTTCTTCTCCTCCATCGTCAATTGGGCGACAGTACCTGTGATCTGCTCTTTCGATCAAGGCCACTGCGGCGACAAGTGGGTGGTTACACTTCATACTGTCTGTCTTGCCACCATCGCAGTTGCTGCTGTCTTCTTGGCCGAGAAGTTCTTTGTACAGCTTATCAGCATCAACTACCACCGTAAACAATACGATAGAAAGATCAAGGACTCGAAGAGACTCATCAGCATTCTGGACATGATGTACGACGCCTCGCGACAGCTCTCTGCACCATTCTCGCGCGAGTTTGCGGACCTTGACTACGACATCTTCGATCCTGATACTTCGGGCATCAAGAAGAAGCTCGGTCAAGCAGGTATCCGCACCACCGTCATCAACGATATTGGTCGTGCAAGAGACAAGGTCACATCCGCTTTCGGCAACATCGCATCCGAGATCTCAGGCAAGACTCTGTTCAATCCCAACTCAGCACATTCGATCGTTATCGGAGCACTTGAGACTCGTCGCGCGTCGAAAGCTCTGGCACGTCGTCTTTGGCTGAGTTTTGTTCCAGAAGGTAAAGACGTGCTTCTCGTGCAGGATATCCGCGACGTACTTGGACCCAGTCAAGCTGAAGAGGCTGATGAGATCTTCAATGCTCTTGACAAAGATTGCAACGGAGATGTTAGTTTGGACGAAATGACCATGCTTGTCATGGAGGTCGGCCTGGAACGCAAGAACAGAGCTTCGAGTATGCATGATATCAGTCAAGCCATCGAGGTACTTGACCGTATGCTTGTTGTTGTTGTATTCGTCGCCATCGCATTCATCTACGCTGCGTTCTTTAGCAAGACCCTCGCCACCAAGACCGCTCAACTCTGGTCTGTTCTGACTGGTCTCGCATTCGCTATCGGTGGTACAGTTACGGAGTTTCTGGGTTGCTGCATCTTCCTCTTCGTGAAGCATCCCTGTGATGTCGGCGATCGCGTCGACATTGACAAGACTGAGCTGATCGTTGAACATATCTCACTAATGTACAGTGTGTTCCGTCGTGTGGACAACGACAAGACCGTTCAGATTTCTCACGCAGTCGCCAACACTCTCTGGATTGAGAACGTATCTCGCAGCAAAGCCATGAAAGAGCGTATCACCCTCGGCGTCTCTGCAGCAACTACATCTGCTGACATCAAGGCTCTGCGTGTCGAGCTGGAAGAGTTTGTTCAGGCCTCAGACAACGCGCGAGACTATCAATCAGGCATTGATGTCGAGGTCGTCGGTATCGGCAACCTGGATCATCTCGATCTTATGATTGAGATCAGACACAAGGTAAGTGCACAATTGCTATTGAGTTCCAAGATTACCACTGATTTCTGACCAGTCGAATTTCTCGAACGAGTCATTGCGGGCATCTCGCAGGAACAAGTTCATGATTGCCCTACTGAGTGCTGTCAAGAATGCGGGTATTGAAGCTCCGTGAAGTATGGCAGCTTTGCATTTGCTGTATACATCTCATCCACCCATCTATGTTGCCGTGTTCCATAAGATTATTTGCCTGACCCTCCTCGCACTCAGAAATCCTCGAGGCGTGATTTCTGGTTAAAGTCATATGAGTTGCCATATCCGCGACTAAGATACCCATCCAAGATCGTTTGTTCGGACACGAGGGTTCGCTGAATCTGTAGATCAGCTCCTTCGTGATCCAACAGAGGTGTTAGATCTTCAGAAAATTCGACGGTCATCGCATTACTACACAACGCGTCAGTATTGCTGTTGGAAAGGGGCGACTTTGGTCGCAATAGCACATACCGATACCAAGGGGCGAAATGGATCATGGCAAGCATGACCCTTACATCGTTGCTGAAGTTCGGCTTTCCGGCATGCCAAAGTCTCAGGTCGCGAATCACAATCGAGCCTTTCTTTACGTACGGTTGGCATGGTGCTCGCTCTTGTCTGCGTTGCTCGAGCAAATGTTTGGCAATCCGATCGCTGGCTCTATCGCCTTGTTTGCCTTCGTGTGCCGCTAGAGACGTGGTGTTATGAGTGCCTAGCCATACTTCTGTACTGCCATTCTCAACGTCCATGTCAATCAGAGGAACGTTGACGACCACAGCAAAGGGAGATTCAGGATGATCGAAGTCCGCATCAGTGTGGACCGGCTGTGACTGCGGCTCGATTCCATTCATAGGCGGAAGTGCACTGTTGCCAGACACGAATGTCAAGCGAGGCTTTGGACCGAGCACGGAAGTGGTGACCTGAGTGGCGAGAGGATTGAGAAAGATAGAAGGGTAACAATGAGCTCGAGTCATTGGAGGATCTTGCTGGATGTTGCTGGTCGGTTGTTAGATGTTAGCTTCTACCTAATTGGAAGCAGCAAACCCTTTGTTGTAATTGAACGGTCCATCATCACCAAGAGCTTGAAGCTTGTACGCATCTCTGATCATGGTACTGTTGAGAGCGTCGAGCTTTGAGTGCTCAATTACATCTTGCAGTACGACGAGACCGTCACGGTGCAATGCACGAGTTGCCATCTCAAGGTTGTGCCAGCCCAACTTCCTTGCCGCGATCTCTTGTGAGGTGATATGAACAGTGACAGGTGATGAGGACAAGTTGCGGCGCGAAGAAGACTTTCCACCAAAACGCATGTAGCGGGTCGTGGTACCTGGTCTGGCTTTTGGTATGTATTTCGACAACATCTTTGATGATTCGTGTTAGGGAGGATAACCAGGGGATGAAGGATGGTTGAGCTGAAGCCTTTGGCGACTAAAGAAATGTATGGTACCCAAGCATTCTTATAGGCAATTCTGTTCATGTGTCCCTGTAAAGAGTGCATACGAACGTTTTCCAACGCTAGCCTCAGAGGTAAGCGTGGATTCGGGCGGCGAGATCTCCACTGTGAACGTTTCGCTTACGCTAACTCAATGTGGAAGTGGATGTCGAAGCACTAATCCGATCGGCTCCAGAATGCTTCCAGGTCATCCACAATTCGATGGACGGGCCAGCCAATCTCTAGACTACGACCAAGTAGAAGACCCCTAAGACTTTCTCGTTGGAGGGCAGACCTGAGATATCTTCCGCCTGCGACAGGTCACAGATTAGCTTTCACCTTCCATCCGGGACGTTGACTTACAGAATGCCATGGGCCCAAAAGCATTGACTCTTGCAGCTTTGTTCTCATTCGTGTACGCTATGCCGCACAGTCTTTCGACAAGTGTGTGATCGAGCTCCATGCTTGGATTGGGAAGCGACAACAATGTCTTGGCCGTCAGATAGTACTGTACAGCGGCAACTACATGAGATTTAGCAGATGGGCTACAACGTCAAGGTTTGGAACTCACTATGCCATGGTCGTAGATACCACTCGGATGGGAATCGGTTTCCTGCTCTCGGTGCTCGCGAGTATAGCATGTAGCTGGGCGGTAGGTTTTCATACCAGAAATTGAGATTATCGTTCAACTCCATCCACTCGTCATCGAATCGACCAGGGCTCGTGGCATCTCCAGCAAAGCAATGATTGATCACACGCGCCAATATGTAAGTGATGGTGTTGGCGTGCATGCTTTCTGGTTCCGACATTGCAGCTGTGACGTCGATATGAAGATTTATACGTACTGGCCGTTGACATTCCAAAGCAACCGTGATCTCTTCCCACAGGTAGTTCCATGCTCCTGCCTGGAGTAAGCCTACCGTGCTCATATCAATCTCCTCGTTTGAGGAGAATCGGCAAGCGCCCAAGAGGTGCCGCTGCTCTTGCCTAGAGTCCGCTATCGCACGGTCAGATGGAGTCCCAATGCGCCGGATCAAGGTGGTATACTTTTCAGGATTTCATAAGAGCGTAACAGACAAGCTGCCACCAAGTAGTCTTCTCGCATACTTGGGTCGAATTTGCCGAGTCCGCTGAGTAGTCCCTTGACACAGGCGCTGTGATACAACATACTGCAGGTTTCGTACGTCTGATCGTGCAATGATTTGTGTTGAGCTGAAAAGGCAATGATGGCGTTGAACACAACAGGACAATCCAGAGCCCGGACCGGAACCAGAGACTCGAATGGGCGATTGTGCTCACAAAGATCATACCAAGCCGCAAGGTGCTCAATGTAATGATGATAGAGGCCAGCAATCGTTTCATTGAGGAGATTTACTGAGGGGCTCGCTGGATCTGGGATCTGCATTCGCGTTCAAGTCTCCAGCTTGTTGTGCCAATTGGCTCGAGGCAGGATCGGGCGTGTACACAACAAATTTCCGCTCCGGTTCTAATCTGTCGCACTGTATATGCCGCTTCGTGCACATTCGACATGCTGGACGGCCGCCATCACCTAGAAAGCTGAGCGACAGCACTGACATGATGTATCAAGTCAAGCTCACATTTGATCCTCCGCCGCCGGCATGTAGTGCTTTGGTCTGTTAGTCGTCCACACGTTCATCGTTCGAGCGGTTCTGTTCATACCAGGCTGGATCGTCGTTAGCTGGGGCCGATGACTTTTAGAATACACGTGAAATCTGGAGGTACGGCTCGCAGCATAGCCGAAGGGTGCAACAAGCGTCGGCTGGTTGTTGATTGACAAACGTGCTGACCCGCCAGAAGGTCTTCGAGATTCTCAGGGATGATGATAGCAACAGATTACTATCCCACGGCAACATGACGATGCCAAGCATACTGCGGGGTGCTCAAATTGGGTATCCACTTCCGGATTAAGGGTAAGAGAATGGAACGTCGCGAAGGAATCGCGTTTACGAAACTTCTATCCACTTACTATAACGTCACACAATCTTACAACGATCTTTAAACAACTTTACGGCGCATGTCACCGTCGTCTTGTGGGACCTGTGGATTGTCTGTCTCATATGCCATGTTCGCCATATTGTTACTCGCTACGCCGGCTCTTGCGCTGCCCGCGCGTTTCTCGTCACATATAGAACAACAGACGCCAATCGAAGTGCAGGACCACTCGCAGGGCTACAAATTCGACCCGTTGCTCCACCTTCCGGGCACGTCGCCATACTTTGACGCAATTGGATTTGGACTCGAGCACACAGCGCCGGTTGGCTGCAATGTCACCGCAGCGTCGTACATCGTGAGGCACGGAGCCATCTACGCAGTAAGTCCATGGTCAAAGACCGTGGCACCACTCAACTGACACTTGCTATCTAGAACGATGACGAATACGAAGAATACATCAAGCCGTTCCTCTTCAAACTCGAGAAGCACAGAGACGGCTGGTCAGGGCCGCTCGCATTCATGGGCAAATGGGAATCGCCCATCCTCGAAGACAAACTCGAAGAACTCACACCCTCGGGCGCACGCGACGCCGAGAAAGTTGGAAAACATCTCGTCGAACGATACCCAGACTTGGCCCCGTACACAACGAGGATATTGGCAGACAAGAAGAGCAGGACTTTTGACACGGCTACAAATTTCACCAAAGGCTTCCCGCACCACGAGAACATCGAGGTTGTGCGTATCTTTGAAAACGACAATGGATCCATGGAGTCACTTGTCCCGCACAAGCTGTGCGATAATTTCAACAAGGAACCTGGTACAAAAGAGCAGTACAGGTTCATCAAGATGTACGGCTCCAGAGTATCTGTCCGTCTTGCGCCTTTCACACCTTTCAAGCTCAGTCCCAAGGATGTTGTAGGCATGCAATCAATCTGCGGCTACGAAAGCGCCATCCTCGGCAAGCGCTCCCCGATGTGCGCCGTCTTCACCGACGCTGAATGGATGGCCTACGAATATCACTGGGATCTCAAGTATGCTCACATGGTCGGGCCCTTGAATCCTTTGTCTCCCTACCTCGGCTTCCCTTGGTTGGAAGCTCAATCCCAGCTCTTCGCTCATATCGACAAGCATGACACACCTAGCGGTGGCTGGCCTGATAAACAACGCTTTTTCCTCTCCTTCACCCACCGCGAAGTCCCTCCTTTCATCGCTACCGCTATCGGTCTCTTTGGTTCTTCGTCCGATGCCGGTGAGCAGTTTCCCACGGATCACATCAACTGGACCCGGGCCTGGCGCATGTCCGACTTGATCCCCTTCCTTGGTCACGTTGGCATGGAAAAGATGACCTGTGACCGTGGTGGCGCTGTCGATGCAGACGGCAACTCCGGTCCGGGAGATTACGTGCGATTTATCGCAAACACAGCGCCTAGACCTATCCCCCAGTGTCAGAGTGGGCCTGGTGCGAGTTGCCCATTCGACGAGTTCAGAGAGTTTATTGGTGAGGGAGCAAAGAAGCACAAGGATTTCCACAAGCTGTGCGATAAGAAGGGAAAGAAGCATGATGAATAGATCCGACAGGTTACACGTGGGACATCTATTTGCATGTATATGGGCACTCGACGCCTGTTGAACGTATGTTGTACTCTGTTTAAATCATTGTATACGAGTTCCGTGCAGTCGTGATCATCTCCAATAACGTGGCATAGCACTTCCCACGATGAGAACATTAATGTTTCGTGTTTTCTGTTTTCTGTGGTATTGTACTCGATAACAACAGTCCTTCATAACCCATCCTATTCACGGTGCACAGTGCTTAGGATTTCGCTACTTCTCAACCAGGCGTCCGCCCTTATAGCCACGACAGGCCCGGCACCGGCCCTGTTTGGCTGATGAATTGTCCACTCGGTCCCTGCCTTGCTAGAGATGAGACACATAACGGTGTATTTATTCATTTCTGAACGCGCTCTGCACTCTTTCAGCACGATACCCCGTATCACATTGAGCCTGCCAAGGCTATGGGTGCGTTAAACTGGATCGAGTACACGCTTGGTCGCCTGCTATACAATGTTCGTGGCCGTGATTCTGCACTATTTACTAACGGGCCGGCTTGCAAAGACATCGCGCCAACAATCAGATTACTTGCACCCGAATGCGGTGCTACTGGATCGCAAATGCTCAAATACGACACGGGGTTGGGCGGTGACGTCTTTCCCGAGCTAGAATGGACTGCGCCAGAGGGCGTCAAAGGATTCGTCCTAGTCGTGCAGAATCCTGATATTCTGCTCCCATTTGTCGCAACCCATGGACTTTTCTACGCCAGACCTGGACCCGTCACCTCGATCAAAGCTGCTGACGTGCAATACAAGAACGAACAGGGGAGCCAGCATGAGCTGATCAGACCATTCCTTCTGTGAATGAATACTCTAGACACAATTTACAGCGGACTGAAGCCATTTCTTAGCCATGGTCCCTATTGCTACTTCTTCCAGATCGTGGCTCTCAGCGAGCCACTGGATCCCAGAACACTCGGCAAACGACCTTCTCTAAGCGCCATCTCGAAGGCAATCAATGGCAAAGCTTCGGACCGGGCATCGTGGATCGGTACTTGAGAGCATAAGTGGGAGGAACTCGTCGCCTAAATAAGCAACTCGAGCAAATGAGGGAAGCTTTGAAGGATGCTGGATCATACGGGATAGGAAACATACGAGGCGGTGTCATCTTTGTCGGTACTCATGCGATGTAAGGCTCGAATGGTCCTTCTGGCACCCCTACCACGGAACGTTGTGGCATCACGATGGAATGAACTCATCTCGTTCCATCCGTCATCACTACCCCAAGTATTGAGTACCTGGGCGTATTCGATCTACTTCCCAGTTTTCGAACTATGTTACGACAGCGGAGAGCAGTGAACGCGCCAGGCTAATCTACTGATTGATACCTGCATATACCTCCACTATATGCCATGATGCAGTAAGTGGCTAAGTTTAGGAACAGTATGTTGTGCTGCTATATTAGAGTCGCGAGGGGATTGGAAGCTCGACCCTGAGAAAATCAGACGGCGGGAAGTTAGAGCTTTTGGTAAGAGCGGCATAGTATCTGCGCGTTCAATCTATATCTTATGTAAACGCCTCTTCCTGGTCTCGATGTACACAAGCACATATGCGTTTTCATGGTAGTCATCGATGTGTTTAAGAAGCATTTCCGTTCTCGCCCGCCATGTCCGCTCTTCGCGCCATTTCGGTCTGCTCCCGTTGCTTCTTTTCCTGCGTTGCCCGGCGCCATCTGGGTCTATTGATCATAATGTACCACAGTATAGGGCTGACCAAGATGGTCAAACCAGCAAAGAATGTTGTCGTCCAGCCTACACCCACTTTCCCAACCATGGGAGAAACAGTAAAAGTGACCGCTGCTCCCAACCAGCAACGGCACATGTTGTGGGCCGCCGTGGCCGCTCCAGCTCTGCCCGGAGACACATCGACAAGGAGCACCGCAACCGTGTTCAACGAAGCGCTGATGCAAAAGCCGATAACGAAGAGGCAGATTAAAGGTCCGGCCAAGTTCACCTTGTACTCTATCATCCAGCCAAAGCCAACGATGCATAGTGACCCAAGTGCAAGTGTCGGGAGTGCCACCTCTAGGCGAGCTCTCTCGATAGGAAAATTACTCAGATCGACATGGCGATAGAACTCTAGCGATATGCCCAGCTTTTTGGCGTAATGCTGATATCTGGAGTCGATGATACGGCCACGGACAACTGCGGCAAGCATACTTCCCACACTGAGGGGCAGATAACACAGAGAGATTTGCAGTTCGTTGAAGTCGTACACTGAGCCGAACTGGTCGGGAATCAAGACGGTCGTTGCGTATAGGCCGCAACACACAATGGTAATGTACCAAAGAGCGAAGCCTGCTTCCTTCATGAAGATGATCCTGACAGTCTTGAGGGGTTTCAGGAAGCGCATCTTGCGAATTTTGGCCAGTGTCTCGCGTTTCTCTTCAGACACCGCTTCTCCTGCGCTGACCAATCGACGTTCCAGTAGTCTGTTGGTGTAGCAGCAATACCAAACTGATGTCGGCACAGATCCGTTGCCGACTACCTTCCTGCAAGCCTCGAGGAGGAAGCAGAGCAAGGGGACGAAAATCACGCCAGCGACTATCAACAAGAACCAGAAGATAGCATGCCAGCCTAGATACTGTGCAAGGAGTCCACTAACCACGAGGCCCAACGCAGGACCTGCTTGGGGCGCAATTGACATTTAGGACACGTGAATCCCGCGCTCCTACGAAGTCACCAGGTCGGCCACAACTGCGTTCACAGGGGCTACCGTCCCGCTACTCCCAGCACTCTGAATACAGCGGAGGACCATCAAGGCGGGGTAGCTGTTCTGCATACCCAATCCGTAGTGGCCGCGATGTATATCACAAAACAGATGACATACGAGGGTCTTCGAACCGCCTCATTGGAAGATTCGCCGACAAACGCGGGAGCAAGACCTTGCATGATCTAGACTGATGTTAGCCTATGGAAAGACTGTGAGCGTTGAGAGATTCTAAGGGAAGAAAAGGACTTGCCATGTAAGTGGTGACAGTCAAGGTGACCAGCGTGTAAGAGACATGCAAACCACAAGCGATGGTGTCGAGTGCGGACAGGGAGATGGAGCCAGATACTGGGGGAAATAAAGAACAGATACCCGCACAAAGGAAGATCAGCCTCTTCTCACTGTGATTGGAGGTCGAATGAGACCTGTCGTCCTGCGCTTCGCTCAAGCCGATGGCATCGCTGGTGTATTAGTTTGGCAGCTTGGACCCTGCCTCTGGAGTTTCTGTTCTGTCGGAAGACGATGAGAGATCGAGCTCGCCGACAGATCTACGAGTCTCTAGGTCCTCTGTAGATGTTGCGGCCAGAATGCTCGAAGAAACTGGAGACTGGGCACGACCATTTTGTTCGCGTTGCTTCGCTGAGCGCGGGTGCGATGCCAATTTGAACCCTGATATAGGTCGCGATATGCAGCTTAAAGAATTATCCATCCGTCGCACAAAACCTTGTTGTTAACGCTGTCAACGACCTCGAGAGTGATTGCCAGCCTGCCAGTGCTGGAGGGTCTGCTACGCTAACCTAGGAAACCCAAGCAAAGCAAAGCGTGACAACACGTGGCCAACGGCGTATACCATTGCAAATGATGGACCGCCACAGTACAGACAACAAGTTCGAGACGCTCTTCCTGCAGGATCCTCTTGGACTTTGCATCTTCTGAGACTCAAACCAATATGGTTCAAGTTTCGGTCTCTATCTGCGAACACTTGTTCCATATCTTCAAATCCTCCCAAGATATCAGCTACAGTTACACTAAAACAGTGATAAATAGCGAAACAACCACCATTCTGGTGGGTTGCGAGGAGAAACAGACTGAAGACCTCTACTAGTAACCCTCAATTCACAGTCTACCACGGTGGCTACTCCGACGGCCCTGATGGCATTGACATCTACATCGCAGAGGTGAGATCTGATGGTAAAGCTCAAGGAACCTACCAGCGCGTCTGTGTGAACTAGACAACTTTCCATCGATGTTGCAGCTTGGGAAGGGTTCGTAATGCGAAGGGTCTACTTTTTTCGAGGTGGAGGAATCAGCTACATCACAATCATGGAGTGGTTTCGTCTTTCTAGTCATCTCTACCAACTTTGTCATTCATGTATGTCTTTGCCGAGCCCACTTGGAAGCATAGTCATTTAAAAGAAGACCATGTCTCTCCGCCATGTTTTACCAGTGTCTTCCACCTACTTTATTTTGTCATTTTCTTCCATTCTAGACGTCTCAACTCCAGGGCACTAAAGAAGGTGTGAGGAAAGGTCTCATGATCTTTCGTGTTCGGATTTGGCGATCGCTTGTCACGACGAAGAGTGAATGACTTGCGGTGGAGCGGCATCGCTTGATTAGGCGAAGCGCCTGTCACGGGCATTGCTAAACGGCATCCAACCCCAGACTCTTTGGCTTGCTAACTTCTGCATCTGTGAGATGGCTGACGTCGTGCAGCCCATGCTTCATATACGCAGTAATAAAAGCATTGTTCGCATCTATAGCAAATTCAGAAAATGCAATGGCTTTCGACTCAGTGCTGACTTTGGAGCAACTCACATCATCCCATGTTCTTTAGCGGTGTACGTCGCCGATCTTCATGCTTCATCTGCCGATGTTGGAAGCATCGATCTGCTGTTTTGTTTCTATACACACGACCTGTTGCAATTAAGTTTTGTCGGCAGTTCTCTTCGTGAACAATTTGTGCCACACCTTGTCCTTGAACCTCTGGTCGCCTTGACTGTCCTACATGCTGTCGCCTACGAGTAGCCCGTTTCTGGAATTCAAATAAGTTTCTAGATGTTCATGTCAACTGCTGCCAGAACTTTGATCGTTTTAAAGTTCGACGCCTGGCCCAAAATGTCTTGCCGACTCTCTGAATCACTCACGTGGAGTTCGTTTCAGATGCTTATCACAACTGCCGCACCATCTTAATGGCCCAATATCTGGCACCTTCCTTGATACGTCTTGCCGACAGGGATCGCTTTGTTGAGAATGAAGATCATGGTGTATCTGTAGTAACCGTGGCTATCCTGCTAACCGAGGCAATGACTTTGTAGTCCTCGGACATTTAACCCCATGGGGTCTCCAGGTGTTTTGACACGACCCCAGATCAATCACAGACATAACCCAGTATTGGGGAGACTATCAGTTCAGACTTACTGTCTACTACTCCTTCCATCCGAGATCCGCTTGGGACTTGTGCCCCCGACGATGTCCGAGCCCAGCAAGACCGAAATGACACACATCGAAAGAGTCGAGGAGGCCGAGAGCCAAGAGGTACGGCCAAAAGTCGCTTTGTCGACCATACTGGCAGTGTTTGTAAGTCACTTGTAAGGGTCTTACATCACGATCTCGCTGACTGTCGACAGTTCCTAGGTCTTTCATTTGTTCCCGCCATTGCGTCAGGCTTTGTAATGCCTTCACAGATCATCGCCCAGATTGGTATGTCACTGGACGGTCTTGAGGACATTGCATGGATCCCTGGCGGTTGGTCCATCGGCGCTGCTGTCTCTTTCTCTATCGCTGGTGCGCTAAGTGATATCTTTGGACGTCGGTGGGTTGTCATGTTTGGTCAAATCCTTGTCCTCGTTGGCGCTGTAGGTTTACGTTATCCTCACACGTCTGACATGACTACTGATCGTATACTAGATCGTCTCTGCTACAGCGAGCACAGTTCGCATTGTCGCTGCAGGCAGTTCTATGATCGGCTTCGGTGCTGGTTGTATCCTGGTCTCATACGCAGGTATCGCAGAGTTGCTCCCCAATAAATACCGGTATGACCCCCTGCTAGCGATGGACACCAAGTAAGCGCATACTGACATGAGACAGTGGTATAGGACTAGCATGGACAGAGTTCTGTATCACCATCCCATGGGGCGGTGAGTATCCTAATCTGCGTTTCTTTCTCCATCGCTAATGATTGTACAGTGCTTTCCGGTTATATCGCAACTCAGCTCTATCTCAAGTCCACCTGGAGATGGTGTTACTACATCAGCATTATCTACGCTGGGCTCGTGCTCATCGGCACCTACTTCTCCTACTACCCGCCATCTCACCCACAAGGAGACTATGAAAGATCCAGATGGCAGGAATTCAAAGAGCTGGATTTTGTGGGTCTCGGGCTCTTCACTGCCGGTCTTGTTGTTTTCCTGGTCGGTATTGCATACCTCGGTCGTACCACCTACTCTGTGCCAATGGTTGCAGCAACCATCACGGTTGGTGGCACTGTCTTCATCTCGGCATTTGTCTACGACTTCACCATACCGAAGAAGCCCATCTTTCCTCTCCATCTTTTCCGTATGTTTGGCGAGTTTTCGGTCTATCTGATCATTCTATTCGTCTGCGGAATGATCTGGCAATCCATGATCGCGTTGTCTAGCCAGGGTGCTCTCTACATGTTCACCAACAATATCACCGAGATTGGTATCATCTCCATTCCGGGAAACGTCTCTGGTGTCATCGGAGGTTGGATCTTGCCGAGTTTAATCCATAAGATCAAGCATGTGCGATACCAGGTATTCGCCGCTATCCTTGTCCAGACAATCTTCACCGCGTCTTATGCTGCCGTGGTTCCCAACAACAAGATCGGCTACATGATTCTCCCCATGTTTGGACAGAGCGCCTTCACTTGGATGACCATACTTTCATTGGTGGCATCTGGACTATTCGTCCCACCTGAGGAGTTGGGAACCACCGCTGGGCTGCTTGGAACATTCCGCAGCGCAGGAGGATCTGTTGGAAATGCCGTCTTCTCCACCATCCTCGCTTCGAATCTGAACAAGCACTTGGCCAAGAACATTGCGGGCGCTGCTATAGGCTCCGGCTTCAACCCAGCAGATCTCGGCAAGCTCATTCCCGCCGTCATCCAGAACGCAGTTGGGGTTCCAGGAGTCCTGAAGAGCGTCCCCGGGATCACTACAGCAGTCGAAGAAGCCACCAGCGCTGCATTCAAGAACACCTACGCAGACGCCTTCCAGCTGGTGTATTACTGTACCATCCCATTCGGTGTCGTCGCTTTGGTCGCGGCTTACTTCGTTCGCGATCCTGGTCATCTAATGAATAATCACGTTGCTGTGCACCAGGAGAAGATGGTACTCGAGCACAGGAAGCAGAAAGAGATCGGTGAGGATGGTATCAAGGTATCCGCATGAGCAAGTCAGAGTTGACCGAGGGAAGATGATCTGATAGGACTTCAGGCGTTTTTTGGCGAGTGATGTTGCGAAATTCCTGTGGCCTCAAGTTTTTGTAGCTCTCATTCCTTCACCAAGGATATATGCAGTTTCAGTTTGGTACATGACTTAGACATGGCTGTGCCATGGTAGCTGCCAAGTGATTAGCATGATGGAATGTATCATGTTCATTTCCGAGATTACCTGAGCTGCGTCTACGATAACTCACAAGGTCACTTTGAAGCATGATTTTGGGCTCACCTGAACCGTATGTCATTCCACTGACACAGCAGGTTCTTGATACTGAGCCCTGTGAGTACGCGGCAAATTGTCCTTTCAATCTACCAATTATGTCTGCAGATCTCACGTCAAAAGCATTTCCAAACAATATGAACAAGCTGGAACCACAACGCTGCTTTCAAAGACGTTCCATATCGTCAAGCGACAGGGTTTGTCGCTGCTTCATCATTTAGTAACAGATCCTACGGGTGTTATTTCGGCTTATTGGCGGAGTGGACACATTGACCGATCATCCCCGCCGGCCAAGTGTTTTCCGAGCCAGGGTTCTTCCCTGCGTGTTTGCCGAAAGAGACATTTTGGCTGGTGACATGCAGCTCACCGCCTCTTGCACTTATACCAACCATCATGAGTTGCAATAATGTCAGGCACGCGCACTCGCTCAGGCTGCATGATATGTCGACGCCGCAAGAAGAGGTGTGACGAGCTCAAGCCACTTTGCCGCCGGTGTCAAGTGTCTGGCGCGACCTGCGTCTATGCCACTACTGGCAGTCCTTTCGGCCAGCGATACCTCATCTCATTAGCATCGGATCATTACATTGTACCAAACACTTCTTTCGGAAGACAATCTCTGAACATCCATCCAGGCGACGTCGCCCGCCTCTGTCTGTCGTATTATGCACAAACTGCACAGTCTCACAACTTGGATCCCAGTATTCATGGTGAGCTGACGAGGCCGTTATCTGGCAGCGATGCTTTCATGGATATCTCGGAAAGACGTTTACTTCAATATTGTATGTTTTTTGAACGTGCACTTATCTTCCAAGGCTCACATCCTCAACAGAGTCTGAGATCGTCAGCGCAAGCAGTGTATATGTGAATACGGAGGAATATCCGTCCCGTTCATTGATCATGCCTTTCGCTTATACCCGACGTGGACCTCTACTTTTCACCGTGTTAGCCTTGAGCGCAGCTGAGATGGCAAGTTCAGGCTGTGGGTCGCTCTCTGGCGTTATGTCTAGTGCAGCAGTCTACTACAACAACGCAATTGCTCTGCTGCATCGGTCACTGCAATCCGCATGTGATGCTGAGGAAAATCTCCTGACATGCATACTTCTGTCTTCTTTCGAAATTCCTCCTGGATCTCGTCCAGCATGGCTGCAACATCTCACTGGGGCTGTAGCTATCTATGATCATTTCGCATCATCCATCAGCCGGGACTCTGCCATATTCGCCTATCAATACTTTAGCTCCAGGTGGATACTTCTCGAAACGACTATGCCGCCAGGAATTTACCCATGGGAAGAAGTCATGGCAGAACATTCGGTGACTTTCCAGCTTCTCCAAAATCTGAATACAATGCTAGAGCAAATCGTCGATACTATTCCCCCGTCGCCATGCAGAATATTGACAACAATGTCGGTTGCTCATTAGGATACATTCAGCTGATCAATAGAATATCGATCCTATCGGCTATGAAGTTTCACTGTCAGAGTGACGCTGCTGCTACAAACGAGACACATCGGCTATACTCTACGACAGCGATGGCTTTCGACGATGCCTTGAAGGAGATGGTGTTTATTACCAGGTCCAAAGACACTCTAGTACATATTACTTCCCTAACACCTCCATGACAGTCTCGTAAGTCTCTATAACCTTATACAATGCCGGCTTCTACTTAAAGTCTACAGCCCTCACTTCATCATGGTCCAAAAGTTCCTCCCCTCGGGTCCTCTGAAGTCAACAATGGATTACGAAATTTACCGCAACAACATTCATCCTCCGAAGACTTCGAGCTCATTTCCTCAATGTATGCCCGCGTCATGGCAGAGGATAAAGTTCTTTGCGACCAAGCCCAGAAGAACCTGAACATTGGTGTTTTTGTTAATGGTAAAATCCATTCTGAATATGAGAAGGCGCCGCTGTTCTTCCGACAGACTGTCAGGGAGATTGTGACTGCACATTGGAAGAGGGCACAAGCGGAGGGAAAGCAGGTCTGGCCGGCGAAAAGAGCGGTAGAAGACCCATTCAGTCAGGAAGATGTCAAGATTTGCGAGGGTATAAGCTGCAGTGGGCAGAAGGATGCGATGTTATGGTAATAATGATGATGGTGTTTCAGAAGGGCTGAGGCGCTTCGTTGTCTATTGTTTCATAGCGCGCACAGGAACTCATATCACTATGGCACTTCACTCACGCCAGAAACAGGTGTCAAAATTGCTTCTAGATTTTCTCACCCAGAATCGAGTGTTGAGCTTTGAAGCTTGAAAATCCTCTTGTAAAAGTGTATGATAGTCAGCTCTAGAGTCTTGATTTTGTTTCGCTTGATTGAAACTGCTGTCACTCGATATCCTAGAAAAAGTGGCAATACAAACCTTGAGATGCATCGCGGTCCGTAATTGTCGCGGCTGTCGGGAAAGCTGTCGGGCGTCACTTCGACCGACAAGATCACCGGCGGACGATCTCTTGCAAGCGCTTGCCATTCATTTCAGACTAAAAGGGTGGATCTGATCGTGGCATTCAAGATATCCAGACAAAGTCACCATTTGCGTTTCGTTCCTGCACAATTCACAGACATGATTTCAGCTGCCACATCTTCGTCCAGCGAGTCAGAGGATGAAAGATCCGCTGAGTCGACGCGCTCCGATTCTAGCACACTGAGCAGCGACACTTCTGTTTCCGACAGCGCAATCTCCTCGCGCGGGAAAGAGGCAACGTTGTCTCCCTTGAGCTCGACTTTATCTGGACTGTTCTCCGAGAATGTCATTGCCAAGATACTACACACGGCCACATGGGCATTGCAAGACAATGTGAGTGTGGGCATTGCAAATAGCGCAATGTGTGATTCTGACGTATAGCAGACACCCCCAGTCTACTACCCCGAATATGTTCCCCAGACTCCAGACGCCGCCGGGCGGTACGAACTGAGGGAAAAGGATTTTTGGACTTGCGGGTTCTTCCCTGGTTGCATCTACTCGATCATCGAACGTCTCGTCAAACATTCCCAAGCTACTGATGGAATCGAGCAAACGCAAGAACTGCTCGCGAAGCTTCTCGACCTCGGCGCCGCTTGGTCTGACCCTTTGCACGAATTCGCATTCCGTACAGATACACACGACATGTCCTTCATGATCCAACCGAGCATGCGTGTGAGATGGGAGGTGCTGGGTGACCATAAAGCCTTGGATTCTATCGTGACGGCTGCTCGCTCACTCTTCACGAGATACAATGCAAATGTCGGCGCTGTTCGTGCATGGGATGTGCTGACCCAGAATGGCGTCACAATCACCGACATGAACGAGAACTTTTTGATTATCATCGACTCCATGTGCAATCTAGATCTGCTGTTCTACGCAGCAGCTCATACTGGTCAGAAGGAACTTGCTGATGCTGCCATGACTCACGCCAAAACCCTGATCAACACGTTGCTGAGACCAGAAGGCAAGACAAAGGAGGGCCGTTCCATGTACAGCACATTCCACGTCGCCAACTTTGATCCCCGAGATGGCACAATCAAGCAGAAGATGACCGGACAGGGATACAACGCATCTTCGACTTGGGCGCGAGGTCAGTCTTGGGCGATTCTGGGCTACTCGCAAACATACATGTGGACCAAGGATCCCGAGTTCCTCGACGCCGCGTGTGGCGTAGCAGAATACTTTTGGCACCGTTTGCTGGCGTCTCCAGCATGTGTCGAGCAGGCCGACGCTGACGACTCGAGAGCCAAAGGCAGATATGTGCCGCTCTGGGACTTTGATGCTCCTGTGGATGAGTTCGCACCTCTGAGGGATTCTTCGGCCGGTGTCATTGCTGCCAATGGGTTGCTGATCCTATCGCAAGCATTGGCAGGCTCGGGTGATGCCGAATCTAGTGCTAGATACCTCAACATGGCAACAACCATCATGGAAGACACGCTGCGCTTCTCGCTTGCGCCCGAGAAGGCTAGATTGACCTGGTCGGATGGCAATGGCCCAACAGGCACAGATGTCTATCCCGATGCACATTTCGAGGCGATCCTCAAGAATGCGACAGCGAATCACAACGCCAAGGATTTCAAGCGATACTGGGATCATGGATTAGTATATGGTGACTATTACTTCCTCGAGTTCGGCAACAGGTTAATCAAGATGGGACTTGCATGAGACAATGTCAATCCATAAGCATTATTGAAGTATAGTCTTCTTGAATCCGAACTTTGACTCACCCAAGTCCCCACTCCTCAGGATAGTTTGCACCTGGATGGAGACTTTGAGCTGTGAATAGTGATTCATCGAAACTGATGATCCGGTCCAACTGCATAAAATCCTGGTCAGCCAGCAGGGTGGAGATAGCAGCCAGCCCGTCTTGTGGACTCTGGCCGACGGGCACAGAGAGTGTGGTGTAGCCAGATGGAGAACGGTGCGCTGCGCTGCTAGCTAGATGAAGGGCATCCGTGCCCACTGCTTGGTAAGGCGAAGTTCCCATAACGCTTGCCGCGGGTCTGCCATGGCTATCATCCACGGAAGCATACTGACCAGTCCCCTCGGTCGACAATGATCGGGAGAAAGCATCCAGAGCATAGCCCCGAGTGTCCACGCAGAACTTGACATCAGCGATAGACTTCTCATAGAGGCTGCGCAGCTGTGCACAGTACCTACCCGCGAGAGACGTGCTGGATCTTGATCGGAAGATAGGGCCAGCCCATCGTATCGACATCTCGTCCAAACTGCTGAGCAAAGCCCAAAAGTCGGGCGCAAGCTCTGTTTGGTAGTACTTCCAATGCACTGGATAGTCTGTCAGAAGGCGTCGAAGTGACAAGATCGAACGAGACTGACCTAGAAGCGCGCGGGCGCTGATGTATATGCAAAACGAAAACTGGCTGTTGACCAGACTATCTGAGGATGTATGCTTGAGATATTTTTGTGCGATGGTAGCGGTTTCTGTAGCTGCCGATTGACATGTCTCGGCGCTGTGCATGCTCGGCATCTTGACGGTGCGCGACAAATCTCGGGATGGATAAGCAATTTGCTGATGTAGTAGGATCATGGATGTGTTATGAGTGATATGCGCGAGGGTAAGATTCGGATCCATCTCGACACGAGTAGGCTCTCGAGACACATTGGAGTCCTTCCACTTCTGAGGTAAAAACATCTTCCAGCTTCGTTGAGTTAGCGTTATTCTCTAGGTCGGTGTAATCGCACATACTGTACCAGACGCAGATCTAGTTCCTTGAACCTCATCAACCAGTCACTGACTTGTATGCGATCCGTAAAATCGATTTCCTGCCTGAGGAAGTATGATGTGATGCGACTCAAGGACTCGGTCGCCTCTATACAGTATGCATAAGCTCCGACAGTAGACATGTCGATGTGGGCTCCGTTCTTCTGACCACCAGTTGCTGTGTGTGGAGTCGAAAGCGGACCATCCTTCCCTGATTGAGGGCTCGGGTAATGTTCAGGGAAAAACGTTATCGAGTTCCCGATCCGAGCTGCTGATCTGTCCCAGATACCAAAGAATGGGGTGGTGACGGGTTGCTGCTTGTGCCACAAACCACCATCAGCTGGCAGTCTTCTGTGTACGTCATGTGAAGTCAGACTCGTGTTCCAACCTGTCGCGACCGAACAGAAACTGTAGACCTGAAGTCAGCCAACAGCGCTGGAATGAAGAGCAAAACTCATGCTCACCGATCGAGGTTGAAGATGTTCCAGAAGGCTCTGCGGCGTTCTTCATCCTGAGTCCAGTCCTCGGCAGGCGGCAATAAAGCCAGTGGCATGAGTAAGGGCGTGCCTTGTTTGCTGTCCGGATCCACACTCAGCTGAAGATACTCGACAGTCCTAGTCAATGAGCCGATGATTGGCCAGGCCCTGGATGTGTCACCATTGCCCATCTGCACAGTCAGTCAAGGCTTTTCGTGGGTGCTCAAAACCACTCACATCTGAGAAGGCGATTATGCTCAGGGCTTGCAAGTTTTCAACGCTCAAGCCGTCCATTCCCAGCAGGAGCACTTTGTCTCTTGATTCTAATATGAGCTGCTCGACGTAGTCTGGACGACTTCGAAGGGTCTCATCGTCAACCAAGCGCACAGCGGCAACGATGACAGCGTGTATCAATATGGCGACTTGAGGAGTGTGGTGAGATGCGCTCAAACGAGCTCTCAGCTTTGCCTCGTGCAGTATTGGCGTCCATGGCTGGACGTGTTTGAAATAGGCGAACATGATCTTTTCAAGCAGGTCCGCACTCGGCAGACCGCTGATACTGTCCCCGCTCGGGGTATCGTTGGCTACCGACGTGGTAGATGATTGTCCCAAGGTATCCGCTCTCTTCCTCTTGCGCGTCTGCTGTTCAGCAGCCGTCCCACTGGTCGTGTCCTGAGCTACGGTGTGAGGCGAGAGGCGTTGCGCTGCTGCTGCACCTGACTGTGACGGCACGGGAGTGCAGAACGCGGGCTTCTGGTTGACGAGTCCGCGTAGCTCTTGTACAAGACTGGAAAAAGCAGTGAACAAGGACTGTGTCTCGGTGGGGCGGACGGGATGGGAATCGGAGTTGTATACAGTCGCTTCCAGGGCATCTATAAGCAAGCATTAGGCCAAGCGCAATGTCCTGGAGCAGCCAGGGCGGTCTTGCCGACTCGTCGATTCAATGTCTCTATGGCACCGGGCTTCATGCCGGGCTTGTTCTTTTTCGCATCATAGACGCACACGACACCTACATTCCACTTCTTAGCATCTGCTCTGGTTTGGAACTGCCCACTGCTTCTTACCGAGTCGCTCGCAGTGGTTACAGGTGGGGTGCTCGCGCGAGCAGCGCTGCTTCCGCCGACGACATCCCAGGCATGATGGCGAGTCCGAATCAGGACCTTGCGATTCATTGTGGCCCTCCGAGCACTCTTTCTCCTCCATGTCTACCAAAGCCGGGAGAAGGTATCAGCGACAAAGTCGGACTGCTAGACCTCTGATCCGAGGATCGCATCGCTGTGTGTACCCATGACATGCCCTCTTGCGAAGTCGCGGGTCGGTACGTACGTGGCCTTGGCTCGAAGGATCGCGCTCGGAGACTCAGGGTCCGTCAGCTCCACCAGTTCCTTCCTGCCGGCGGATCGAGCATTGACCCAGACCTGTCAGCCCCCCGCAAGCCCCGCCGGACTGGACATCGCCCGACGCCCGTACCCTCTTGTCTTGCCTTCGAGCCTTAGGAGCATCTTCTTCATCACTTCGGCCTCGACTTTGGCTCCATGATCGGAAAGAGTCGTCATCCATCTAGTTCCAGAAATGCCTCCTCTGACAGGCTTCTCCGACAATCCACTGCTTACTCGAGACGACCTTATCAAAGCGACCCTCGCCTTGATCGAGCCGCTGCTACCATACTTCTCCCCTGCCAAGGGACGTATCCGTGTGCCGACTACCACTGGCACACATTTCGATGAGGTCGCCGCTCAATTTGAAGGCTTCGCTCGACCACTGTGGGCAGTCGGCGCCCTACTATCAGGATGCAGCAGCATCGCTGATGCAGAGCTTCGTAAGCGAGTCATGGACGTCACTCAGCCTTGGATTGATGGAGTCGTCTCTGGAACGGACCCTCAGCATACGGATTATTGGGGCGCCGTCGACCAGATGGATCAGAGGATGGTAGAGGCTGAGATCTTCTCCTATGCTCTGTTAGCAGCGCCTGAACAATTCTTCGAGGCTTTGAGCAAGGAGCAGAAAGCCAACGTCACTTCCTGGCTCAAGTCAATGAATGGCAAGCAGATGCCTCCTACTAATTGGCGTTGGTTCAGAGTCTTCTCTAATCTTGCCCTGATCAAAGTCTGCGGAGAGCCACTGCATCACGTCTCAAAAGAGCTCGAAGCCGACTTGGACATCTTGGACACGTTTTACATCGGCCATGGATGGTCAGCTGATGGTCCTTGGCAAACAGTCGACCAAGCAGCCGCAGAGCAAGATCTCGCAGAGTCTACTGGTCGCAGAGATGCCATAGGGATTGGTCGACAAGCGGATTATTATTCGGGCAGTTTTGCCATCCAGTTCAGTCAGCTTCTATACTCCAAATATGCGAACGACATAGACGCACAAAGATGTGAAAAATATCGTCAGCGTGCTCGAGAGTTTGGGATGGATTTTTGGAGATATTTTGACGCAGAAGGTCAGTTCATATCATGCGACGTTGGAGGAGATCTTGACGGCCCGTCGCAGGTTCGGCTATTCCTTTTGGACGCTCATTGACATACCGCTTCGCATGCGGTGGCTACTTCGCTGCTCTGGCTTTCGCAGGAGTTCCTGATGTGCCGGAGCCATTGTCCTCTCTTGGCGCCATCAAGGGGTTTCTGCTTCGTCACTTACGATGGTGGGCCACGAACTCCGATGACATATTCAACGTGGATGGCACCCTCAATATCGGATGGCTCTATCCGTACGTGCACCTATAGTTGGCGCTTGTCGTGTTTGCTGACTTTAGTTTGCAGAAACATGTATATGGCCGAAGACTACAACTCCCAACAATCGGTCTATTGGTGCTTGAAGTCTCTGATAGTGGTTGCGCTGTCCGCTGACAGTGCATTCTGGACGGCACAAGAGTCGCCGTACCCGCGACAAGCGCAGACTGTCGTGATTGTTTCAGCACCGCAACAAATTCTCTGCAATGCGCCCCAGGGCAACCATCATTTCATGCTAACCCCAGGACAATTCGTTGCATGGCCAATGAAAGCCAACCAAGCGAAATACTGTAAGTTCGCATACTCGTCCGCCTTTGGCTTCTCCGTACCGACCGGTCCACTATTGCAACAGATATCGCCCGACAATCAGCTCTTAATTAGTCGAGACGGAGCTGAGTCGTGGGCCACCAAGTGGAAATGTGAACCTGTCAAGTTCCGCACTATATCAGTGGCGTCGAGCGCAGGAATCAGCATTGCCTTGCCGACTGCTCAAGTCAAGTGGTATCCATGGAGTGATCGAGCTGTCAGCGTTGACACTGTGCTCATACCACCCAATGAGAGATGGCCTGACTGGCATGTCAGAATTCATCGCATCAAGGCCCTGAAGCACGTTCCTTCTGTCCACATCGTCGAGGGCGGTTTTGCAATTCACAGCCGTCAAAGGAAGAACCTCATGCATCTGTCAGTCGGAGGACTAATGCCAGAGTCTTTAATAGGCTCTGTGGAGACAGCCATCTCGAACGATGACTCTACAGTGGTGGCTTCTTTTGACGGCGCGAGCGGTATCTTGACCCAGATCAAGTCGTTTTTCCCTTTTGTCCTTCGAAGCTCCGCGTTGAGAGCGGACGCAAACACCAATCTTGTGCGACCGCGCACTGTGATTCCAGCTTCGTCGATCGATATGAGAACTGGTCTTCGTGAAGGGCACGAAATCTACGTGATCAGCTCAATATTTGCCATATCTACACGAGCAAATGGTGGTCATCAGCCCACTGGGCCAACGCTTAAACAGAAGTGGGACGATGCTCCCGTCATCGATTTGGACAACCTTGGCAAATACCTAAAATGAACTGTCACTGCTTTCTCGAGATTGTGACTTGATCTGAATGATTCAAATTACCATTCGTCCTGATTAGGGGACTAGCGAACCATATTTAAGTCTGATTAAACCACAGTACGACCCTTGTTCATATATTGATGTGTAACTCCTTGTGAATGCCTATATCGGCGACCTGCTCAAGTTCATGTCGGAAGCACATTCTCGTGGATATGGTGTCATGCCCTCCCTTTATCAGAAGAAAATGACAGCTCTAAGGCATCTGTTTTCCCGTCCCTTCCAACCCTCCCAATCCTGGATCCTGATTTTGTATCACACAAATACGATTCTTCAAGATCAGTGTCGCACGAAAGCTCCGTAATCGAGCGCGAAAAGATCAATGATCGTAGACACAATGTCCGCCGTTTCGGGGGAACGAAGACGAGCGGGCCATCGTCGGGTCTGACATACCCCGATGGCCAGATGGTGCGAAATCCGGATACCCCACGTTGGATGGGTCCCCCGCTTTTCGCTTCTTCTCCTCGCGTGCCTTCTGAGCAAGATCGACTTTAATAGCCCGGTGAAAGATGGACTCCTAACCTGGTATCGCATCTCGTTGCTATAAAGCTGACAGCTTACCCCACTGCACAAGGAGATCGTAGAATCATTCCTCTTCGCACGCGATCGCTTTGCCGAAGGTGATTCATCTTACAATCTGGCAGTCCATCAAGATCATTGCCCTTCCAACATGGCGACCGATAATTCGACCTCCAAGATACCCGACTCTGAGCACCATACAACCACCGACATTGACCTTGATGAATTCCGCGGCATTCAGCTCAAAGATGTCATCCCCAACACTCGCGCTCCATGGTATCGCGATGGCACTCTTCTGAAGTTGAACTTCCTGTTACTTGCCGCTCTTCTTACGCAGACTGCGTCTGGATTCGATGCCAGTATGTTGAACGGTATGCAATCGTTGCCACAATGGGAAAAATTCTTCGGTCATCCGATGGGCAACCGACTGGGGGCCATGTCGTTCGGTCCTGGCGGTGGCACGCTCATCTCAGTACTTGTCTCATCCCAGTTATGCGACAGATACGGTAGACGTATGGGCATCTTTGTCGGATCCGCATTCATAATTGTCGGTGCTATTCTGCAGACGGCCGCAAACGACTTCGGCATGTTCGTTGCTGGACGCTTTGTTATTGGCTTTGGACTCGGTATAGTCGCAACTGGTGCACCGCCCCTTCTTTCAGAGCTTGCATATCCGACACACCGTGCGCAGATTGTATCCTTCTTCCTTGTCTCCTGGCCTCTTGGATCGCTGATCGCTGCCTGGATTACATTTGGCACTTTCAAGATGCAAAACTCATGGGCGTGGAGATTGCCCAGTCTGCTGCAGTGCTTCTTCTCTCTTATTCAGATTTCGCTTGTCTGGTTCTGTCCAGAGTCTCCCAGGTGGCTCATCTACCAAGGTCGTCACCGAGAGGCCAAAGATATTCTTGTCAAATGGCATGGTTATGGTGACCCGAACTCGCGACTTGCTCAATTCGAGTATGCTGAAATCACAGCCACTCTTGAGCTAGAGAAGATTCAGAAAAAGGCACGCTGGTCTGAGTACATTTCCTCTACAGGCAATCGCCACAGACTGTTCATCGCTCTTTACATTCCCGCCATGTTGCAGCTTTGCGGCAATGCTTTGACTTCCTACTTCTTGTCAAAGGTTTTGAATTCAATTGGCATCAAGGACCACAAGACACAGCTTGCATTGAACGGCTCCTTGTCAGTATGGAGTCTGATCACCGCTACAACAGCTGCACTGTTGTGCGACAGGGCTGGTCGCCGCAGATTGTTCCTCGTCGGACTAATTGGCATGGGACTCTCGTTCGTAGTATGGACCGCCCTCTCTGCAGTCAACCAAGAAACCCACTTTGAACACACTGGATACGCTGCTGGAGTGCTTACCATGATCTTCATTTTCTCAGCCTGGTACCACTGCTGCTCTCCAATTGGTGCCACTTATATCATGGAGGTCACACCCTTCTCGCTCAGAGCCAAGGCTGCTATGCTTTATCAGCTCACTGGCAATCTTGCGGGACTTTTCAATTCTTTCACCAACCCCATCGCCATGGAAGCCATTGAGTGGAAGTACTACATCGTGTGGTGCTGCGCTCTGGCTATACATCTCGTGGTGGTCTTTTTCATGTTCCCAGAGACAAAGGGTAGATCTCTTGAGGAGGTCTCCGAGCTGTTCGATGGCCCTCGTGATGTTGTGGAAGAGTTGGAGGTTGCCCAGAAACAGGACGTGACCTTCATCGAGAATGCCACTCGTCCCCAAGCTTTCCATTAGGCTCTGGTAGCTCTTCTGCTGTTGTGATAAGGCTGGATCAGCAAGATTCATATCAGATCATCAGTGTGTCTTCGCTAGCAATCGTTACAGGCTCAGTTGAGGGTGCTGATCAGGCGATGCAAATACCATACTACCATAGTCACTGTCAATTTATGTATCCAATTTATTACAGCTTTCTATGCTTCGGCACAAATCCACTGCGTGTCATGAGAAAACGGAATACCATAGTTTACACAAGCCCTGATTGGGGATTGATCCCAAGGAAACCGTAGAGCACAATGCAATGGAACAAGTCCATACTGCAAATGAATCTCTGACTCCTCTCATCCATAGACTTCTCTCTGTATCTTGTTTGGAGTCCGAAGCGTAACTCACACCGAGAGAAGTCATAGGCCAAAGAATGTCATGTGCGGGGGCAGGCAGATTTTGTTGAGAAAATTGGGGCAGGGTGCTACTTTCAGCGATGAAGGAGATACGTAGTCAGTCGTTATTTGATCAATGGCATCTTGTCGACTTTTGCGTTCGGTGCAGCTAGTGCAATAGCAAATCTGTGTAAGGTTTCCCAGCTGGGTTCAAGTCCAGTTCTCCTATGATCGACATTGCAGTTAGCCCAAGTAGTCTTACCAGGGTTCGGCAGCTGCTGGCCAAGCATCCGCGAGTTGCCGACAGACCGCGGACGCATCGGCGTTGCGGACGATGACCCGGGGGAATTGACCGGATGCCCCGCCGCTCTACGTGTACGCTCGGGTCTTTAGTGACCGAGCTTTGACGTTTGACTCTTGTTCACAAAAGAGTACGAGGGTATCGTAAACTACCATGATGCTCTTCGCGTCAGACTCTGCAGTATGAACAAAGTCAGCGCTGCTGAACAGCAGGTACATGATCACCTCCGCTGATTGAACGACTTAGGCTGATTATCCTAGACGATCAACGCACTACAAGCGAATTGGGTGTGGGTGCCCGAGTGGACCGACTCTGCGGATGAGAATACCGCAGGCCACATCGTCAAGTTCAGTCGCGAGCTCAACATTACATCCAGAGTCACTGACGCCGTCATCCACTTTTCCGCTGACACGCGCTACAAGCTTTTCATCAATGGTAGCCTTGTGACAGTGGGACCCACTCGTGGCAGCACCCAGTTGTGGTACTATGACACGATGGACATTACTCCTTACCTCAAACAAGGAAGAAACGAAGTGCAGTTCTTGGTGCTGAGATATTTCGCAGCAGTGAGAGGAGCGATGCCTTTCGCAAGAACGGCTTTTCCTGGTTTCACTCTAGCTGGCCTTGTTCGGATGACAGGGCAATCAATCGACATGGCTTCGCTTACGAACTGGATAGCACAAGTCCAAGCGCATGTTCGCTTTCCACTTGGCTTAATTGATGACTGGTGTCTGCATGTGAGCTTAGTTAGGAAGGTATTGGAGTCACTATTGCTGACAAGAGTGTCTTAGATCAACGAACGAGTAGAACCTCCAGCGCCCAATAACGTTGTGAGTCCTCGATCGTACGGGATGGGCACGCGTAATGGAGATATCTTGCCGTGGCGCCTGCAACCCCGATCGATTCCGCTCCCAGAGTTCGATGATGTGAGCTGCAAGCCATTGGTTGTTCACGAGAGCACATTATCCTTGGAAGCGTGGACGTCTTTCTTCGAACATGGGATACCCCTGGGGCTGTATGCTGGGACGAATCATTGTCTCGACATCAAGGCTGATGTTCACTCGACGGCTTTTCTTCGATGGTGCTTCAAAGCCAGACGTGTGAGCAGATTGAAGTTGAAGATGACATATTCGGAAGGCTACGAGGCAGATCCGCGGTCCTATCCGTTTTTCAGAACTAAGAATGATAGACTGGACTGGCAGAATGGCCACCTCATCGGCCCGCACGACGACATTGTGCTGGATATCGATGCTGGACAAGAGACAATATATGAGCCATTCTGGTTTCGCACGTTCATGGTCCTGCGACTTGAGATCGCTATCGGCGAGGAGACAGTAACTCTGCAATCTTTCAGTGCCACACAAGCGAATTATCCTATGGCGATCAAGGCGAGTTGGGCAAATCCCAGCGAACCTGACAGCAAGCAATTCTGGGACATCTCGATCCGAACAATGCGCAATTGCATGTTTGATGGATACTCAGACTGTCCCTTCTACGAGCAGTTACAGTGAGGATTCCGCCCATCTCATCACAAACTAAATTGACCACGAATAGATACTCAGGCGACTCTCGCTCCATAGGCCTTTTCCACTATCTATTGTCCGGCGATGATCGTCTGATGAGACAAGCCATCTCGATGTATGCCACATCCATTACCGCGGAAGGTCTCACCCAGTCTCGCGTCCCTTCTCAAGGACCTCAGCTCATCGCCAGCTTTCCATTGTACTGGATCTTGACAATCTGCGATCATCATCTATACTTCGGAGACGATGCATACACCAGATCTTTTCTGCCGCGGATAGATGGCGTGCTTGAGTTCTTCGAGTCATGCATTGACGACCGAGGCCTTGTTTCAAATCTGCCTCCAGATCTGTGGCAATTCGTCGATTGGGTCACGACTTGGGGAGCCACGGAAGAACATCCGGACAAGGGTGTTCCGACATCTGGCCGAGGGTCGAACTGCCATACCTTCTTCAGTCTCTTCTACGCCTGGGTCTTGCAGAAGACAGCGAGTCTTGTCCGAGCAGTTGGACGCCGAGGATACGCGGAAGAGTACCAACAGCGAGCCCGGTCGGTCATTCACGCCATTCGAAAGCATTGCTTCGATGGGAGATTCATCACAGACTCAACTGCGGATATCGCTGATGATCTTGCGTACTCGCAACACTGTCAAGTCTTTGGTGTCCTCGCCGGAGTCTTCAACCCCTCTCAACAGGCAAATATCCTCCGACACGCATTCAAGAGAGACGCAGGGTTTGCGAAATGCTCTTACGTCATGCAGTTTTACGCCTTCCGAGCCTTCGCAATGGCGGGACATGGCGTGTATGAGGAAATGTGGCCGGAGGTTTGGGATCCATGGAGAAAGATGCTTCGCAACAATCTTACGACCTGGGAAGAAGATGATGTGCGACAGCGATCCGACTGCCATGCTTGGGGAAGCATCCCGATCTACGAGTTTTGTACAGAGATTGCAGGTGTGCAGCCTACACGACCTGGTTGCTCCCAAATTCTGTTCGCCCCCCGAGTGACTCTTAGCAAGGGCATTACCGCCAAGATCGCTTTGGGGAACGATAACACGGCAACAGTCTCATGGAATACATCATCCGACGGGACTGTGTCGATTAAGCTGCAATTGGACAAAGCTATCGAGGTGCGAAGCTGTGTTGATGGGCCTACAATTGATCATGGTGTGGTTGATCAACTTCAGCTATTCTTTAACCCGGCAAGTGCAGCTTTAGAATGTTCACTTAAGGCAGGCTAGATTGATAAGCATGTTTGACGACCATAAGAAGGTCTTGTTGCTTACGTCTATCATAACTTTTTATAAGACTCAAAATAGATCTTACTCTAGTCAATGTATAATACAGCATATACTGATCCATTATGTGCTGTGTCATCTTGGCTAACCAGCTAAGGTAGAACTATCACTACGTTTGTTAATACATAAGTCTCAATTCTTTACTGGAGGCCTTAGGATAGAATAGATATGCTTACGGCGCATTCTGATGTGGAGACAAAGCCGACTAGTGTTAAGAGGGAGTGCAACACCATCGCCGAAGAAATTCAACTTATCCCCGTGGGTTAGAGCCGAGGTCTTGGTACGTCTTCGGACTTCAAGCTCCTAACTTCTTAATGATCATCTCAAGATCAAGATCGCCTACACTATGGACCGAGTCTGCAAGCGAGTCAAAAATGGAACAAGGCGAAAATCGAGAACGCTCAGTCAGCGTGCCAGCGCCAGAATTGTTTCCATTGTTTTCCCCTCTGGTAGTTTATGACAGATCTTCGCTACCAATACATTGAGCTTGTTCATGGACCTGTGTAACGAAGGATGTTCAACCGACAGGAGTTGTGTATCCTGGATCGAATTCTCTGCCAGCAGCCCACCGCATTATGCTCTCCCAGTCATAACACGTGTGCTGTTCAGCATTACCAAGGAAGTACTTGGAGCCTTCCAAGTCTTCGAATACATGCATTGCCGCAGCGCTAAGATCCGGCCGACATTGCAAGCTTTGTCTGATGTGGTTCATGCAATGGTCAATGTGATCTCTTTGAGCTGCATCCAATGGGTTATGGTGCTGCTGATACTGTGCCTGTCGGCCAACATGGCCGTGGTCATGTGCACCATAGTAGTCCTTGTCGAGTTCTTTCCTGACCGCGTTAAGACAGTGCAAGTTGTGGAAGACGTCAAGCGCAAAGTGATATCTGCCCGTGACAGGATGTTTATCTTTATCCGCATTATAGGACAGAAAAGGATTCAAGGCCATTTCCTCTGATGTGATGGCGGGATATTCGTATTGGAGGAGCTCAGCCCATGCGGCATCTATGGCTGGGCTTGGCTTGCCAAAGTAGAGTGGGATGCTGGAATTCATCTTGCGATATACGCTGTGACTTGTCTCGTTGAAGAGGAGAAGGTCATCGAATTTGATTGTAGCGTGTTTATATGGCAAGGAGGCTGCGGTGACTATACAAGGTGATTGTTCAGTATTGTCGTGTATCATTCTGGTTAGCTGACGAAGGTAGAAATACCGAAATCTGCTTCAAATCTCTGTTGGCTCATATAAGGAGGGGTGTGGGATGAATGTAGCCGTAGCAGGAGCAAAAGACAGAGACCAGCCCAGGCAATGTTCGTCAAGACCAGTGTAACGGTTAAAGAAGACTTAGAGATCCACGACTGTCGCTGCTCAATCATACGCCTCGGTGGAGATGCTGATTTATCTGTCATAAGGCCGACAGTAGCCTCGTCGTCGACATCACTGGGTTCATGATCGTTACGCGAATGCCACATTTTTCCAGCTGGACACTGGCTGGAAAATTTAGACCTGTCGTTCGATCCTCAACTCCAGGATCATGAAAAGAAACCACGTCGTTTGTCTGCAGACTCAGCATCAAGTACTTGTAGTCATGGAGAAGCGCCATTGACGTCTTCTTGCAGTCACTACGCTAGTTGAACTCTACGATGCACAACACTACATAGTATCTTTACATGGTGGTAGAGCTCAAAAGTATGTATATATGTACGCGCGGTACCCCGATCCCATCTGAACCTTGTCCAAACTCTATATCCCGACATCCGGTGGATCTAGCTCTTCCGGGAGTCATTTGCAGGCTCGTAGCATCCGCTTCTGTCTTAATGACTCTAGCGACGACCCATACGCTACATGACTGGAAGAAGATGAGAGGAAGATCCCGAGAGGTCAATCGTTCAGTCTATCTCACTCGAGCGATGAATTAGACGTTCGCGAGTGGCACATCGGATCGTTCGAGTCACATGCTACTTATCCGTGCTAGCTGCGACCTATGCTATCAGATATGGTACTCGTCTGTATTATTGACTTCTTGATCGATAGTGGATTGCCTCATGGTGAGATGGAGAGCGATGTCTCGATCACTCGAGCTGTCTTCCAGGCGGCCTGGAATCCATAATCACAAGGTCAGACGAGTCTTCCCTTGAGTTGCGCTTCCAAAGAGCTGTAGACCTATGTTTGAAACATCGCTCTCTCGCTTGGATCTGATTCAACCGTGACCTGAATCATTTGTCGCTGACTAACAACCTTTCGAGACCAACGAGCCAGCAATCATACCATCCTTGGCCACCTTCTTTGCAACCGAACTCTTTAGTCCATAGGTGGTACCATCCCATACAGCGAAGAAACAATTCTCAGTCTCATCGCAGAAGGTCACACAATCTTGTACAATTCCTAGCAACTTGCTCGCTAACTCGCCATTCACAAAATCAACACCACAGTTGGTGTTGAACACACTGTTATCAAGTGTAGTGAGCTTATAGCCGTCATCGCCCGGACACATGGGTGTATAATCCCAAGCGTCTGTGGTGACCTTGTCACCAGTCCAGGTCTTGCCACTGTCGGATGAGGATAGAGTCCCCGAAGCGCCGAATCTGCCAAAGGTGTTGGAGTAATCCGGTTGTGCTTGGTTGAGTACGAGGACGGTGTCTAACCACTCATGGGCAGGTGTAATACCACAAGGGTAGGCTGGGGCGGCTTGCGAGCATTCTTCCGCGGTGCCCCATCCCAGAGCTTTTCCTGATGCTGTGACTCGGGTCAGTCTGTTGTCAGGAGGCAGAGACGGAGGAGTGCAGCTCGCACGTCGAGAAAGTAGAGACAAACGAACGAAAGACTGCATCACGATTCACAATAATCTAGGTGAACTCACTTCTGGCAAGATGGGTGTTCTGGAGGGTTCGAGATCGCGCGAAAAAGAGGTAACAGATAATCGAGCTGAAATATACGAGTTGATCGTTGATCGCCTAGAGGTGCACACCTGTGTTTGTCGAGCAAGTTAAGGATTAATACAAGCCATTCCCTGAGTGAGCTGCTCACTATAAGCACGGCATTCTATCGGCTCAGCAATGCTCAAACCTTGTGCTGCGGTCTGAATTGAAGGAAGTGATGGACGGAGGCTTCTTGCGACATTGTACCTTCTAACAATTTAGCCGCTATCGACTTTTAGCCGCCCCAACCCCGCAGCCCCGCACTTGCTCCAAGCGGCATTGTTATATTAAAATGCGGCTCTCGTTCCTTCGAAACTCACACAATCACTCATCATGCCTGTCTACGTGCTCACTGGTGCCAACAGAGGCCTCGGTCTCGAATTTGTCCGTCAACTCTCGGCAGACAGCTCCAACACAGTCATTGGAGCTGTACGCTCAATGTCAAACGATCTGACCGACTTGAAATCACTCAATAAGAACGACAACATACACATCCTGGAATGCGACACTGGAAAAGCGTCTAGCATCACCTCCTTCGTGGAATCATGCGAAAAGACTCTCGCTGGCAAGAAGATCGACTACCTCCTCAACAACAGTGGTATCAATGCTGTCCCGGAACAGGATTCATTGTCGATAAACGAAAGCGATATGAATGAACATATCAACATCAATGTTCTTGGACCTGCAAAGACAACTGAGGGCTTTTACAAGGCTGATTTACTGTCATCGGACGTGAGGATCTTGAACATGACTTCTGGACTTGGCAGCATGAAAGTCAGCATAGGCATCAAGCCAAGGAAGTGCACTACATACAGCATCAGCAAGGCTGCACTGAACATGCTCACCGTACACCAAGGCGAAGAGGTGCGAGAGAAGCTCCCAGGCGCTGTTGTGATCAGCATGGACCCAGGTTGGGTCAAAACACGCATGGGTGGTGAGGGTGCTATGATCGAGGCCCATGAGAGTATTAGTGGCATGCTCAAGGTGCTGCACGGGCTGAAGAAGGACGATACTGCATCATTTTGGACATACAGTGGGGAACAGGTACCGTGGTAGGCTACTTATATAGTGCATGAGGTAGTTTTGACGCCTGCATAAATCGTAGTTCGTAGCCGTCAAACGCTGCCGACAGTTGCTACAGACTTCAGCACACAACTACTCGACAGACCATCGCGTTTTCAGGGAGGCCAACATCTCTCATACAGTTATTTCCTTGAATGAGCAGCCCATAAAATGATGGTAAGATTGTCGCTGCCCGCGTAGACGCTAACAACGTTCTTGAACTGCCTACTGTAGCTTCCGCCTGCCGGGCTAGACGTTGAATGCATCCTTCGAGTGTTCAACATCTCTTTTGACGTTTGGTACAAGAGTCCGATGTAGAGTCCAGGTTAGAATAGATCACGTCTAGAGAGTCCTCACTACGTTAACATGTTTTCCGTGGGCGAGCTGGTGGGTGTTCTGTATGCACGAGGAGATGGCCGTGCCGTCCGATGTGTGCTTGGTACAAAGAGCAGCAGGATTTGATTACTCTTAGGGTTTGTGAGACTCTTTACAGCAGTATTGCTCATTGCAGACCGACCAATATGATTACAATCGAGACAACTGTTGTAGCATAGAAATCCGTACTTGTAGAATGCATACTGAAGTAGGATCAAGGATGCCGTAGAACGCTAGAGGAATGTTCCAATGATATCGCGGGTTCTGAGCGATACCTCGATAATTCTTCAGGACCACACCTCTCGCCTTAGGTCGAGATGACCTGAGTTCTAGTCCGCTTAGAAGATAGTCAGGACAGGATAAATTGGAAAAGCCATTGGCACAAGGGTATGTCTTAATGAACGGACTCAAAAAAGTATATGTAAGGATCATTTATGTCCATCCATACCATCTCTTCAAACATCATGGAAAAAAGCGTCATGTTCCAGCTTGGCTCAGGTCTAAAAGACAAGTCCGTAAAAATATGCCACCGAGATCCGTTGGACCTTGATGGCGCCAAGACACATATGTCGTGGAAGATCTGAAGATCGTTTCCAGACGCTCCGCAATGCGACCCGTCTTGACAGTGCACTCGCGGAATATGTACAGAAGCGTGGGGTTGTCTCGTCAATCAGGTACTCGGACGTGAACCCTGTCTTCTTGAATCTGTCCCTGAGTCTATTCTTTGACATGGATCCTGGACGTTGGTAGATCATCTCGGGGTTCTTTCCAGGAAGACGCAAGATGTGTTGATCAACACGAGGTGATCAAGCGGGGCAACCCACGTGCTTGTCCATAAGGCGTTGCGTGAGGTCTTGGCCACGATGCGAACGGTCGGTAATGCTTGAGGATTTTAGCGCTGTGTTCTCAACGAATGGATCTACACGAACTGCTTGTGCGACAAATCTATAATTTCGTCACAAGTCGTCGACTTGCTGTATAGGCGGGTTAGTAGCCCAGTAGCCTTCTGATTAGCTCGCCGATCAGAAAGCGAGCATATGCATGTTCGCTGCGTACATCGTTTACGGATCAATGTGCCATTTTGGGAACTCAAGCCTGTAGAGCCTTCAATGGAAGGCAACAGGGAAACGGAAAGACAGCGCACCAAAACACATGCAGCAAGGAAGACTGTGTAAGGACTTAGGAAGTCCAAGTGGGTGTCGTGATTCGTTAGTGTCGCGCTTCCACAGGTGATCCACATTCGTCGATATTAGCTGAAGTCGAGTCATGTGAATATCCACCAAAAGAACAATTGCATGGTCGTAAAAACACAAGATAGAGCATACATGAAGTTGATGATCATGATAGAAATCGTCAGAATCTCCGAGATGATCACGATAGCAATGACGATCATGATTATGGCGATGAAGACGATGTCAATCACAAAAGCACATTGAATATTGATGTGCGAGAAGGAACTATGGCATAGAATAGGTTGCCAGTGGATTGTTGATCGACGACCTTCTTGACGGTGAGCATGGCGCTGCAGGGCGCAACGAGTAGGACTTATGCGCATGGAGAAAAACAAGTCCAGCATTGGTAAGATCGTTGTCATTGACAGTTCTCGACCAACAGTGAGAAAAGAATTGGTATTCGAAACAACAGCCTACCTCATGATACAAGCGAGGAACTCTGGAGATCAGGCTAGGAGCCCTGGATGCGCGTCAGAAAGTATAGACCGCGGTGGACCAAGAGAGTCGCGAGTCCCTCGACGGCGGGCTTTAGTTGCTCTGTGTCGTGCCAGCTGAAGCTCTTGAAAATTTCCGATGTATAGTAGCAAGCCCTTTACGTGTTCCGGTGACATCCGTCTAATTGATGTGCTTACACGAGGACTGGTCGACCAGTCTAGGGAACATTGAATGTCGTGCTTCAAGGAAGACGTGAGTCGGTGACATTGTTAATCATCCCGCTTCTTTTGGTCGAGTCGCCCATGTGATCGACAAACACCGCGCTTCAAGATATTTGGGATCTTGCAGTCTTCATGTAATCTTCGGGTGCTTAGATGAGAGCTTGCTCTTACAGTATGGAGGCCTTGTAGAGCGATCTAGTCGAGAGATCGTGAAACCCGAGATGTTGGCATTCCTATCGGCAGACTTATAACACTCTTTTCGAGCAGAGTGTTCGACCAAACAGCCGGCACGAAACTGGTGCACAGAGTATGTGAGGATCCGCCGGGCAATCTCGGTTTGATTCGAACAGGCCCTCGTTGCTAAGAAAGGATGTTCGGGGACGGGACTGAGCGAGCTCAATTGCTGACGACGGAAATCGGAAGTGGTATATGTTGCGGCGTACTACTTGTGGGGTCCAAGATAATTAGCACGAACGACCGCATCAAGCAAGTATATACGGACTAAGATTGTGACTGTGGGTCAACGTGCTCGATCTCGTATGACTAGTCCAGAGATTGTCGCGGTGACACTGAGGGAGGCCACGAGCTTCAGAGCCCACGCTGAGATGGCGAGCGGTCGTGGTCACGATGTTGCGGCTTGATCCAAGTCGCCATAAAGCCGGCGATGACGGGCGACGGTGTGATGCGAGATTTGGGGCCAGTGCTATGATCCATCGTATTGGAGCGAAGCGGCGGATATGTAGGTAGGCAATTGAGTGGTGCCACTATCACAGATAATCAATGGTGCAAAGGAGCGCATGAGATCGTGGTATGAATGACCTTTGGAATGGTGCAGAGGGGAAGCACTCAAGAACAAGCGCAGTCACAACTCCGTGACCTCTGCAAAGACGTGAGGTCATTGGCATGAGATTGATGGTTATTCGGTAGCTGGTTGGTCCTTGTGCAGCGACAAGAGATCATAACAGAATGCCAAAATCACGACACGCTCTCTATAGTCGCACAGCATTCGAGCTATTGCGCAGGCAGGAACTGCAGGTTGAGCAAACGGGACGCGCACATCTTCAATGTCGCTGGAACGCGAAATAGGCAATAGGAAAAACGATCCTCGTTCCTACCTTTCAGTCCTGTGCTGCCCGTCGTGCGCCAACTTAATGCACTCTCCAGTATCTAGTCAGCGACAGGATGGGAAGAACGAACCAATCGCTTAGGGGCGGGCGCAATCAGAAGGTCATCCAAAAGCATGTACAAAGTCAATGGCCAGCATGACCACTGGATGCTTTTGTTCAGCCACGACATACGTATGTGATCAGGTATTCCTTGTCGTCTGTATCCTGAGGATTGTTTAAGCCGACATTACCCTTTACGGAAGAGATTTCCCTGGAGATGGAGATATTGCAGCACTCGGCCCAGTGCGGACACGCCGGACGGCCAAGAGATAACAAATGCATCCGACGATAGCATGTTGGCTGCAGAGATAAGAATTTGGGCGGCGACGTGGTAAAGAGATGTCCGCAGACCATGTTATCGTCGCTTGGTGGAAGGATAGTGGGCAGCTCACTGTTGATATCAGAGTTCTTTTGCCATCAAAAACAATGCTTACAGAGAGACATGGATATGTAGGATCCAGACTCTTACGGACAGAAGACACGGAGAGATAGCGAGGATTGGCATCGCAAATCCTGGGCGATCCAGACACGACGGAAACTTTGGAAGGAACAAGGCTGCATGATGGGTTCCTGCGAGAGAAGTTCTAGATGTCTTGCAGCAACAGCAAAGGAGATGCGGCACTCAGCGGAAGGTACAGTACTCGTACAGAGACAGCCAAAACGTGGTGGGAGAAAGTCTTATCGCCAGCAAGTGCGGAGATCGACAGGTTTGCTCGGGTTGAGCACGAGCCTCAGCACGCTACTGGCGCCACAAGGCGCTCTGTGCTGGACTTGGACTCCCAATGCGGGGTCGGGCGAGCAACCGGCCTCTTAGACTTTACTCTTAGTCTTATCTCTCGTCAGGCTTCAGCTTCTCGACAGTATCAATTCGCGACTGGTGGCGCTCCCGTGCCCATGAACTATCGTCAAGACGTTTTGCTGCGCAGTTGCGCCTGCCATGGCGTTAACATATAGTGCGTCGCGTGCCCGCGCAATTTGACTCTCTCAACTCCATTCTCTCTTTTTCAACTCCTCATCAACATTCATTGGACCGACCATGGCCTCTCTCAAGCATGACGAGAAGGTCGGCGAGTACGTTTCGTCAGAACCCTTCGCCCGTACAGAAAGCCACGATGAAGGCGAGATCATCGAGAACACCGATCACCTCCACCGTCGTCTTGGAAACAGACAGATCCAGCTCATGGCCATTGGCGGCACCATTGGCACTGCCCTTTTTGTCAGTATCGGTGGCGGTCTCTACAAGGGCGGCCCTGGAAGCTTGTTCCTCGCCTATTCCATCTACGCTTGCTTCTTGGGTCTGGTCAACAACTGCATTGCCGAGATGACAACGGCGTACCCTGTCTCGGGAGGCTTCATTCGTCTCGCTGGTCACTTTGTCGACGACGCTTTTGGGTATGCACTCTCTGGTATACAATATGTCGCGTAAGAACATTGCTAATCATATGTTCAACACGCAGCTTCATGGCCGGCTATAACTTCTTCATCTATGAAGCTCTCTTGATTCCTTTTGAGATTACCGCTCTTTCTACGGTGCTTGATTTCTGGAGTGACGATATCCCACCATGGGCAATTCCTCTAGCTTGTATCGTAAGTTTGAGATGAAGCCTACCCATGCAATCCAAGCTGACGAGACCTGTAGATTCTCTATGGGTAAGCTTTCCAGTGCGACCAATTTCCAATGCGACATCATCTCCCAAGCGACACACGACCCTCCCTCAGCCCGAGCAACTTCTTCCTTTTTTTTTCCTCCTTCCCAAGCGCCTTGTTTCTCTGTTCCTGCTCCCAAGCGACTCGGACTCGGCTTCCTCCTCAAGCAACTTACTGCCTGATGCGCCTCCTTCTTTCGGTCCTCAAGCGTTTCTGCTCTACTGAACTCCCTCGCGTTATCGCAACTTACTTGTCATTTTGCATTTCTGTCGCTGTCGCTTCATCTCCCGCGCCCGTCATCTGCGATGAATCGCTCTGACTGACCATATACTGACTTGACTGATTAGTCTCCTTAACGTCCTTGCCATCAAGGTCTTTGGTGAGGCTGAATTCTGGCTGTCTGGCGGCAAAGTCATCTTGATCTTCATCGTCTTCTCCTTCACCTTCATCACCATGGTCGGCGGCAACCCTCAGCACGATGCCTACGGTTTCCGTAACTGGAAGCACAACGCCTTCAAAGAGTACAGAAGCACCGGCTCGCTCGGCCAGTTTGAAGGTTTCCTCGCTGCTCTGTGGTCCGCTTCGTTCTGTGTCACCGGTCCCGAGTACCTTTCTATGGTCGCCGGAGAGGCTAGGCGCCCCCGTATCTACATCAAGAACGCCTTCAAGACTGTCTACTGGAGATTCGCTCTCTTCTTCATGGGAGGCTCCCTCGCTGTCGGTATTGTCCTTAGCTCCGTCGACCCCACCCTGAAGGCCATCATTTCTGGTGCACAGAGCGGATCTGGTACTGCTGCCGCCTCTCCCTACGTTATAGCTATGAAGAACATGGGCGTCACCGGTCTGCCTCATGTCGTCAGCGCTCTTCTAGTCACCTCCATCTTCAGTGCCGGAAACACTTACACTTTCTGCGCAACCCGTAGTTTGTACGGTCTGGCTATCGAGGGCAGAGCACCCAAGGCTCTTCGCTACTGCACAAAGAGTGGTGTGCCTCTTGTCTGCTTTGCCATCGTCATGGTCTTCCCTTGCCTTGCTTTCTTGCAGGTTAGCAATGGCTCCAACGTCGTCTTGGGCTGGCTCATCAACCTGGTCACCGCTGGCGGCGTCATCAACTACTGGGTCATGTGTGTCACCTACCTCTTCTTCTACAGAGCTTGCAAGGCACAGGCCCTGGACAGAAACACACTGCCCTACAAGGGTTGGTTCCAGCCATACTCTGTAAGCTTCGATCAACATGTGTTTTTCTGCTCTCAAGCTAACATTTCTCGACAGGCATGGCTCGGCGCTGCATGGATGACCATGATTGTCTTCTGCTACGGCTATAGCAGCTTCACGCCCTTCTCCGTCGACAATTTCTTCATCTACTACACGCTCCTTATGGTGGCACCTATCACCTTCTTTGGCTGGAAACTCGTCAAGCGCACGAAGCTGTTGAAGCCTCTCGAGGTCGATCTCGTCTGGGAGCGTCCTACCATCGACAACTACGAAGCTACGTTCATTGATCCCCCACGCAGCTTCTGGTCCGAGATGTTGGGACCTTTGGCGTTCTGGGGCAAGGCAAAGAAGGGCAGTGACAGACAGATGAGCATGTCCGCATAAAGCTTTGGTGCGTAGAATTGTAGACTTCGACTTGTTGGTCTAGATACATCAAAAATCACTCATGAATTTGTAAATATGTATGAGTATCTTCCGAAACCACTCTTCATCACAGTCCAACTCACGTCCAAATTTCTCATCATGATTGTGACTGCTTTGAGGGTCGGAAGATCATGCACTAAGGCCACCCAGCCTTCAGATGTTGTTCAGGATCAGGTCCACCTCGTTGTCCGCATCGTCAAGAATGTGCTGTGCAGGATACTCCGGCGCCCACCCAATTGTCTTCCCACGATCGGCCTGTAGAGCACACCTGCAACGCTCTGTCAGCTGTCCAGTCATGCAGCTGTTGTTTAACACGATGAAGACTCACGCCCCGCCCATCTGGACTGGTACGAATTCCTTTGGGCATCCGAGAGCTTTTCCAGCCTCTTCCGGAGAGTCGTCGGAGACTTCCTGAACTGTGTCGTCGTCAATGATACCACGCTTGTCCAGAGCCGTTGCCATTTGCTTGTACAAGTCCGTCCATGCGATCGACCCGGGAGAAGCCAGATAGTAGCCTCTACGACCATTTTGGAGTTTCTCTTCCTCCAGTATTTTACTTAGCAGAGCAAGGTATAGCGCTGTGGTGTCATGAATGTGGCACACAGGCCAAGTCTGTACAAGACTTAAACAGTAGAGTCTAAAAATGTGGCGATGTACAGCAAGACATACAGCTTCGAGGCTGTCAACCTTGCACACGCGGCGCATCGCTTTTGCAGCTTTGACAATCGCAACAGTCTGGATAGAGATGCGGTTGCCGAAACCTGTACCTTTGCCGTACACGATACATGGCATGAAAATATAAGTCTTGACTCCATACTTCTCGCCGGCTGCAATAATCTTGTTATTGGCGCCGACAGCCTGAGAACTCGAGATCAGTAATTACAGCTACATTAGTTGTTCGTTCGTACCTGTTTGAACAGCGGGATTTGTGGGGCCACCCTCTTTTGTATCTCGTAGAGCCCATCATCCATATCGCTAAGCACCCGATCAGTCGGATGTTGTGCAAAGCCGCTGAATATCTTTGCACCACTCGTGTGCAGGAAATGAGTCTCGATGCCCAGCTGCTGTTTTACTTTTTCCAATCCCTCGAAGAATCTTTCTTGACTGTCTCCATTGGCGGCGTTGATCATATAGAAGACCACGGAGATTTGTTTCTCTAGCAAAGTGGCTGTGATGGCTGACTGGTCTTCGAGGTCGAGGGTGATGGGTGTAGCGTTGTATTGTGCTTTGACCTTTTCTGCTTGTTCGTCGCTGCGCACGAGAGCATAGGTTGTACCATGAGCTGGCAGATTGGTCTTCTTCAGTTCTGCGAGCAGAGATCCTCCGAGATATCCTGAGCCGCCGGTGATGAGAATGTTTCGAGGCATGGTTGGAGATGGATACCTTGTCGATACGAGCAAAGGTTTGGATAAGTGACACAGCCTGCTGATATCATGGATGGCGACGTATATATGCTGTACTGGGATGCAGTTCTCTCATAAGGTTTGCGAACTTGTTGTTACATCAAGACGATTGATCATCACCGAGTGGAGATGGGATGAGGGGTATGGCTACCAGACGCCGGGCCCGACTGGTCGCGCCGATCCGTGACGGTGCCCGGTTCCCGACCAGGGGTCTGTTTAGAAGGACACGATCTAAACATCTGTTCTTCCCAGTTTTCTCTCCAATATTCGAGACTCCTTGGAAGCATGCAGTCTGATCCATCCATCGATCGCCGATGTGAGGCTCCTCGGGAGTGATGATCAAACTCCGCATCTTATCTGATTGGAGATCTTCCTTGTGAGTCCCCTCACGGACCACGACGACATCTTTCTCGGCTTTGATGAGATCTTTGGGGAGATTCTTGCAAACTCATCAGCGATAACAGCCCTTTGGAGATGCAGATGAATAGTGATGGCGTCAAGCTTGTTGCATACAGGGAAAGAGCATGACGCTTGCTCCCATGCGCCCCTTCCATCAACGATGTTGCTTCAGATATGCAACTCGATGAACAGGAAAGAAGCCTGAGAGATGCGACTGCCTGCTTCATATTTCCGTTGAAGCCCCTTCTATTATTTGTAATAAATCTCTAAATTCTATTCTCTCGTTGGCCTACCATTGACAAATATACCACATCCTGCCTTCCATCAACGCCTTCATCATCTGACCTCCTCTCTCATCAACTCTCCGTCATGTCCGACCAGCCCACTAAGCGCAGTCGCGGATCGTCGACTTTCGACCGTCCTGATCAACCATTGTCCGGCGGTTAAAAAAAAGGCACTGAGTCATCCAAAGGATAAGCGGGTAGCGCACGCTTCAATGCTATGCTCAAGTTCGGCGAGAAGCTCGCAGGAGCAAGAGGCTTCGGTACAAAAGGTAAGACCAGAGAGAGCAAGCTGGATCTTTTGCCCCAATACTAATTGTTCAAAAGTCCCTCGATCGTCCCAGGCCCGGCCGCCGACTCCTAGCCGGAAGACTACTACAACTGAGCCAAAGAGCTCACCTCTGGTTCGCCCACCTCATTCTCCTCGTGTCGGTCCGTCATCACCAACCCCTCCGACTACTATCAAGCGGTCGTTGTCGTCTTCTCGCTCCCCTTCTCCCAGAAGATTCAAGGTCGAGAGCCCTCCGGCTGCCTGTACCTCCGTCTCTGCATCTCCCACCACCAACAACGACAACACAAAATGTGACTCTGCCGTGGAGCAGTCACTTCCTGTCGTGCTCGCTCCTGTGCGAAAATGGCGTTTGGTGGATTACTCGGACTCCAATGACGAGTAGGGGGGTTGGTCTTGTTTGAAGTTCTGCATTGTATCCTTCTGCCTTGCTGTCGTCTGTTATGAGAATGGTCCATCTTCAAATAAACAATCAAAGCATGAGACCACAGCCAATGATCGCAGTATCGTGTGGACCTCGTGACATCGGCTTAAGTCAGTAATGTGGAGACGCATCATTGTCGCTGCCGCTAATTTTGCGACGAACTGTTCAGAGGTTCTTGCCACGCTCAAGTCGAATTGTGCTTGTCGACAAGAGCCAGCATGCGAGGCACAAGCTCAGGCATTCGGAAAGGTTTGGTCTGTAGTATATCGGCGTGAGTTCGCGGGCTACAAGGACGTTCAAAGAAGTAAATGACTTACCACGACTTCATCCATGCCAGCCTCGATGCAAGAATCAATCTGACTAGTACGGGCATTGGCCGTGATACCACAGATGGGCACATGTCTAGTGACTTCCCGCAATTTCTCAAGCTCGCGAATCTTTCGAGCACAAGTCAAGCCATCCATGATCGGCATCTCTACATCGAGTAGGATAATCGAAAGCGGAACATCGCCGTTGCAGAATGTGGTTGTTGATAAAAAGTCAAGAGCCTCGAGACCGTGGTTCGCAGTGTTCACTGTAGCACAGCCCAAGCGTTTGAGTTGTTGAGACATGACTCGCTGATTGATCACGTTGTCCTCCACAACTAAACCTCTGAGTCAGCGTGCTGTCATTGTGAAACGAATCTGTTACTTACCGAGAACATGCAAGTCCTGCGTAGTGGTTCTGCTGATTGGAGAATATTCTGCCGGAGTCGCAGCTGGTGTCTGACTAGACTTTCGCACCGGCAGCGATGAGCCAATCTCTGGGGATTTCGGTGGTGAATCCACGGGTCGTTCGACACAAGTCGCCTTGATGTAGAAGCCAAATGTACTGCCTTTTCCTGCCTCACTGTGAACTCCCACTTGACCTCCTAGAAGCTCGACCAGCTCCCTGCTGATGAAAAGGCCTAGTCCAGAACCTCCATAGCGTTTGTAAGTCTTTGGAGAAGCTTGACTGAAGCGCTGGAACAAGTTTTGAGTCTCTGCTTGAGTAAGACCACAGCCCGTGTCTTGCACGCTGAAGGTCAAAAACACTTCTACCCCGGTGGTAGCTGAAGCTATCGACAAAGATCGCGGTTTCCCACGAGGCTCGATGAGCGTGACGTTGCAGCTCTCGGCAGTGGGTCTTATTCGTGAAGCCGCAAGACTGAGTTTGATCTTGCGAACCTTGGAAGTTCGCGTGAACTTGATAGCGTTGTTCATGAAGTTGATGATAACCTGTGACACTCTGCCAGGATCGAGAGTGACATAGTCGATCCCAAGGTTTTTGAAGCTTGATTCAATGTCCAAAGAGCCTTCAATATCTGCTTGAGCGAGCTCTGGTTTATTCATTCTCAGCACGTCAGAGATGATCCTTAGCGGCTGTGTGGCTTCCGGAGCCAGGACGATGAGCTTGGAATCTAGTTTGGAAAAGGTAAGCACTTCGTCTATAATGTTTTTCTGGTGTCTGGCGCAAAGCGTGATGGTTTGTGCCGTGTCAAGAAGCACATGTCGCGCGTCTTCCGTGAGCGTACTGACGCTTCCATTTGTCGTCGAGGAGCCGACACTGATCTCTGTAGCTGCGAGTCCCAGTGTCAAGGATATACTGTCAGCCAGTTGTAAAATACTTGACAAAGGATTGCGCATCTCGTGTGATATCTGAAAGATGTGAGACTTGTGTACTGTTTCGAACAATCGAACGAATCAATCTTACCATGTCAATGAAGTTCTCCGAAGCTCTTCTGTTTTCGATCGCCTCTGCAAGTCGTTCTTCCACCACGGACTCTACAAGTTTTCTCGCAGAGATATCGGTCATCCACGAAAAGATGAACTTCAACACGCCGTGATCGTCGTATCGTTGCTGGACAAAGATCTCGAACCAACGGAGTCGAGAATCACACTCGACGCTTATCTCGAAGCTCGCAGTCTCTCCGCTGTTGACTGCAGCCCACCATGACCTCTCGATGGTATCGGCCTTGGATTGGAAGCAAGCACTTCGCCACGCGAAGCCCTCCCTCGCGGCCTCAAAGAAGCTCGTCCTGTCTGTGTCCATGAGGTCAAGGTATACGTCGTTGACGTAGACCGGGTAACCGTCACCACGATCCATGCACATGCCTATTGGTGCGTGTTGGACCATTTCGGTAAAGTTTCGCTCGCTTTTCTCTGCTTTGGAGGTTGCGGCCGCTAATTGATAAGACAGCGCAGTAGTGAGTTCGTTGGCTCGTCGCTGTTCGGCGGGTAGCGATAGCAGAGCAATTGATTTGAACAGCAGATCACGGAGTGACTCAAAGAACTGGAGACTACCAGCGTCAACGGCCCTCACAGGGTTTGATCCTATCACTACAACGGCGGAAATACGTTGATCATACAATCCGTCGATCGGCAAGACGTATGAAGTGTGGACAATGCCCTTGTCAGGAACATTGATCTCTAATCCAGGTGGCAATGATTCAGTAGACTGATCCAAGACACGGACAGTATTGACAGATTCCTGGATAAGGTGATTGATGGAAGAGGGTATAACTCTGCTATGCGTATCGATGCCAAAGGAGAATTGGCTCTGCATGGTTGATGTGTCGGAGTCTGGGTCAGTAGATGAACCGTGAGCATAGACTATTGCATACGACACGTCTCTGCTATGCCTGAGCACACGCAACAGTGTGTCCCAGACGTTGCGTACATCTGTGGCTCCGCTGACACCTTCGATGAGTTGTTTACAAACTTTCTGACGATCTGCCTGTAGAACAGCTGTCGTGATTTCTATAAAGTCGTTGAGGACACCGATGAAACGGCCGTCGGGGGAGGGAATAGGCAGGAAGACAAAGTCGAAGAAGCAACTCTCTGGATAGCCGTTACGGGTGAGGATGAGTTCTGTCCCTTTGTTGTGCATGGGTTTGCCACGCTTGATGCCAGAGACGAGCATGTCGTCGAGGTGACTTGCCATGGGAGCGCCCCAAACTTTAGCCAAAGGATTGCCAAGAGGTTCAGGATGCATTTCGCCGACGACAAACCTCGCAGCCTCGTTGTAGAACATACACATATCGTTACCCCAGTAGATGACGCGGGGGATCTCGGACGTCAAGATGGTAGAATAGAGCTGTCTCAGGGTGGGGTGCCAATGTTGCATGGGACCAGCAGCGGTACGACTCCAGTCGTGTTTGACGAGAAAGTGGATCCAGGGATCGCTGGTGAGGTGAGGGTTGGCAAGCCAGTCGACGGTCCAGTCGTCGAGGCGTCCGGTGGAGGCGTGGGCGTCCTGGAGCACGGGGGTCGCGTGGGAGTCGACTGTTGTTGTACTATCCGGATCGCGCAAAGATTCGGCATCCGAGTCTTCATAGGTGTATTCACTCTGCTCTTGCTGGCTGGTCTTGGTCGAGAGTTGTCGCTCCAAGGGCGGGCGTGGGCGTTTATTTGTCCGGCCCAGCGACTTGTAGGGCGATTGAGCTTCGTATTGATGGTTGGAGCGACAAAAGACGGCAGTCCAAGGACCTTTCAGCTTCTTGAACGACCAATGTCGCAACGCGAAAGTGCCTAGCTTTGTGATGCGGCGCGCATGCTGGCCTGCCTGGTGGCGGATGCTTTCGTGTATTGTCGAGATCCAGCTTGGGAAGTGGGCGGCCTGCGACGCGTTGCTGAGGATGGCATCGAGGGCGGCATTGCGAAAAAGGACCTTGGGAGTCGTCGAGTGCTCGAGGACAAACGTCGGGCGGTCGTCGTCGTCGAGGAAGTCGACAAAAACGTCGAGCTCTGCAGGTACGTCATTGACTTCAGCTAGCGACATTGCGACTCTGTGACGCTGCGCCAAAGAGATGGCCAACTACCTCCTAGGGCACGCGCGCAAAAGAGACGGCTACCCGGTGCACGTCTGGCAAGGAGAGCGCAGGCAAGCAATTCAATGGGAATGACGATGCAAAAGACCATGCCAATATCCACGTTGCCGCATGCCTCGAAAAGAATGCCGTGTCTGCTTTGGCGACTTTCTGCTGTGCTGTCTCGGCTCGGTGCAGGTGGTCTAGGCCCGCATCGCCCGTCATGGACCCTACCCTAGCGCCCAATGACATGGTCCCTCTGTCATCTCCGCCCTGAAACGTCTACTGTATAAGCCATTGCTACCAACAGTACCGATTTCACTACAGAGCACCAGAGCCTCTTCTTTTCAATCGCTGTCGCTAAATTTCTAAACTTGGCTCAATCAAGCTGAGGCTCTTTTGATCATGTGAAACAAAACATTGACCTCGACCTCCAACTGAGGATTACTTCTCCGATATTATACAATATGCTCTCGCACCGATTGCGTTTTGCTGTGCTGATCTGCCTCTCCTCTGCGCGCTGACAATCTTCTCTCCAGACCTCTGCGAGCTGTCTTGCACGGACTGAAGCACCCACGGGGGGGGGACAGAAATCCGTGCACTCCAAATTCTTATCAGCCTACGAAGGATAGAACGCGGCACCAATAGGTATGAATGATGGCTAGATTTCGAGCATGCTACAAAGTCTCTAAGGTGTGAAAGATAAAGAAGGCCAGATGGTATCGTATTAACTTGATTCTTTATGTTGTCATGTTGTTAGATCGTTGTGTTGTTATATGGCGCACGCGTTGTGAGTGCACGGACTTCTGTCCGCTGCGTGAAGCACCCAAGGATTGTCCCCGTTCCGTGCAGCTTCTGATTGGCACACGCAGCCTGTCCTGGAGAAATGCAATACACATTTGCCACCCAGGAGCAGTCCGCGCGTTGGCATGCATTTCCTCTCTTTCCCATGCCGCACTAGGACATGTCCGATCCTGTAGCAGTTCCAGTCTTTTGTCCGAGCTACACACGAACAAGTGCAAGAGACTCGCTAAACAACAGGCCTAGATGCCCTTGCTCAAACGTCTTGCCCAGCTGTTACAATCTGACGTCAAGTTCAGTCCGCCAAGTCACACCTTGAGTAGTTCTTACGTTGAGGGGGATGCAGTTTAAGTCGACCATTCCTCTTGTCCAGTGAGAGGGTCATGCCTTTCTTTTACCTTTGCTCGAGACTGCCCATTACTTCCTGACGGGGCCCACTATTCGGGAGTGCCCTCGAGTTACATGTCGGCCACTCCTTTCCATCTCGACTCAGCTTGTCTACCTCTTGATCGACTTGCAGCTTTTGAACGAAACATCCTTGATGGCATTCAGGATTTGTTGTTGGTGCTCGCACCCGACGGTCGTGTACTTCACGCATCCCAGATGTGTCTTGCGCTAACGAGCCTCACCCCCGAACATTTCGTTGGAAACCACATTGCCACATTCATGCATTACGACGATCTGCCTGTCTTTCTCGAAGAGTTCAAAGCAAGCTCACTCTCAGGACAGCCATGGAGATTTCAGCACCGTCTCCGCAAGGCAGACGATACATTCGCCGTCTTCGAGTCAGCTTTTAGCCCATTCCTCGATACCTCGGCAGCCCAGACAGCAGGGTTTCACGGTCTTCACAAATGCGTAATGACTGTACGGCCTTATTCTCACCCCTCGGCGGTCTTGTTGGATTCATATCTGGAGCACATCACGACGCAAGCTCGTCTCATCCAACAACTCGAGGACTTGCGGTCAGAAGCAGAGATTCTCGAAGATGACGATGACGACGAAGATAAGGTAGAAGAAGCAGGAGAACCAGAAGAAGAGAAAGAAATGGCGGATGAGCTCAGGATGCAAAAGACTGGCGTCTGCGCTCCAAACATTGCAAACACAAAAAAGAAGGTCAGTAGCATTCCTCCGCTTTTGATCTTGACTGAATTTTTCGCCAGATCCATGTCAAATCCGAAACCAACAATCTCTCAAACGACCTCTTACGGAAAGCAGTCCTGAATTCCGCCATGGACAACGATCGTGCTCTCTCGGACCGCGCAGTGTCGAAGCTCCAGAGGACGTCCGGCGCGGGAGATATCGGAATCCAAATCACCGTCTCACGTCTGGAAACGATCAGAAAGACAGGATCGTGGGCAGCCAAACCATGCGTAGCGAAGAGACGGAAAAATGCAAAGCCCTGCGACCATATCTGCGTTCAGTGCGGGACAAAAGACTCTCCAGAATGGCGTACGGGATCTCGCGGCAAGAAGACCTTGTGCAATGCCTGTGGACGTAAGTGTTGGTTCCTTTTCTTCGATCGGGTTTCCCGTGTTGACGTCCGCGTTCTAGTTCGTTGGGCCAAAGCTGGCAAACCTGAAGCGCTGGAATGTGCTGCCACAATGATAGAATGTGTCAGTCAGCCGTGATCTGACTCTTGGTCTTGTCCAGGATAGCGTAGAGCCCCAACAAAGTCTCGTTACGACTGCTGTGTGCAGACTCGAGTAACGCTGAAACGCACGCTCGATCGCTCAAATGCTCGAATGTCTGCTATTGAAGAAGCGCACAATCTCCTGAAACAATGGAGGCATCTACTGTACATCAGTAGAGCTGGCGAAAAGCCCGTTGCGCCGCCCGAAAACAATCCCTTGCTTCTCTTATGCAGGAGGCTGCCATATAGTACAACGACGGTTTCGTGGTTTTCGTGGTCAACTGCTCGATCCGGGCGCAAGTTTCCTCCATCCTGTAAACCCCCAGCGTGTTGCATGGTCCGCGAAGGTATGCGGCTCTGTCTCGTAATCGCACAAAGTCCTTTTGTTCTCTACAATCTCGACGGTCAGATAAAGATTGGCCGGTCATGACTCTGGCGTGGTAGTTCTCACAAGCAAGCATCCATCTCGTTCAGTGTTTGTTTTGCCAGGTCGATAAAGTCAAAAACCAGTGATCGGCTGAAGTTCTGGTCCTCGTCGTCGTCCAGATCGAGTATGTTGCTGAAGACTTTCGCATCGAGGGCATGATCGATCTTGGCCAACGTCGCGAGCTGACGGGCTCGTTTCTGCTCCACGGACCCCATATGATGCGCGCAACGGACCACACGTGCCTGTCGCACAGGGGATATATGTCGGATGGGATTGTCGGAAACCCCAAAAAGCAGGCATCGAGTAAGATGGGCAAACCTCGATCGATTGTTGTCGCGCGCAGGATTCGATCACATGTTTGGGCTGATATGAAAACCGATGCACGAGCCAAGGGCCCAGACTGTTCTTGGATCGGGAGCCTGTGTTTATGCTTCGGCCGTTAATTATAGGGATACCGTGTGGATGCATCGCGGAACCCGGAGCTGTCCCGTGTGTGGATGCTCGTTTACCGCTTACGTGTATGCTGGGGCACGGAAATACTGTTTTTTTAGCTCATGATTCTTCGGGCTGTTCACCTCTATGGTCTCTGACCAGCTGGAGTTTGACCACTAGGAAGGTTCTTATCGCAAGAGCAACATTTTCTATCGTCTGCACAACGACCAATCTCGCTCTCTCCTTCGCCACATCCTTCCACACCGAATCCGGATCGTTACCAGACCAGTGGCCAGCTTCAACAATCCTTTTTGAGGTCTTGCTCCTCCTCCCTTGAAATCTAGCATCACATTGGTTGAAAAACAACCACAAGACCCTAGTCAACTTGCATGTAAACATCCAACATTTCTGGACTTCTACAATCGATCAGCCATCGCGCGGCTGTACAATCGAGTATCCCTCTGGGGATTCTTCTATTTGGAGCAAATGGCAAACCCCAGCTCAAAATGCCAGACCATCCGTGGTGTCACGAACAAATATCGTCTCTGCTAACTCGACATGATCGTACGGGGAAAGGCCAGACCCAGAAATCTGCCGTCTTGCCTATCTATTGGAAACTTGACATTTTGTGCAAAAAAGAAGAAACAAACAGAACAAAAACAAAAAGAGATAGTTATTATTTATACTACTTAGACCTACAAAAGAAGCACTTTTTTTTCCAAGAGGCATTCTACGAAGAGAATTCTCTGCAACACTAACCAACCTGATCACCACATCCCATCCAATCCCTTTCTCGGGCCTCTTCACTTACATGCCCTCCAGGTAATCAATAAGTCTCAATCTGCTCCTCTGAATCTCTCTCAAACTCTCCTCCCTCTTCTGGTCTCCAAGATTGTGGCCGGTGATGAGGATCAAAGTGAAGAAACTCTCCACAATGCTAGGCGGGACATTACAGATGATCTGACCAAGCTCACTCCACTTCATCGCCGTAGCGATGGCAATGAGTGCTAGGATAACAAACACACCAGCGACGACGGTATACTCATGAGAACACACAGTTCCCATGATGATGGAGAGCCGACTGTTGAGTCCCAATTTCGGTTCCTCGTTCTCGGTCGAGTCGGTCAAGCCAAGAATAGCGAGCAAGTCCTTGTCGTCAAGGATACGCTGATCATGTTGTTCCTCTTCGCGTATGTTGCAAACATTGCAGAGATTCCTAAGCACAAAGCCATCGTTCATGCCAATGAGACCAGCATAGGTACCGATCAAAAGCCACCAATTGTCATTGAACGACATTATTGGCCCCAAGACAACCCAAACGATCATGACCAAAGCCAAAAGAGCGATCCCGAGCAAAGTTCCAACCAGATCCGCATAGAAATTAATCACGCGTTGGATCTTGCCAACATGAGGCGCGGCAATAGTGCAAATTCTGTTCTCAATCTTGTCGCCAGTTTTCTCTCTCAGCATACGTTCGAGTGTGGCATCTGCGGTGTAGATGAGACTAACACAATCCTGGAGGTGCTTCTCATGTCGCTCTCGGTTGTTGGCGAGGAAAGCAAGCAACAAGACCATGAGGGCAGACGTGGCCGAATTGATGTAGAAGAACCAAGTACTGGACCACTTGCAATAATGGCCAAAGCCAAGCCAGACACCAATGCAGATCCAGTAGGCAGTGACAGTACCGATATGACCCATGAATGCGGATGCCTTGACGCAGAATCGTGCAAAGATTCCATCCTGGGTAGGCAGATCCTGAGTCAACAGTCGCTGGTTCGAGACGCGAGGGCCAAGCGGACGGGGTCCAAGAGCACGTAACATCCTCCTGTGGCTTTCCGCTCGAGACTGAAGCTGGCACAGTATCTCCATCGTCTCATCATAAGCATTTAGTTGCTGACGGACAAGGAAAGAATCAAACACCATGTTGATGATGGCCTGAGCGTCAGAAATACCAACTTGCCAGCCGGTCTGATCGGCAAACTTGATACCCAGGAGAGCCCAGCAAGCAAGCGCAATGACAGTGAAGATGAGTACCGCATTGGATCCAGAGAGAGCGACAATTCTGTCTAGCCAGCGATCCAGCATCCTGGTTTTCCTGGTGCCGAGATAGACTACCTTGGCGTCTACTTGCTTGTGCTCTCCGTCGGGAGAGACAAAATGAGTGGCAGCGGCAGCTTGAGTTTCACCTCTGGCTCCGATGGAGAAGAAGAACTTTGTGGTCTTGTCCATCGTGACGGTATCCTGTGGTTTGGATATAGCTTTTGTGATGGCTCATATAGTGATGGTGATTGGAAAGGCTTCAAGGCTGTGGTCGTCTGCGAGCGACGCTTGGAGTGGCAGTTGGCCACCGGAGAGTGTCTGTGTAGAGCGCCAGCTTTGTACTTGCAACCATTTCAGGGTTGCGGAAGAACAATTGAAGAGGGGTGAGAGATCGAATTGTGGTAAATGTAAACCTGAGGTAAAGCGAGGAAGGACGCGAGGACGACAAACGTCTGGCGTTTCGACTTCATATACCACTCTTTGATGATCTTGGTTCGATCGTTGGGCAGTTGACTTTTTTCGCAACACGATGCGCCACCAAACACCAGAAAATGGCGCAAAAGTAGGCTGGAGTCGACATCGATCTATCTTCTCACGAGCCAGCCGTCTTCGCTGTTCCTCGGTCGGTAACGGTCGGCAATACACCAGCGTGGACACGTTGCATAGACCCGCCAGAATTTAGACCGGATACGGGCGGTCAAATATACATCGAGTTCTCGAGGACGCGTCGTTCATGGTGTCTGGGTGGGCATGGGAATGTCACTCGAAAGCCTAATTCGTGAGATCAAAACCACAGGCAGTCGTCTCCATTGCAAACGTTTGGACGCTGTGTGCGGATTTTGTCGGTGTTTCGGGGGCTACTGATTGAAGTCGAAGAGAGTTACCATGTAGGTGCACGCTGATCTTTCCTTGCAATGTTGATGTTCTTGTGCCTGGAGAGTTCGTGATCTCTAAGAGAAAATGCCCTGGTTCACGAACCACGAAGCTTGTCCGAAAAGCTTAGCAAGCTTGATTCGGGAGTAACCCCAGCAGATTTAAGCGAGAGTCTCCATGTAAACAGGCCAAAAGTCAGAGTAACAACACGCCGACTGTACGCAATGTCTCAGCGCAGAGAAGGTGATTCTGGCACAGGAAATCTGATCACAATTCCTCGGTTTTCACTCCTGGCCTGACCCAGCCCGCTTCTACGATGAAGGCAGTGAGCGAATCTGTTGAGCGACTACTTCACTCTCTCCGCTCTCAGGGTCGGAGATCCTTCTCCCTCTCCGACTCCTTCAGCGACAGACTTTTCTCTCCCACCCTCAACCCCATCATCACTGTTAGAGACCGAGATCGCATCGATCTGTTCAATCGGCACATTGAGCACAGTCTTCTGCATGCCTTCATCACGCCGCTCAATCGGAATAAACACATCGTAGTATCTCGGCATGACGAAACCAAGCAAGACTCCAACCATTCCCAGAATAGAAAGGATAAAGCCGGTGATCATCATGGGATCATATCTCAGCGAGTGGAACTCAGGAAATGCAAAACTAAAGATGATGGCGAGGACTGGGCCAGATACATAGCGTAGCAGCACAGGCATGAAGGAAGGTATTTTCCAGTTCTTGCCGCTGCCGACGACGATGTTGAGGTCGCGGCGGAGTTGGTTACCCTGGGAGCTGTTTAGTATGTGCATTCATCGATGAGAATCGGGTCACTTACGGAGTAGAACGCTAGATACCAAAGCTGGCTGAGTCGACCTCTAATCAGGGACATGGTTCCAGTACTGTGCGATCCAGAAGGTTTTGCGATGACACCTGCGATGACAGTGCAAGCAACGAAGAAGCCAAACCCGGCACCAGCGCCAGGACCTGCGCTTTCAAGACCGTGAGCAACGGTCACTCCAGTGAGCAGACCTCCAAAGTATCCAAGGTTGTAAACAATGAAAGCAGGCAGACCGACTTGACCAGTCACATCGGTCCAGCGATACACAGTCGTAGCACTGACGACCTCGCAGAAGACGACAAAGATGAGGGCGATATTATTGATCCAGCGATCGACTCCGTCAAGCAGGTAGTACCCGAACTCGGTGCAGTAAGGCAGACACATCAAGAATGAGACAAGCGTAAGGGCAGTCACAATCACGGGACGCGAGTATTTGACACCAGAGTCAACGAGTAGAGTAGCAACAACGTCCAACATGACAAAGGCAGAGCTGAAACCAAGTACGATCAAAGTCAGGAACAGCAAGACAGCCCAAAAGTTGGCTCCAGGCATTTGAAGCACTGCTTCGGGCAGAGTAAGGAAGCCGACCACAAAAGCTCCTAGGCGCTCATCTGGCGATGGCCAACGTCGAAGAAAGCCGACCACACCAAAGATGGCAAAGGCGGCAAAGTTCTCGAAAAGGACATTACTGCCGCAGATGAGGACAGCATCCATCACGGCGTTCGAGTGCTTTTGGTTGTAAGAAGCATACGATGTAAAGTAGCCAAAACCAATGCCAGTCGAGAAAAAGACTTGTCCGACGGCAGTCTGCCAGACGGTGCCAGAAGCAAGTTGATCTCCTCTCCACGTTCCCCAGAGAAGCTTGACTCCAGCACCAGCGTTGTCTAGCGAGAGGGCACGCCCGACAAAAATGATTGTGGTTATGATAGGCAGACCCATGGTAAAGTACACGACTCGCCCAGTCATGCCGACACCACGGAAGATGGAGAACCAGATCAGAAACCAGATGAAAGCGCTCCATCCGACGGTCTCTCCAATCAAGCCGACAGCAGGATAGCTGGTGTAGGATGCAACGTCCCTGCCCCCGTTGGTAAGGCTCCCAGAGATGGGCGCTGGATTCGCAACGACATCATTGTTGTAAAAGTCCTCGATACGGTTTTCCCAAGGCAGCGGACTCGTGAAGGAATTGCGAAAGTAATTCATGATCCAAGCGAGGTTGACAGTAAAATACTGAACCACAATGAGACTGACAAAGACGGGGCCGATGCCGACACCTTTGAGACGTCGGTTGATGTTGTTGAAGGCAATGACACTACCTCCACGGTAGGCTTGACCGATTGAAATTTCGAGGACGAGGGCTGGGATAGCGATGAGGAATACGGCGAGGAGATATGGTATGAACCATTGTAGGCCGTAGTTGTTGTATACGACCGAAGGGTAACGAAGAAGATTGCCCTGACCGGCACAACCACCCATGGCCGCAAGCAAGAAAGCTGCTCGTGAAGGCCATTGGTCACGGCCATCCTCTGCCCTCTCAGGCTCGGGAAAGAACCACTTGAAGCCTTTCTGCACGTGTGTCTTGATCGTTCGTAGAGCCATGATTTGTAGATGAGGAAACAACGGGCATAATAGTGGGACCTGCCATGGTTAAATCTATTGAGCACTCATGCTGACCTACCCGTCTGGCTGGGATAGTGTCCTATCTTCCTACGACCATGTCGTGCGCCAACCCCTTGGCTACGATTCAATGAAATCCTGATATCTTGGTCTGCTTGGCCTGCTCGTTGTTCTGTCGCGTAGTGCCATCGCGCCGTCATATCTGAAGACGAGAGCATCTTCTCAGGACTGTTGAAGTTCTGGTAGATCGCGCTGCTGATGAGATCTTTTCGTAGACAATTCGGCTGTGAGAATATCTTGTACGGTGGTTACGAGAAAGGGAGGTTTGAAGAAGATGGGAGACGCGTCGAAAGCACGCGATGCTCGGCATGACATCAGAGCCTAGCCGTCTTCCGAGATCCGGAACCTGACAGGGTGATCCTCGACACAGCAATTTTCGAGACTCCAAAACTTCAGACGGCGACAGCGAGGTCAATATTTCGGCTTTGTGGATTTCCATATCTCTAAGACGCTCGGAAAGCATTTTGTCATCTATGTTAGGACGATTGAATGCTCAATGTCAAGGCCAGCAAAGTAATCTTGATTCTACGATTTTGCTCCAGGCTTCCTGGAATCGACAACACCAAAAACATCGATATACCACCATCTTCTTCACAACAACAAGATTTACTGACAAATGACGTATCACGAATGTTACAAGGGTCACGATGACGAAAGAGATGAAACCAAACTCACAGAAACAGGAAATAATAAATGCGTCTATAGACCAAGAATGCGCTGCAATTCGATATAACTCTGATCAACATTCTAATAAATCTCCTCAAGCCCAGCCTCTTTCCAGCTGCCATCTCCATTTGCAACCCGATCTCTTACACCCCAGTAATCACCGCCAAAGTGCCAATACTCTTCACCAGTGACAGGATGTTTCTCGAGCTTGAACCATCTGGGCTCAAAGTGTTCGCCAGCTGCCTCGCGCTCACGACGCCTGGCTCTTTGCTTCTCTTCCACCCGGTTCTTCTCGTCAGATGCAATGTCGTACTTGCCTTCCTCCATAGCGCGCTGATCGGGTCGGAAGCGAGAGTCGGTGGGTGCAAGAAGCGGCTGCAGACGCTGAGGCAAGGCGTTGAGTGTGACGACGAAAGGCGTGAGGTTGAAGGGAATGCCTTGAGGACGAGGTCCAGCTTCCCAGACAAGAATCGCTTGGTTGGATTCCTGTGACTTGGTTGAGGTGCCGAGATTCTCGTCTTCATAACCTGGTGTAGGACGAGCGTAGATCTTGTCGTTCCAGCGACCGCCAATGCTCCATTTGGGAACTCCTTTGGCGTCGGTGACTTTGCCGGCAACAAGGAAGGCGGATGATGCTTTCCAGCCTCGCTGTTTGAAGTCGAGAATAGCCGTCTCACCAGTGGTGTGGTTCTTGACCTCCATCAAGCCGTAGTTGTCAATAGTGGGATTACCAGTAATGATTCCAACGACAGACGAGGTGATCTTCTTCCACGTGTAGAGTTCTTCCGGTCCATGAGTAGGCTTGAGTCGCAAGAACCATGTACCGAGAGGGTTGATCTCGAAAGATTTGCCGTAGAACTTACTCTTGACAGATGATTCACCATAGTACTCCCACTTGGCACTCTCCGCAAAAGCGGCACCGATCGGAGGGTGGTGGCTGACTTGCTCGATGAAGAAGCGATAACCCTTGTCAGGACGAACGTACTCGAAAGTCTCTCCAAGCAGAGGGTTGAAAGGCTTTGCAACTCTGCCAATAGTAGAAGCATACTCCGAAGCAGCAAATCCAGCAACATAGACCATTCTTTCGGCAGAGTCAGAGCGTTCAGCAGCAGTATCCAGCAGCTCAGTGTACTGCATATCCTCTGCGACACGATAAAGGAGGGACGTGGGTTCGTTGAAGGTGACGGGGAGAGTCATCTTAGTCATATCCTTGCCGATCATGTTCTTGAGAATACCCCAAAGCGAGACCTTTGGTCGATTGTCGGCATCGATAGGAAGCTTGGCTCTAACAGGATCCTCGTAACCTTTGTACGACTTTTGGATTGCGGTAGAAGTGTTGTCCTCGATGGGCGCAGCCTTTTCTTCCTGCTGGATGTTGGTTTGAGGTGTGCTTGCGACAGGCATTTGACCGACGACTTCAACTTCACCGGCATCAACAGCATCAAAGAACTGCTCGTCCATGTCCGAGTCATCATCGGAAACATCATGATTGGTCAAGTCTGCAAGCGTCTGTCTGCGACTAAGAGTTGGGGAAGGGGGACCGGCAGCAGCAGTGCCATCAGCGGCAACAGGAATGTCGGCCACAGCAGCGGCGAGCTTACTGCTTTGAGTGGCCGTGGTGCCTCTGCGACTGCGAGTACGGCTTGCGGTACCTGAGGCCTGTCCCTCGAGAGCATCCCTGAGGGCCCGCTTTGTTCTCTTGCGCTTGTCCTCACTCTCGCCGATGCGATTTTCCAGCTCTTCTTGCTCGGCGGCGACGCGGGCCATACTTTCTTCCCAAAGCTTACGGATATTTGCTTCGCGATCGACGCGGTGTTGCCAGTAAGCATCGTGGTCCTTGGAGATACGAATAAGGTCAATCAAGAGACCTCTGAGATTGCCAACGGCAGTATCGTACGAGGTCAAAGCGTATTCGACATCGGCATGGCCTAGAGGAAGGGTGGGGTTGTTGACTCTCTCTTGTTGCAACGAGTTGGAGACGTTGGCCAACAAGTCCAGCTGGAGCTTGGCCGACTGAGCAGTGATGTTGAAGGCGTCCTTGTTGATAGGCTTGACCTCGTGAGAGCTATCGTCGTCGGCGTAGTCATCATCTTCATCTTCAAAGTCGCGCTCGCCATCGGTTTCGAATGTGCGGTGGCGGGTCAATCTCGTGGGTTCGTCGCCGTACAAAGTCTCTCCGTCGGCGGTATGGGCGATGCTAGTGCGGCGATCGCTTGTCACGGTGGGTGCAAGAGTGGACGAGTCGGCAGCAGAGGGAGCGATAGAATGCTTGTCGGCAGCAGCCTGGCGCAAGGCCTCACCCTCTTGACGTTGGCGTTTCTGCTCTTCACGGGCCTCATCCTTGGACCATTGGATGGCGTTGTTGAGGGACCAGAACCAGCGCTTGGCCTCGACCTCGTGGTTTGCCTTGAGGTGGTACTTGACCGACGACTTGCCGTGGATCTCAAAAGTCAACTTTTCCTTCGAGTCCATGTGTAAAGAGGCAATCTTCATGTTGATGGCACCACGGCAGGCCGAGCCAGCATCATCCTGGTGCTTGTAGTAGCTCAGAACACCATCCTCAAGCACGAACCATCGCAGCTTCCAGCCCGACGTGTAGTTTGTCCACTTTTTCAGATAGCCCTTCATCTCACGTGCTTCCTTTGCGCTTAGCGCATTCTCTGGCGGACCCTCACCCGTACCCAGTATGGCCTTCTCTTGAACACCTCGTTGGGCGGCGGCAGCAGCCGGAGACTTTTTCAGAATCTGCTTGGTGTGGTCGTCTTTTGTGATTTCCTGAGGCAGCTTGCCTCTGCGATCGCGACGGAAAGGGTCGGCGCCGTTGAGCAGCAGTATTTGGATGAGCTGGGTGTCCTTTTTGCGGGTGGCTTCGTGCAGCAGGGTGCCGCCAGACTCGACGGTCTGGGGCTCGGTGGCCAGCTCGGGGGCATTGATGTCGACAACGTGACGAACGTGATCGTCGGCAAGTACGTCTTCGAGAGTACCGTAGTCGGCGGACTGGATGAGGTGCTGGATCCTGTGAGTAGTTCTCTCGATAAAGACGGAGCGAGCCAGCTGCAGGAGCTGGAAGACTTCGGGGCTGCGGGCAAGGTCTAGCGGCGTCTTTCCCTGGAAGTTTGTGACGGACTCGTTGACTTGTTGTTGGTCGAGGAGGAGTTTGATGACGGTGGTACGGGCGAGGGATGAAGCAATGTGGAGAGGAGTGTTGCCGTCGCGGTCTCTGGCGTTGATGTCGAGTGTGTTCTGGCTCATGCTCAAGACATACTCGACGACCGACGGCTCTGCGCATTGGACGGCGAGATGCAGAATGGTGTTGCCTTCGAGCTTGTTCGAGTCGTCGCGCAGGTGCCTGTTGATGCCGGCCGTGTCTCCTTGTCGCAAGGCTTCAAAGACCTTGAACAGCTTGACCGACTGTTCGATTGACGTGGTTGATGCTTGGGGGATGCTTGAGATGGAACCATTTCGAGGAGCTGGCGGTGATCGAACAGCTGGCGACGCAGACGGCGGGTCGGAATTGGTATTGGTCATGGTGGTGACGAGATGAGGGGCTGGACGGGCGCTCTGGAAAGAGCTTCGCGACGACGCCATGTTGGGCGACGACGGCTCCAAAGTGTCTGCTGTCGATGAGTCGTTGGTGTCGTCGGCTCTGCTCGTCACCTTGGACAGCAGCGATTTGGCAATCGACGACTTGTTGCGCTGATGCGACGACGAATTGCTGTTGCTGTTGCTGTTTAGCCCAAGAACCAAAGTCAGCCCTGCCGCAGATGCGATGGATTGCCGACTCTTACCTTTCGGCCATCTTGGCTCAATCTCGACAGTATCACTCTCTCAGTTCTACTGTATCAAACAGAGGATAGAGACGGAGCTATGTGAGCATCAGGAGCTGAGAGAGAACAGGACGGCAGCTCCAGCAGGCTAGACTCTGGCCTAGTCCCTGTTGAAGCACATGCATGACGCCGCTCGAGTCAACGTTGGCCGCCTGGTCTGGAAGTCTATTCCTACACTGCCCCAGCCGGTACTCTAGGTCTTTATACAAGCTCTATACAACATTTCCAAATCTACGACACGAGCAGAATCACACTGCCAAGCTGTCTTGCTACGTCCTCCTTGTCGACGTCGTGCGTGTCGTCGACCTCACCCCACATGTCTGTCTGCCATGTCACTTCGACGCTCGAAGCCTTGCGTGCTTCGGCGATGCCGAATCTGCTGGTGTCGTTGTTCTTCTGCACGTGTCTGAACTCCTGACTCCACTCGACCAACAGACGAGTTGCCACAAGCAAGCTCTTGGTAGCCAACACTCCTCTTTCGAGTCCCGCCAGCTCGAATGCAGGCAGACCAGAGATCCATCCGCGAATCACCTCTTGCGTCACCTGAGGCTGCTTGACGGGCATGATGCTATCCTCGCCCAGAACGGGAACAATCTCGAGACCCGGGAAAATGTGTGTGGTGAGGTATGCGAGAATCGGCTCGGCCGTCTCAATCTGCTTCTGGCGAAGACTCTGCTTGGGTTGCCCGTCGTCCTTGGGGTCAAACATGGACGCTGGATCGTGAATGCTCTTTTCGGGGTCCCAGCAAAGTAGTGTGTCGGTGATGAGATATCGCATGAGCATGGTGACAATGTTGTCTCTGATCCTCTTGTCGCCTGCAACGTCCGCATTGTGGATGTCGATAGCGCGCGAGCTCAGCGACGTGAGAGGAATGTAGTGGTGCTTCAATGCCTGTTGTGCTGATGTGAGAAGATCCCATTCGAGAGCAATGCCCGTGGCGAGGACGCGTTTGGTGGGTGGCAGAGTGAGAACCTCTTTTGAAGCGTTTCTGACCGGTCGTTTGTCCAGCAGGATTTGGAGTCCATCTGTACCAGTGTCAGCAGGAGATTTGTGATGGTTGTTGCTAGGCATCAGTGCGTACCAGCAGTCTCTTTGACCGACGTCTCTTTCCAGAAACGCTTGCGCAGGGCCGAGGCGGGCTTTGCAGGGTCGACCTTGATCTGGGCCTGTCTTGCCAGAAGAGCAGCCTGCTGTCTCTTACGGGCGACGCGCTCCTCGGTCTCGGTGGCAGGCGCTGTCGGGGGTTGAGGTGGCGGACCGGCAGCGATGGGATGAGGCAGTGGCGTGGCCGTCCTCGATGGGCTGCTGTGCAGACAGCGACATGCCGGGCGGAAGCGGGCGGCGGCTGTGCGACGACCAGACGCTGTCAATGCCGGGCGAATGACGGACTCCATGGTTGATAGGGATAGCGATATTCAGATGGTTGTAGTATTTTGGAGCTTCACATGCCAAAAAAGTCGCTCGCAGCCTCTCGCACGCTCTGCCGGCTTGTTTCTGTTCGAACCTCCGATCGTCTCGGGAGATCCGTGCACCAGAGCGGGGAAAGCTTGGATCTGTGCTGATCGCGCGCCCCGCGTCTTCTTCTTCTTCTCGACACGACCCCGAAATTGCGAAGTTGCGCCTGCCTGCTGAGCTTGAGCTGCTCCTCCTGCGACACATCTTCGGCATGACCCGATTCGTATTCCCTGCCGCATAGCGCTCTCACTTGGACTAGCCTCTTGCAGTTCTACCATCAGCCATTGTTTTGTCTTGACCATACCCATCCGTACTCGACCTCGGTCGCCAAATCCGTCAACAGCTCGGTTTTGAAGCCTTTGGGGTCGCTTGGCTTGCACGCGCCTGAGCCCCACTTGCTGCCATCCTTTCTCCATCTTTCGCACCTCTTCTGATCGCCGGGGGACTTCCTTCAATCTGTAGGCATGTTTTGCACGAGTAATGACTAGTCATCATGATAGAGATTGGGCTGGAAAGCTCATCTCGACTCCTTCTCAGCACCAACATGACCCATCTGCGTCTGTTGCGCCCGCCCCCGTCGCGCAAACTCAAGCGGCCAAACCAAAACCACAGCCCAAAAAGCTGCGATTCATCACCAGTCAGGGCGCTCCTTCAGCCAAAAGGCGTCGTGTTTCGACCGCATGCTTGGTCTGCAGAAAACGTAAAGTCGCTTGTTCTGGTGAACGCCCCCACTGCAACACGTGTACCAATAACAAATTGGAATGCACCGGATATGCCGACGACAACTCTTCTGGACCACCCAATGCCGACGACAATGAGACGCCTCGTCCAGCGCCTCCACCTCTGCATCCTTCCGAAACAGCAGACTCCATGAGGGCTCCTCCTGCGAGGACATCCAAGACGCCAACCCACAAGTCACAGAAGCAGAAACCAACCGATCCGCCCAGAGATGCTACTCGCACCGACTCGCAACATCTTGTACCGCGCCCATCGCGAGACGACAATGATCAGAGCTATTTTCCAAAACCAACGCCCTCTTTGTTCTCTGACGCCCGGAATCGTATGCCCTACTTCCGATGGCTCGGTCCTACTGCCATCATGCCAGGCTTCAAGCAGATGGTCGTCAAAGTCAATCGCTCGTCGTCGGCAATCGATGGAGTCACTTCTCCGTCCGCTGGTGCTCAGCCCGGCGCTTCGGCCTTGTCCAACCATTCTGCCACATATGAACCAGACGCACGTACTCCTCAGGCCTTGCCTTTCTACGACAACTCATCAATGCCGCCGAGCGAGTTGATCACCCATCTTTGTGACACTTTCTTCGTTCATCTTGCCTGCAACTATCCTTTCCTACAGCGCGATCGTTTTCTAAAAGACCTGGAAGAGAAGCAAGTTGATGCAATCCTCGTTGATGCCGTCTGCGCACTGGCCGCTCGCTTTTCCACCCATCATCTGCTTGTCCAACAATCACGCGACGGTCACGCTGCAAACCCCTCCGAGCAAGGTGCCGCTTTTGCTCAACGAGCGAAACTGGCCTTGATCGATACATTCGCCACGCCCAGCGTTGCTGCTGTACAGGCTGCTCTCTTGCTTGCTTACAATGAGTTCGGCGAGAGTAGAGACAGTGGTCTTTGGATGTATCTCGGAATATCTATCCGCATGGCTCAGGACTTGGGCTTGCACAAGCTTGATGGTCTGCGTTATGAAGGTCGCGATGGTTCTTCTCCCAGATACTCAAGGCACGATAAGCATATGGAGAAGGTGATTGAGCATTCCCACTTGCAAGATCAGGATGAAGACGTAGCAGAAGAGCAGCGAGCAGCTGAACGTGAGCGTGTCGATACACTATGGGCAGTCTTCTTCCTGGACCGAGTCGTTTCTTCTGGTACTGGACGACCAAGCACATTACGAAATGACGACATTGAATTGTCTTTCCCCCCTCTCGATCTGCTGGATCCTAAAACAGGCTGGCCTTCACCCTTTCCCGCTCTGATCCGGATTGTCTGTTTGTATGGTCGAGTTGCAGATTTGCTCAATAGTATCAAGGAGCCCTCGGACATCACCAGCGAAACACCACAGAAGTTAGCAGATATGGAAGCACGGGTCACAAACTTTTATCAAGGTATGTCTTTCCTTCCTGGGCAGATATCAAGTGGAATGCTCACATACCACAGGTCTCTCCTCCAAACTACACTTCCAGGCAATGAACTTCCACCACTACGTAAAAGCTGGAGAAGGAACCAACTTTGTCCTGCTACATTTCTGGTTTCACATGCTCATTGTGCTACTTCACCAGCCAACATTGCTCAAAACTTTTGAGGGCAAAATGCTTCAGTTGTTTCCAAACAGTCAAGCACTGTCCATGTCTTCGGCAAAGACCATTGCTGATATCTTGTCATACTCGCAACTTATCGATACGAAAGCAAGTCTAGGTAATCCGTTCACAACACAACCAATTTACATCGCCGCCTGTGCCTTTCTCAAGGAAACAGCTGAACAGACGGCGACCTCGAAGGAACACTCTCGTTCTCAGTCAACAGCCAACTCCCGTGCTGGGAGCCCAGTTCCTGCACCAACACCAGGGATCGCCGAAATGGCCAACATGACACGCCCATCAAGCATGCTGCCAAACAGTACAAGACCGCCTATGGTGGAGAGAGCACTGGCCCGCCATACCCTACTCGCGACAGCAGCGAACCAACATTACCAACTTTGCTATAAGGCACTACAGAGTCTCGAATCTTATTGGGCAGGGACAAAGTATATTCTCACAGTGCTAGATCAAAAGTTTAAGGGTGTCGGGGACCCTCTGTTGTATACAGCCGAGGAAGGAGAAAGTGCTTTTGAGCAGCCAGAGCCGACGCCTGCGTTCACTCAGCCAGGCTGGCGAAAGAAGAGTTCCTCGAACCCATGGTCACCGAGCGCACTGATGCAGAACTCGTTTATGCAAGCAAAATCTCCACCAGCCGGCGGCGATCCGAACCAACGTAAGTCATACGCCTCCAATGACTTCGAACCGAGACTAACCGCCTTGCAACAGCAATCGGATGGACTTTAACAGGCACACTCAACTCGCCGAGCACAAACGTAGCCTGGCACTTCACTGGCGGTGCAAACGAGCCCGCTCAACAATCTCTCGACTCGCTTCTCGACAACAACGACCCATTCGACTATGCCAGCATACATGACCAGACTCCCTCGTTCCAGCATCCACAAAACAACCACACACGAACATACTCAGGCAACAGTCTTTTCCGCGCTTCACCTCATCTCCAACGCCATCAACGATCTTCCCTTCCTGCACCTTCATATCCAAACATCGCACCCTCGCCAAATACATTCCCTTCTCATCACGATCCTCTCCACCCCTCTTCCTTTAATCAAGCGCATAACCCGCAACCCTTTGATGGCAGTAACGCAGTGGAAGAAAGCTTTGGAGACTTTTTGATAGAGTCTCAAGATGTGGATATGAGTTTACTGGGGTTGGACATGCTGCCTTGGTTCGATGCACCGAGTGGGGATCTGATGCCTGTGTTTGATGAAGCGTTGGAGATTGGAGGAGACGGTTTACAGGGCCATCGACAAGAGGAGCGTGAGGGAGGCGATGAAATCTGATGCCTTTCAGAAGCTCGTTAGTGGGAGCGGGTATGTGATTGAAGAAAAGCCACGGTCACAGAGAAGAAACTTCAACAAGCAAGAAAGCATCAAGAAACAGCAAACATGACGATAATAATGTAAAACAAATACACCGTTTATTATATATATACAAATGAACCTTATATCATCGTTAATCAATCGTCCATCATCTTGCCTAATGCTGAAGGCCAATCCTCATGGTGCCGTTCAAATCTCTAAAGTCTCCTCTGAGCGAATCAATACCTTCCTTCTTGACCTCCTCGACAAGTGCCTTGACTTTGGGTGCAATAGCCTTGGCGTCAAAGCCAAAGTGCTCGTACGCCTTCTTGCCGGGAAGAGACTTGCCGAACGAAGCCATCGAGTATCCGGCATCGGCGTAGCGCTCCCAGCCATTGACGGCGTAAGCCTCGATGACCACGCGAGGAGCATTGCTGCGGTATTGGAGCACTGACTGCTTGTACTCTTTGCTTTGCTGCTCGAAGAGGCGTTGGCAGGGGAAAGACACCACGCGGGCTTTGACGTTGTGTTGTTCCTGCAGCAGCTTTTTCGTCTCGACGGCGCAGAACATTTCCGAGCCCACGCCGATGAGGGTGACGTCGGCGTTTTCTTCTTCCATGAAGACATAAGCGCCCTTTTGTACGCCGTCGCGGTCGCTGTTTTCAGGGTATTGGGTGAGTGCTTGACGGGAAAGCGAGATGATGGAGGGCGTTGAGTCGGCTTTGATGGCGGCGATGTAGGCACCCGCTGTTTCCTCGGAGTCGCAAGGACGGATGTAGAGGAGGTTGGGCATGCTGCGGTAGAGTGCTGCAAGAGCAATAGGCTGATGTGTGGGACCATCCTCACCAGTTCCGATCGAGTCGTGAGTAGCGACATGGATTGCTTGCAGACCTTGAAGAGCACCCATACGGATACCAGGAGCAGCGTAGATGTAAAACATGAAGAAGGACGAAGTGACGGGGAAGATGGTGCCCTTGTTGTAGGCGGCGAGACCGTTGGAGATGGCAGACATGGCGTGTTCTCTGATGCCCCAGTGAATGTAGCGACCTGAGTAGTTGCCGTTGATGCCACATGCAGTCTTGAGATCAGGGTTCTGGAAGTCGAGCTTGCCCTTCCACGTCATGTTGACCGAGGGTGTCAAGTCTGCAGTGCCAACCATGAAGTTGGAGAGATTCTCAGCCAAAGGATTGCATACAAGACCGGAGGACTTTCTTGAGGGAGTAGGCGAGGTAGGGAAGCTGCCCTTGGCGGGGATGAACTTGGTCCAGTCCTTGGGCATCTTGCCAGCGACACGCAACTTGAACTCCTCGGCGAGTTCAGGGTACTCCTTGGAATAACCATCTACAAGCCCACTCCAATCCTTCTCATACTCCTGGCCTCGCGACTTTGCCTCGCGGAAGAAGTCATAGACTGCATCAGGAACGATAAAGTGCTCTTCGGGGTTCATGCCGAAAGTACGCTTGATGTTCTTGACATCTTCGGGACCGAAAGCAGCACCGTGGGCCTTTGCATCGCCAGCCGAGGCACTACCGATACCAATGATTGTGCGGATGTTGATAAAAGTAGGTTTGTCGCTTGCGCGAGCAGCAACGAGAGCTTGCACGACGCCCGAGATGTTTGTGGTGCCATCCATGACATCGATGACGTGCCAACCAACGGCCTTCATCTTCTCATTGACGTCGTCGTTGCAAGTGATGTCGACCGAACCATCACAGGTGATTTGGTTGTTGTCGTAGACGAGAGCAAGGTTGTTCAGCTTCCAGTGGCCAGCAAGAGAGACGGCCTCCATGGCAACACCTTCCTGCAGACAGGCGTCGCCAATCATGCAGTAAGTCATGTTGTTGACGACTTGATAGTTTGGCTTGTTGTAGGTGGCAGCGAGGTGCTTTGTTGCCATGGCCATACCAACAGCGTTGGCAACACCTTGACCGAGAGGACCCGTTGTGACTTCGATACCCTCGTGCTCGATCTCAGGATGGCCAGGGCAGATGGAGTCTGTGCGGTCCGAGTGGTATGATTTGAGCTGGTCGATTGTCATGTTCTTGTAACCGACCAGATGCATGAACGTGTATTGGAACAGACATGTGTGGCCATTGGAAAGAACGAAACGATCTCTGTTGAAGTAGTTTGGGTTTGCTGGCGAGTACTTCATGGCATATTTCCAGAGTGACACGCCTATGGCTGCCATACCCATGGCACCTGTTTGTTCGAGTCAGTCGTGTGTCAAAGCACCAATTGCCGGAGAAAGCTTACCACCAGGGTGGCCACCACCGAATTGTTCGCACAAGTCAGCAATCAAGCAACGGAAGACACGGAGAACTTGGTCGTGCTTGTCGGCTTGTTCAAGCTGTAATGTGGCAGCACCATTGGTGCCGTCAATCTGTGTGCCGAGCACCTTGACGGGGATGCCGGAGGTGGCTTCTTCGTAATGTTCAAGAGAGGGTGCCATGTTGGACTATGTGATCTGCGTGATGCTAAGGGGGAAGAGGAAATGGATGCGACGCAGAGAGCCTTTATCAATCATGTCGATTGTTGGAAACATTGTCGCATGTAGCTCGATGGCGGCGCTGGAAACTTTGATCAAGGCCAGCATCTCGTCAGAAAGAAGGAAGCCGCCATGCCGAAGAACGATGCGGGGTCGTTCGCCTGGCGCTCCGCTTGCCCACCTTGGCCAGCGCGTCAGCTTTTGCCTTTCCAACAAGAGAGAGCTGCTCGACGCAGCTGCCAAAGACGGAGAATGTCAGCGCCGTGGCTTCCCTTTCTCGCAACGCTCTCGAGTTCCTCGTTCTCCTTCTTCCAACACGGCTAGTCTCCGCGCCGTACCCTCTCAATCAATCCACAAATTGATCCACCGAGTCCTTGAAACATGACCTCTTGGTGACACTCGTCTTCTGATTGCGACGCCAGGTTCGAGCTGATCTTGTCATGTTATCCCGTCGTGTACAAATTCAGTAGGTCCCCGCTGCGCTCGTTCGCGAGAACAATTTTCTGCCTTTTCACGCCTAGCTTTGCTGCTTTGATCTGTCATACTTCTTGTTCTTCCAGCAGACGTCACCTTGTCACAGCATCATGGCACCTAGCATTATTTCGGACATTGAACTGCCCAGAGACATTCCCGAGTCTCGTCAATCAGCTGCCAATCTACCTATTCAGAAAGCTTTCGGCTTGGACAACAGAACCGTCATCATTACTGGTGCCGGCCGTGGACTCGGCATCACACTTGCTGTCGCTGTTCTCGAGTCTGGTGCCGATGCCGTCTGTCTGGACATTCTCCCTGAGCCCAGCGCTGAAGAGTGGGACACCATCACCAAGCTTCAGAAGAGCACCGGAGTCCGCGCTACCTACCATCGTTGCGACATTACAAACGAGGAGGCTGTCGAGAAAGTCGTCGCTGATTGCGGTGAGGAGGCTCGCCGGCGAGGAAAGCCCATCAAGGGCATGATCTCGTGCGCAGGCATTCAACAGATGGTTGACGCCATTGACTATCCTATGGATGGCTTCCGCCGCATCATGGAAGTCAATGTCACAGGAAGCTTCCTCATCTCAAAGTACACAGCTCGTCTACTGCGCGACCAGAAGCTTGGTGGTAGCATTGTCATGATCGCCTCCATGTCTGGCCAGATTGCAAACCGCGTAAGTTCAGAGTCTTTCATTCATGCTGCTCCCTCCCACTGACAAATCTCACAGGGTCTGCATTGCTCAGCATACAACACCAGCAAAGCCGCCGTGCACCAAATGTGCCGCTCTCTTGCCTACGAGTGGGGTCAATGGGGCATCAGAGTCAACACCCTGTCCCCTGGCTACATCCGTACTGCCATGACGGATGGTTTGCTGCAAGAGAAGCCTGAAGTCGAGGAATCATGGATGAGGGGAGCACTCCTGGGAAGGTTGGGGGCGCCCGAAGACTTCAAGGCACCCTGCGTCTTCCTTCTAGCGGATGGAAGCTCGTGGATGACAGGTGCGGATCTGAGAGTTGATGGCGGACACTGTGCGACTGCTTGAAAGCGCCGCAAAGATGATGATTAGAAGATAGAATATAGACATTGCTGTGTTTTGTTATTCGTGCTCGGAAATGTAAACCCATGTTTGATGATGTCTGCCTAGCAAAGCACGAACAATGCTTGATCTCAAGCTGAAGCTCAATGCTTCTAGAGGAATTGTGAAAGAGCGACTCTACCAGTAATCTTGCACTGTTGGACACCAAGACTGTATCAGACGTGAGCTGAAGAACAGATGGTTTGGACGCGTTTGGTAGAAGGCAGTAAAAAGTTTGATCTAGTGTGGTGTTGTCGATATATCTCGAGGTCAGCCCCGTTCTTGCCGTTGGTCTCTTGGTCCTTCTCCTCCAAAATTGCCCCGCACTCTGCAACACCCTCGACTCTCACATCTCTCTCTCCACCATCGACATCGCCGGCTAATAGATTGAATTGTCGTGACCTATGCGATCGGGTCGGAATCCAAGGGCCACGACTTCAGAAGACGGCTCTTTGGCCCCAGAAAATTACGAGGCTTCACCTTCACCACCACGCGCCCGGCATGGTCCTTCCAAGCGCTCTCTCCGAGGTCGCTCAGGATGCTTGAATTGTCGAAGACGACGGAAAAAATGCGACGAGACCAAACCAAATTGTACCAAATGTGAACGACTCGGTGAAGATTGTGAGTGGGATTCAGGCCTCAGCTTCCGCTTCAGCTCTCTCGAGGCCGATCATCCCAGCATGATAGCCGGCCAGAAAGTCGCGACCTCAGCTCCTTCTCTGCAAATGGTCGACGTCGTTTTCGATCTGGATACCCACGAGTGCAAGGAGTACATCAATGGCCAGGAGTACTCTACAGCCGATGAGATTCATCAAGAAGAAAGTCGCACCCCGCACGAACAGGACGACAGCGCTCTCTCATGGGACATGGATCTGGCAGTCAATGATCTCGCTCAAACTTTACCCCAAGGCCAAGCGACACTTCATAGAAGATTCACAAACGACAACATTCCGCCAGGCATGCAGCGGACACCCCTCACGAGGACAGATTCCCACGACATTCACGGCCTGAATGCCAGCAGACGGTCTCACAGTTTCGCAGCTGGAGAAACTGGCAATCACCATGTCACATTCCAAACACCGCTGCAATCTATAGATGATCCTCTATCGGTCCCCAGTCTTCCTGTCATCCACGAAGACGATCATTTGATGTCGTTTTCCCTGCCGGAACTCGAGTCTTTGGATTATCTCACAGATCGTGACGCCTTTCAGATATTCGGCGACTCCTTGTGGCCTCCGATGAGCAATGGCGACACCGCTAATCTGATGGACGTGGATCATGTTCCTGCCGAATCGCCGGACATGTATGCCATGTACTACCCGAACGCCACCTATCGAGAGTTGCACACTACCCTATACAACCACATGGTCGACACGGCTCGCGGCACCGGCCTAACGCGAACCGGCACTCCAGAGTCGGACAAGTCCCAACACAACGACGCATGCCAATCAACAGTCAGACAGACACCGCGATGGGAACCGACTGAATCTGATACATGTGCAAGAAACAACCTACCCAAAGGTATGACAGTTCGACGCGAAATGGAGCTCTGGCGGAATTACCTCGACGAGATAGCGCTCTGGTTGGACATGTTCGACAACGATCGTCATTTCCAGATACAACTACCTATTCTTGCACAAAACTCAGAAGCACTGCGCCTGTCGGTACTGGCTCTGTCCGCAAGGCAGATTGAACGAAGGGACCCGGATAAACCATATACAGAGAGCTTGGCATTATATCAGGAAGCAATCAGACTGATCGCTGCGGAGCTTGAAAGTATGAGCACCGAAGTTATTGGGAGCTGTGTGTTGCTTTGCGTGTTGGAGATGATGAGCTGTCAGTAGAATCGTCCTGGTTGCGCATTCTCATACTGACTCGCTATAGCTTCTCCAAAGGATTGGTCCCGACATCTGAACGGCGCAGCCATGTTACTCAAAGCCGCTGGCATCAATGGTGTTGTCGGAGGCACTCGTCAAGCCATATTCTGGTGTTTCGCTCGCATGGGTAAGTCCTCCCAAATATGCTGACATGTGCTCACGGCGACTGACTGAAACAGACATGTGGGGCGGTTTTCTCTCAGACTCACACACCAAGATTCCGACGAGTCTCTGGTTCCTTCCTACAGGCACGATGTCAACTGCCATCTCACGGTTCAAGACCGACTTTCAGAACTTTGACAATTACGCAAACTACTCTCTCTTCCTCTGCGCCAGCGTACTCAACGTCGTATCCCGACGTGGTAGCGCTACAGAGCGTGGAAGCACGTACAGCGCAAAGTGGAAGGCTCTGTTCGATCTTCTGGTGGACTGGGTCACAAACAGACCAGCAGAGATGCGCCCCATGACATCCAGAGCCCAAGAGACAGACGACGAAGGACTCTTCCCCGTCGTGATCTACTCAAACGCGGCAGCTATCAGCGCAAACCAACTCTACCATACTGCCACTTTACTCATGCTGCAGGCCAAACCAAACGATTTGAAAGTGCGGAGTCAAAGGAGCATATTCTGGCACGCTCGTCAAGTCATCGGTATCTCTGTAAGCAATTTGCTTCATGCTGCGTGGACGAATGCACCGCAGCCTCTGTACATTGCCGGTAAGGTCATGTCAAGCAAATCCGAGCATCGTGTTGTGTTGGACGCGCTTGCGGAGATTGAAAGGACGACCGGGTTTGCGACCCAATGGCGGGCACAAGATTTGAAAGAATACTGGGGCGACGAAGCGGATTGAAATCTTCTCGACTAGATTTTGATCAGATCTGGCCATCTTTTCAATACATTTGCACTTCAACGAGCGCTCTTCCAACACCAGATTCCATGCCAGGAACGCCAGAGTTCTCCACCTCGTAGGCGACTGCACCTTTTTCTGCGCAGACTTCCTTCAGGTGGTCCACGCTTCCGCCCACGCCGAAGTAGAATCTCTTTGCTGCGACGATTGCTTTTGCCATCTTGGTGCGGCGTAAAAGATGGATCAATAAGTCCACAAATGCCGTTGTGGAAGCCGGACTGTAGATGGTTTCGCTCGCCAAGATCAAACTGCCCATATCGGGAGCAGATTCCGGAATCAAAGAAGCCAGAGTCTCGCCCCAAGGACCGGAAATGAACGACAGTTGGATCCTCGAAGCAGCCAGCGAAGACAAGAACTCTGGCAACAAAGCAGGAATGTTCTCCAAATCTCCCGAGGGCTCAGCGGTCAGATCGATCAGCGGAGGAGACGTGGTCGCCGCCCAAGTGAGGATCAGATTCGGCAATGTTACCAATCTCAAGACCGAGCTGTTGTAGTCGGTCAAGGTAAATGTCTGAGGAATACCGTTTCTCAAACAATGTTGGAACAGTGTTAGAGAAGGCAACGCGCTGCCCGCACCCAACTCCACCACACCATCGCAACGAACCAAATCATCAATATCCTTCCTAGGACCGCGATCGAGCAATAAACTCGAGAGATCAAGACTGCATTCCCAAGTCTTGAAGCCGCCTTCGTAGACATTTGGCGCGAGATCTGTGGATTGCAGTTGGCTGAGGGTGGAGTCGTTATCATTGTCGGACGAGGCTTCGGACATGAGTTGGACGCGTATGTCGAAAAGTTCGCGGCGGGGGAGAAGCAGCACTTTGCCGGTCGGAGAGACGATTTGAGCGGTGCTATAGCATAGTCTGTCGGGGAGTGTGTCGTATAGCTGGCGCAAGTCGTGCTGGAGAACAGGCACTGGAGGCGGTGCTTGTGATGTGTTTGTGTCTAATGATGGCGCGTCCAGGATGGGAATATCTTGGTCGACGGTTTGGTCGATGTCGTCGCCGCCGAAATTGAAACTGAATGCCATGGTGACGATTTCTGATAAGATTCGTGTTGTTGGTGGATAGTTTTGTCGAAGAAGTCGTTGGATTTTTTGCCATGATGGAAAGTTTTCGGACATGGAGATGCCAAGAGTTTGCTTTCCGAAGCCGATGTAGAGGTTGGATAGACGAGCGGTACAGATGAGATCAGATGCTTTCGTTCATCAGCCAGACGTGAGTGCCAGGGGGAGCTGATAGTGCTTCTTCAGAACGACATAGAGTGAGAATGTCCATCATCCGCCTTCAGAAATTGCGTCGATGTTGCGATTGCCCATGGAAAATCGGCGACAGGAACCGGTGGTCAAAGCTTCTTAGGCCTTCCTCCCAATAATAACTGCTGCCTCTCTTCACTCTTGCATACCACTAACATAGCATCTCTGAATTCCATCGCCTATTTGCATGAGTCATTTACCAACGAGCGCTTTTATACTCTGTAGAAGAATATGCTCCAAGAGAGAAGAGTAAAGCAAGTTGTACTCGTACCATTGGTCCATCACAATCAACAAATACTGCGCTGACTCAATCGTTCTCCCAAAGTCTCATCCAGCAACAGCTAATGGTTTTCCGCATCCAAAAAAAAGGCCTCTGCTCTCAAACCGGAGAGTCATAAGTAACGGTCAAGTTATCCGTCTTGACATGCCTAGAGTACCCACTACCATAACTCTCCTCTTGGAACCTCCTATCCATGACTCCATACGAATAACTGTGATTCGCCACACTCGAATAATACGCATTGCCGAATTGTCTGGCGCTCAACTCCATGGGACCATCGACTAGTGTGAAGGTCGAAAGATCTGGTCTTCCCGATGATGCGATTTTGAGACCGTAGTCTACGTATGCCTCGAAGATGGAAAAGTTTGTGGATGCATAGGTCAAGTTGGCGGTGATGGGGTATGTGTAGCTGAGTGTGTTTGAGAAGAGGGGTGCGCTGTTGAGGACTGCGGTATTGGTGCCTGTGGTGGATTGTATGTTTGAAGAGGCCAGTCCGCTGTTGCCGACGTAGCCGATGTTGCTGTATGACAGGCTTTGTGTCCAGCTTCCGAAAGCCGATTTGGCGGTGAAGGTGCGTCTGGCCGAGACGCTGTAGTTTAGTGTTGTGTTGGTGCCGTTCGAGGTGCCGGTAATGCTGGATGTGGTCTGTACTGAGGGCGAAGTGGAGATGGAAGGAGCAGCATGGGGGCCGTTGTACTCTTCATTGCCGGAGAAGAGAAAGATCTTTGCGTTGACCAACCAATAAGCATTTATGCTGCCCGAAGAGAGGGTGGCTGGTCCATTGCCTCCGTTGTCATCCATACCCACGACTCTGATGCTGAAACTGTGCGGCTTGCCGTCCGAGAGATATGGCAGGAAGGGTGAAATGTCAATTTCATACTCCCGCAGATCGTATGCGTCGATACCTACTACTGGACGCCAGAAGCCTGGAGCAATGCCACCAGTGAAGATGACTGGAAATGGCCACGCGACGCCTGCCATCATGTCGTCGATGTACAACTGAACCTCGCGGAAGGGACCATATCCCAGTAGAGTGCCGACGGTGGGGTCAAAAGTGTCAATATCTGATTGGAGGACGTTGGTGTACCAGAATTCTTCATTGCTTTGACCAGTGGCTGCGATCGAAACGGTTGCTTGGGTAATGTTTCGAGGAATTGTCTGCTGGGCTGATGCACTGTCGCCTGGTAGAGTGAAGATACTTGGCTGTCCAGTAGCACCGAGTTGAGGAGTGATGGGCAGGATCAGATCGGCATGAGCTGGCTTGGCTGGGTTGTGAGAGAAAGTAGCTGTGAGAGTGGTGTTGAATGCACCAGTATAGGTCGAGTCGTAAACATTGTTCAAGCTGAAGATGAGCTGCTGAGGTGACTTCCAAAGACTCAAGTACATGCTGAGGTCCTTTTCGTATCGGAAGATGATACCTGAGGCGGTGGGTTCGGCAGTGCTCGTCCGCCAAACTTCAATATCTCCCAGGAACATCTCAGCCAAGCGATCGAACTGGCGGCCAGCGCTGGTGACAGTCCATTCGATAACGACATTGTTGAAATCACACGAAGGTGGTGTGTATTGCCCGACATAAGGAACGCCGTAGCTTGAGGCGAAGGTGTGCACCATCAACGTCTGCTGGACATTGCATCTTGTGGACTGAGGGACAGATACAGGCTTGTAGAGCTCAATGATCGGAAGCGGAGACTGGGGTTGTGGCAGAACCTGGAACAGAGATATCGCTTCAAGAGGCTTCTTGGGAGGTGAGCGGTGAGCAAACACGACAACTGGCAGCACAGAAGCAAGGTAGAGGAAACGTTGAAGCTGCATCTTTCCATTCACTCAAACAAGAGATGAGAAGAAGCGACCGGAAAAAATAAGAAGGATAAAGGTTGTTATACAAGCAAAAAAGATAAGACGTGATGATCAAAAGTTATGTGATCTCCCGTCGCTACTGCATGATATGGTGCGGTCAAAGTGGACGGAAGAGGAAGGCGTTACTTATCATCGGACTTGCGCAAGTCTTCTGCGCTGTTGCCCTCTGCTCGTGCAGCGTTGCATTGACATTGTGTCGCAACACAGAGGACCAAGTCTATAGGGCGAACATCCGTCGAAATGCGTACAGAAGATCAAAAGAGACAGCGAACAGCGAAACTCATGCGACACACGAAACACCGACCTCGGCAACATCGTGCCCACATATCCACTTCGTGATGGAAAGCTCGTTGCGGCCGAAAGACTCTTCGGACGTTCGACGAGACGCTTCAACTCTTCCACGTGCTTTGTGACCTGCATCCGCTATCCTCTTTGCAGAAGGTGAATCTCACCGTGAAACCAATCAGACTTTGTCTACGCCCGCGCTCTGGAAAGCAAGCCCTCATAATGGTTGGAGATCTGCACTGAAACTGAGTCTGACCATGCAGGAGACGTCGATTACGGAGGCGACCGAGGGGACACAGCTTGCCAACAACAAAAGAGTCAAGCCTATAAAGAAGGCTTGATTTCCTTTCCTTGGCCATTAGCTGCAACTTATCACATCATATCAATTCATCTTTGCATCATGCCTTCCACTCTGTTTGCCCTCAGTACCCTGCTCGGTCTGGCCGCCGCTGCCATTGAGTCGTGTCCAGCCAACGCACCCATCAGCTGTCAAACCAGCGGCACCATCTCAAACACATGCTGCACAGAAGTTCAAGGTCAGGTTTTGCAGACCCAATTCTGGGACTCGAACCCGGCGACTGGCCCTGCCAAATCTTGGACTATCCACGGACTCTGGCCTGACAACTGTGATGGTACTTATGAAGCCACTTGCGATAGCTCAAGAGCATACACCGACATTGGTTGCATCCTTTTGGACAAGGGTCATGGTGATATCCTGAGCTATATGGAGACCTACTGGAAGGACTACCAAGGAGACGACGAGTCGTTCTGGTAAGTAGCCTCTATTCTTGAATGCCAGGAATTTCCGCTAAGCATAAATCAGGGAGCACGAATGGAGCAAGCACGGAACTTGTTACTCAACGTTGAACCCTGACTGCTACAGCAACTACGAAAAGGAAGATGAGCTTGTCGACTTCCTCAACACCACCATCACGCTGTTCAAGGATTTGCCTACCTATGAGTGGCTGGCCGATGCTGGCATCACTCCCAGTTCGAGCAAAACATACACCAATGCTCAGATCTCGAGCGCACTCCAGAAGCAGTTCGGCGCCACCCCTATTCTTTCCTGCAGCAGTGGTGAGCTCAACCAGGTCGAATATGTCTTCAATGTTCGCGGCAGTGTCGCTAAAGGCCAGTTCATTGCTGTCAATCCTACTGGTACCAAGGGTAACTGCCCCAAGAGTGGTATAAAGTACCTACCAAAGGACCTCAGCACTACCCCCAAAGCCAACGAGGGCAGCTGTTCTTGAAACTAGTGTGTGGAAGATAGAATCGTGGCACACCCTCAATAATCAGCCACATCATGAATTTGTATGCAGAACTAAAGGAACGACCTCTATCAACATCGCTTTTATGCTTCAATCATCTTCTTGGCCATCTCAGGCAGTGTATCAGCCATGACGTCCATGTCAACATCAAACAACTCCTTGCAATCCTCCTTTTCATACACGGAACAATAAGCTCCCTTGAACCTGTACATTCCATCAGCATCATTGCCTCCACACAGATCACATCGAGACTTACCCAACAATCTTAGCAGCCGAGACATCCCAATAATGCGCCGCAGCAAACCACTTTTCCTCCTCGACTCCAAACCCCTCGAATAGCGGTCTATACGCATCAAGCGCCGGCTTAGCAACCCCCCTCGAATCACAAGATCTAAAGTTCTCCTGTGGAAAATCCACTCCCGCATTTTTGAAGTATCCCAACACTCTCTCTTGATCTCCAGTCGTCAAACACCAAACTTCAAACCCTGCCTCCCTGAGCAACGTAAAAGTCTCTTGCACGCCTTCCCTCAATTGCAACTGCGAATAAGATTTTACCATTTCATCTCTTTCGGCGTCGGTGGCAAAGTCTCGTGGGGAGGTGATGCCACTCATCCACAGCATGCGGTAGAACATGGCAGAGAAGACGGTCTTGTAGGGTTTATAGCGCGATGAGATAGAGAGGTAGGTGAATTCTCTTTCCGAACTTTCCAGCCAGGCGAAGCCGAAGAGTTTTGGTGAGATGCTTTGGGCGAGGAGTTTGGGGCCTAGCACTTTTTCGACGCAGTCGTAAAAGGCGGAGTAGGAGACTAGAGTGCCTACGACATCGAAGACGACGTGTTTGCCCATTGTTTCTTTCTTTTCGCTGTGTTTGTTTGGGGTCACAAATGGATTGTGTATATGTGTGTATGTTGTAGTCCAGCAAAAAAATTCGAAGATGGAAGTGAGTGAGCCAAAAATGACAGCGAAGGTCAAGGGTGTAACTCAAAGAGATGCAGAGTTACCGATTGTTTGTGATTATCATATGTAACTAAATCACCTTGATGTTATCTCAAGGGACCCCTTATCATGGGTTGACTATGCCTATCTCCGGTATTCGATAGAGCTTGACCGCGGCCAAGTGGGAGGCCGAACTTCGCCTATCTGGATAAAGTGTCTGTTCGGTTATCTTCTCCCAGGTGGTTGAGCTTGATAGAGAATACGAGGAACCCCGCAGGTGGGGTAGTTCTTGTCGAAGCTTAGCGTGCTTTGATTGTACGTCTCCCGAAATCGGTTTCGATTCCATGCTAATGATAAGCCTCGAGGATGAAGGTTTCAGACATGGGAATGTACATCACGCAATCGATTGTCTGCAATGTTCCTGAGCACGCCAGAGCCAGATGTGTGAGAGAAACGATTACAAGAAAAACAAGTGTTGTAACGACTATACATGGCTACCATCTATCTGAAACAGACCAAGGTCAACTTCCAAAACCAAAATCAATGTTCTCCAAGCATCAGATCGAGCAGCTCTACTCCCACAAAAAGTTGTACTTGTGCCATCCCACCTTTGGCAATTCAGGAGCCTCAGGGTTGGCATTCGCAATGTCGATGAAGTGTCGGACGGGAAGTGCTTCCAAAGGAACAATCTTGGTCTTGAACATGATCTTGTACCCAAAGTACAAGATCAAGAAGAGAGGAATGTTGAAGTAACTCGAGATGAAAGTCTCAACATTCCAGTGTCCGTGCAAGAAAGAGACGTAGCCACCCGTCAGCAAAAGAACACCAAAGGAGCAGAGCGAAATCCATGCAAGATAGGGTTGGAAAGGCGCTGCCCAGGGAAGCTCGCTGCGTGAGATGTTTTGCTTCTTCATGCTGTAGTAGAAGCGCAGGTATACTCCGCAGATGACCATCCAGTCAACTATGGCAGCAACGGCAACGAGATCCTGGAGCCAGCCAAAAGCAACATTGGCTCCACTGGATAGCGAGAGGAAGGCGAGGCACAAGAACACACTGAACAGACCGACGGAGACCCAAGGGATACCGAAACGGTTGGTCTTTGTAAAGATCTTGGGTGCGCGACCTTCTTTTGCCAGACCGTAGAGGATACGAGAACCGGCGAGCATACTAGCGTTGCCAGAACTCCAAGCACTGGTCAGAATAATCGCATTGATGATCGATGGCACGACCTTGATGCCAGCACGAGTTGCAGCAATAACGAAAGGTGACTGCGAAGCAGTACCGGTGGACTTCAGCAGGTGAGGGTCGTTGGATGGTACCACAAGGCCAACCATGAAGATGGTGAGCACATAGAAGAGCAGCACGCGCACGAAGATTCTCTTGGCTGCCTTGGGAATGTTTCTGCGAGGGTTTTGAGTCTCGGATGCGGCGATGGAGATATTCTGAATGCCCGAGTAAGCATAGACGGCGTTGTTGAAGGTCGTCCAAAAGCCCATGAAATGACCCAGGGAGCCGGCATAGCCCAGATACTCAACGAAAGGGCCCGGGTTACGCCAGTACTGGAAGCCAATGCTCTTGTGGTCAGGCCCGCCTCCACATGTGATGACCAAAGCCATAATATTGATACCGACGATGAGCATGATCTTCAATGTCGCAAAGCCAAACTCGAGCTCGCCGTAGATGCGGACGAAGGCGATGTTGCTCGCGACAAGGCAAACGCCCAGCACAACAATCCAGACAGCATTACTGACAGAGGATGTCCAGAACTCAAATAAGACGGCGGCGGCACAGAGTTCAGCAGGTACACTGATTAGGTTGGCGTACACTTGATTCCATCCGTTTGCAAAGGAAAGGGCGGGGTCGACAAAGTGCTCGGCGTGACGAGTGATGCCTCCACTGAGAGGAACAAGAGTGCTGTCGCAAGTCAGCATCTGAGTCAATGGCATTTGCATTTGCTTCTTACCTCAACTCCGAGATGGACATGACGACTCCCGAGCATAGGAAGCCAACAAAAGTGTAACCGAGAAAGGCGCCCAATGGGCCAGCTCTCGAGATGGCTTTGCCTGAAGACAAGAACAAGCCAGTACCAATGGTTCCAGCCAAGGCAATCATTTGTATAGTCCTCTGGTTCAGACCACGCTTGAGCTCCTTCTTCTCCTCAAACTCGAGTGGCCCATCTTGATCATACTCGGGCAGTACAGAGCCGTACTCGACATCCGAGGATATGGGTTTCTCATCAGCATGAGACAACTTCTTCTCATCTGAGCCCACGTGGATGGTCTCTGGTGCATTGATTGACATGATTCGACTCAGCTGAACGATACTGGAGAATTGAACGGAAGCAAAGTATGGCCGCAGGTGGTCGACCGAGCTGGTTGTCTTATGCAAACCCGCCCTACATATCTTGCATCTGGAAGAGGAGATATGCCTATCTCTTCGACATGACCCTTGAATGCATGCTCATTGGCTTAGAGTGAGCTGATGGACGATTGCACTACTCATGCCGAGGTTCCGGAACGAACGCTGCATGATGTTGTTGGGGCTAGACCTTGAGGCGCAGATAAACAACTTGACCTTCGCGAATCGATTATTAGGCTGTTCGCGTGGATTGGCTACTGATAGGGACATGTGAGCAGACTTCGGTTGGACAGCGCAGTAGAGGCATAAAGAGCTCCAGGTAAAGGCCACTGGTTTGTTCATCTCAGGCGAGAAGATCAGTAATTACACTGCACTCAAGCAATTCTCCACCATCGGGTCATTGAGCATGAGCTCAAAGTAAGTTTGCGATAGAGGTATGGCGCCATCTCACAATCAATTGCGGCATGTTTTGCGTCGCGTCGTGTCTTGGTCGTTATCTCAAAGCTGGAGATGGAAGGAGCGATGGCACAAAAAGTGATGTGGAGTGGGTTTGATAGGGCCATTGGCGCGCGGCCTCGGCAAGAGGCTTGGCCTATCTTTATTTACACGGTGCCTGGAACACGAGATGAGGGGAAGAGATAGCCTGATTTTCCGTCGACTCAGAATATATTTTTCGTGTCGAGCGATTTGTTTGTAGGAAAAAGAGAAAGGACAGATTGAAAAGTCGCGACGCGAAACCACAAAATGCAGCTTCCTCAGGGTCTTCCGACTGTCGGCGGCGGCACTGAGTCTTTCTGGCACACCAACCTCCACGAACTCGATGACTATCGTTCTACGGATCAAGTTCCAGAACAATCAGACATAGTGATTATTGGGGCTGGTTATGCAGGTGTCGCGACGGCATATCATCTTCTCGAGGCCGGCAGCAAAGCTTCAATCACGCTTCTAGAGGCACGAGGCGCGTGCAGCGGAGCCACAGGTCGTAATGGAGGCCATCTGCGTCCTGATCTCTACGGTCACATCCCCACACACATCGACCGTCATGGACTTGAAAGGGGTGCTGAGATTGCAGAATTCGAGGTTGCTCATGTCACAGCCATCAAGAATGTCGTCGCCAAGGAAAATATCGACTGTGACTTTGTCATAACAAGGACGACCGATGTTTGGTGCAACGACGATGCTGCCAAAAAGGCCAAAGCCAATTACGACAGAATGGTAGCCCATGGTCTGAAGTATATGGATGATGTTGATTTCTACATCGGAAAAGATGCCGAGGGCGTGAGTATTTAGCTCTACTTGCCGCTGAGTATTCATTTACTAATCAATCACAGATCAGCGGTATCAAGCACGCAAAGGCATGCGCAACCTATACTGCTGGTACTATCTGGCCATATAAGTTCATCATGGCACTTCTTGGAATCTTGCGGGATCGTGGCGTCAACATCCAGACGTACACTCCAGTAAACTCGGTCACCTCCTCATCCGATGGTCAATGGACCGTCTCCACATCACGCGGCGACATCAAGACTCAGAAAATCGTCCACGCCGCCAACGCCTACACCAAGACCTTGTTGCCTGAATACGAAAAGAGCATCGTTCCATGCAAAGGCATCTGCTGCCACATTGCCGTACCAAAGGAAGACATTGCTCCGTTCGTCGGTAACTCGTACATCATCCGCGAAAAGGGCGACCCCAGCGTCCTCAGCTACTTGATCCCTCGCTCCGACGGCGGCATCATTGTCGGTGGCTCCCAGGCAATCTTCAAGCCTTTCCAAGAGCAATGGTACAACAATACCGACGATGCCGAGATGATCGAAGCATCCAAGGACTACTACACCAACTACATGCAAAACAACTTCCGCGGTTGGGAACACACCAAAGCCGAAGTCAAGAAGATCTGGACGGGTGTGATGGGATACAGCTACGATACCAACCCTCATATTGGTGAAGTGCCTGGGAAGCCTGGTCAGTATATTCTGGCTGGGTTCAATGGCCATGGTATGCCAGTTATCTGGCTCTCAGCAAAGGGCATATCCGATATGTTGCATGAGGGAAAGAAGTATGAAGACACAAGAGTGCCCAAGGCCTTCAAGACAACGCAAGAGAGAATTGACAAAGCAAAGGCTGGTCCTGAAGGTGGAGACATTCTCGCATGAGCAAAGCCCTAATGGATCGCACATTTTCTTGTTCAATTTCCATGTAAATAGTCGATTTAGCGCAAACGCCTCGTATAGCATAGAAGAGTAAATACGACCTGCCCCGAAAGTCGCACCCCGACATCGGCAGCCCTCCACATCTTGACTCATCCTCCATCCCACCTCTCAACCATGAACTTTGATATACAAGTCATGTTTGACCCTTATGTATAGCTTCCAGCTGGACAGCAACAACATCATCATCATCAAGAATGTCACCTCCATCCTACATAATCCTCGGCGCTGGCGTGATAGGCCTAACCACCGCCCTCGAGCTCCACTCCCGCCAACCCCACGCCCACATCACAATCATAGCAAAGTACCTCCCCGGCGACCATCACGCAACCTACACCTCCCCCTGGGCAGGAGCAAATTGGCTCTCGGTCGCCACCGACAACGGCGTCCAAGAATCGTGGGATCGCGTTACATATCTAAAATTTAAAGACCTTGCTGTACGAAGCAAAGAAGTGGGTGTGTATAAAATGCCCATAACTGCTATCTATGATTCGAAGATTCAAGAGGCCGGAGTACTAAGTCAGGGGACGGGCAAGATCTGGTATGAGGGGCTGGTGGGTGGGATTAAGATGTTGAAAGAGAATGAGTTGCCTGAGGGAGCGAGGTTTGGGTGTGAGTTGGATACTTTTGTGGTTGATACGCAAGTTTATCTTCCTTGGTGAGTTTTCTGGTCTGAAGTTTGTCCCTTTTCTTCTTGTTTGCGATCCCTCGTACTGCTCTCAGTGTGTGGTAACCATTCCTAGAGGTAAGAAGCTGATGCATAGAGATTGATAGGCTACAAGGAGAAGCGAAACGTCAAGGTATAGAGATACGCAGAGGCAGTTTCGAGTCTCTTGATGAGCTGTTCACTGCCTTTCCCTTAGTGAGCGCGTATTTCAACTGCACAGGACTTGGCGCCTACTCGTTAGGAGGTGTAGAGGACAAGAACGTCTACCCAACAAGAGTATGTCTTGAATTCAAAACAGAATCAAGGCATAGAACACTCACATGAAAGCAGGGTCAAATCATGCTCGTGGAAAGTCCCAAGACTCCCATGACGAGAATGTACTTTCGCTCGCCGCAAAGAGTCAACAAAGATACCACTTATGTTTTCCCGCGTGGTCCCCACAACGGTGTCGTTCTTGGTGGTGTTCGCCTCGACAACGAGTGGAATGGGGACGTTGACCTAGAATTTGCCGAAGACATTAAAAACCGCTGCTGCGCTCTCGCTCCTGAATTGGGCAAGCCGGAGGACTTGAAAGTCATTTATCATGGTGTCGGACTGAGGCGTGAGTTTGAACTTCTCTGAATGTCCGAGCGCAGAAGGCTGACAGAACAAAACAGCAAGCAGAAAGGGTGGTGCCCGACTGGAGAGAGAAAAGTTTGACGAACGTTTAGTCATTCACAATTATGGTGCTGGCGGTGCTGGGTATCAAGCTTCATGGTATGTCGAGCAGCGATATCCTCGTATACTATACTAACCACCTCCTAGGGGTATGGCGAAAGAAGCCGTCGATTTGTTGCAAAAGGGCGCTCGTCTATGAGCATAAACATACATCTAAGTTCGCTCGTCTGTCCATTCGAAAACTCTCTGCTCATTCCTTCTTGCCTTCAGCCTGTGCGAGAGACGCCAGCTCTTCCGCCGAAAGTTTCCGAGACTTGACCTTCTGCTCTTCCACTTCAAAGATAGTATCATCTCTTTCCCAAATTGCGAGCATGGCGGCACCCATAGGACCAAAAAGTAAGCACCAGCCAGCAAGACGTAGTATCAACGGAGCTGAGAGTAGTCTGGAATTGGGATAGATTACCTTGACAGCTGCAAAGTATGCCCAAACCAAGTAGGTGAGAAACATGATTGTCATATCCCACTGCAAGAACCAATGAGCACCTTCTCCCACCGTGCTTGCCTGCCTTCCAGAGAACGGCGAAACGGGAACAAAAAGGTTGGTCGGATGAAACTGTGCCGAAATGTCCTTTGTAAAAAATGTGGGAAACAGTAGACTTATCGCTGAAACAACAAGGGTGCCGTTGTGAGTTATGGCCGCACAGCAGAGACCGAAGATGTAGACCCGGCAGAATGCTCGTCTCTGCATTCGTGGGCTCTTCTCTGCGAGCTCATCTCTGTAAGAGTCGAGGCGGACGAAAACAAGGCTTGTCCATACGCGCTGGCCTAAGCGGAACAATAAAGGAAAGAACTGCCACAGACGGACAAAATCAACCTTTTGTTCAAAAGAAACAGTCGTCGGTGCATGAAGCGACATCAGAACTGTTGGAATGATGATTCCGCCAATTGTTGCAGGTATCATGGCATCTACATCTGTCTTGTGGTGCACAGCAACACAACTTGTCGCTCGGTCTCCGAGAGGAGAAAAGGCAAGAAAGAGTGGTCCTACAATCCCAATTCCGAGTCCTTGAAACAGCAAGCCGTATGCAGTGGTCAAGGAGATGACTGTCCAATTCTCTTTGTTCGGTCGACGTTGTCCCTCAAGAGCTGTCAAGATCCACGCGACAATACCTTGACCAGCAAAGTAGAAGCACATCAATGATGAGCCTGGTCGGGTGCCATTGACCATCGGCCAGAAGATCGTAACTAAGCTTCGCAAAAATTCATCGAGCCAGCGCCATCGTGTGAATTCCGTGGCGTATTCCTCGCCGGTTCCTGGTAGACGGTTTCGCAATGACACGGCTCGCATCAACGCGAAAGTGCCATTGTCGCTTGCAAACTTCCAGAGTGCGACATATCCAAGCGCAGCGAGCCCAATGAGTATCGTGTTCCTCACAACGAGATGCATGTTGGAAAGGGATTGGGCAGGAGAGACAAAGGAAAGACCGCGTGGATGGAAAAGAAATTATTGTTGCTGGATGTCATAGCGGCACCGTGGAGGTCGTGCTCGAAACTGTACGTAGCTTCGGACACGCCAGCACAGGATCTGAGAGCTCAAGCTCCGTCAAATTGAAGCTCTCTTGATAGCTATCGCAACAAACAACATTGATTCATCAAATATTCGTCGAAGCCGAAAGCAAGACCTCCAGATTATGCGCATCCCTTTTTGTCTTGTTCCCGAGGTCGAAATGATCGTGGATCGCGAGGCCATGAATCTGCCAGGATCGAACGAAAACTCTCTGCCGCGGCAAGATCTTTTTACACTTCGACGTTCTCTTGGGCATCTGCGCCTTCCTGTAAGCAGTCGACTCGAAGCTGGCATGCCAGACGTGTGCCTACCGACATTGATGTTTGACTTTCTCTCACGAATTCGCCAATGTTATACTGTACTTGATGCTACGAATCTAATGATTATAGAGCTGGGCTATGGTTCATGCGGTCGATCGATGTATTGCTTGGTACGTAGATCAACGAGGTGGGGGAAAGAGGGGTCTTTGGAGGGGTTCCTCACGTGGCCTACATCCGAGCCTCTTGCATGAAACTTGCCGACGAAACAAGGCATTGTTCTTCGAACGTTCCTGCAGCACCTTCTAGGGCGGAAGTTGTCTCCTATAGCGGAAATGGTATACCGTCAATCAATGGGCTGTCGCCTGGTGTAGTGACGTTCTCCACAAATGGCCACGATGCATTCTTATCTCTTGGCTCAGCGGAGTTTGGATCCTGCCCTTATAGTGGCGCCCTTCTGTAGATACGAGTAGCCACATGAGTGGATACAGTGCAAGATGGTTGAGTAACAGCGTGGTGAAGACGCCTGAGAAAGGCATCCAATCCTTGAGAGAAGAGCTTATCGCATGTTCCAAAGAGCTCAGCGGCTGCTTTGTCTGCTGGTGACATTTATCTGCGCGTTTTGATTGTTATCGCAATCAGATGAGAATGTTTAAGCGAAAGTCGCAGGACTTGTTTCCGAACGTCGCGTGTCAGGCAGGCCGCACCATAGAGCCAGCCATACCTCGAGTCACTCGCGCGCGCAAGACAGCTTGAGATGAGACGGAAGTTGCAACATCAGATGTCAGGAACAAGCCTTTTCTCCAATCTCCGCTTGCTTGTCTCATTCGGTCTCTAACGACATGTCGTCGCTATAGGGGTCAGAGGCATTAGAGAGATCCGAGTGTATAGCCCTACCCCAACACACACGCCCTCCGCCGAGTCCACGCCCTGGGGGTGTTGCGTTTCGGCTTAGCTTGGCAGTCATTTCATCGCAATCAAGGCTGTGGATATGCTTGCATCTTGAGTCCTCAACGACTTCCCGAGGAATTTTCGCAAGTCTTCTGATATACCATTGTCGAATATTGCGCGGGTCAGAAACAAGATAGAGTGTTGAACCCTGGTCATGGCCACGTCGAGAGCGTCTTCCAAATGTCGATGAGATGAAAAAAAAAACTCGAGCACATCGTCATCTGGCGTTCCCTTCTCCATCAGTCCCACCCGTTTCCGAACGCCTGGCCGCTAGGCGAACGCGCGCTATGCGAACCTTCCTCTCGCAGAGAAGTCATAGCGTCGATCCTCTTGTACATATGTGCCGGGTACTCCCCGTTCGCTGACCACTCTCGTTTTTCCCATCCTCGCTCTTTGCATCCACGAACCATATCTTTCACGCAACATGGGTTTCCTCACCAATCCTCCGGATCGCAACTTGGACCAAGCCGGTATGGCTGCTGGCCATGGTCAGCCCTCACCTTCGACCAAGAACCAACTCGGCCAGGAGCGAAAAGTATCCAACGAAGAAAGCGGTACCGACGTCGACGAATCCGATGCCATCCTCTTGGCCATGGGCTACAAGCCTGAGATGGCACGTAACCGATCAACCCTCCAAGTCGCCTTCATGTCGTTCGTCCTGGCCTCGATTCCTTACGGTCTTGCGACAACCTTCTACTACCCTCTCGTCGGTGGTGGCCCAGCAAATATCATCTGGGGATGGATCATGGTCAGTCTGATCATTATTTGTGTCGCTGCCAGTCTGGGAGAGATCACTTCGGTCTATCCTACAGCTGGTGGTGTCTACTACCAGACTTTTATGTTGGCGCCTGCAAAGTACAAGAGAGTTCTGTCATGGATCTGTGGCTGGGCATATGTCGTCGGAAACATTACAATCACTCTGGCCGTCAACTTTGGTTCTGCCCTGTTCATCATCTCGTGCGTCAATGTCTTCGAGTCATCGCCTGGTGTTGGAATCTGGGACGCCAGCGCTTGGGAGACTTGGTTGGTCTTTGTTGCCATTACTCTTTTCTGCAACCTCGTTTCTTCGCTGGGCAACAGATGGTTGGCTCTGATCGATGTAAGTGAAACGAAGCCTCTATGTCAACCGTGATACTGATTACGTGACCTAGACTTTTGCCATCTTCTGGACTCTTGCTGGTGTCGTTGCCATTCTCATTGTCACACTTGTGCTGGCTAAGGGTGGCCGTCACTCTGGCGAGTATGTCTTCACTCACTTCGAGCCCCAGTCGGGATGGACCCCCGGATGGTCTTTCTGTGTCGGTCTTCTGCAGGCTGCCTACGCAACCTCGTCGACCGGTATGATCATTTCCATGTGTGAGGAGGTTCAAGAGCCTGCGACTCAGGTGCCCAAGGCCATGGTTGCCACCATTCTGATCAACCTTGGCGCCGGTCTGATGTTCTTGCTTCCTCTTTTGTTCGTCATTCCCGATCTCTCTACACTTGCTGCTCTCGCATCAGGACAGCCTGTTCCCACCATCATTGCTACCGCTGTTGGTTCGCCCGGTGGTGCCATTGGATTGCTCCTCCCCCTTATGGTTCTCGGTCTTATCTGCGGTATCGGTTGCACCACTGCAGCATCTCGCTGTGTCTGGGCTTTCTCCCGTGATGGTGCCATTCCTGGTAGCAAGTGGTGGAAGCAGGTCAACAACACCACTGCTCTTGAAGGCGTGCCTCTCAACGCCATGTTGCTCAGTATGATTGTGCAGATTCTGCTCGCTGTCATCTACTTCGGATCCGTTGCTGCATACAACGCCTTCTCTGGTGTTGGTGTCATCTGTTTGACTGTTTCGTACGCCATCCCCATTGCTACCAACCTTTTCACAGGTCGCAAGCATGTCAAAGGTGCTCCTTTCGCTCTCGGAGCCCTGGGACTGTTCTGCAACATTGTCGCTCTGGCTTGGAGTTGTCTTGCCGTGCCATTGTTCTGCATGCCTACCACTGTCCCTGTCACCGCAACTCTCATGAACTACGCATCAGTAGTCTTTGTTGCCTTCATTCTGATTGCAGGTGCGTGGTATGTTGTATGGGGCAAGAAGAACTACCAGGGACCCCCGACACACGAGGACACTGCTCTCGAGACCAGACGCAGTATCTCCGAAGCAAGGAGAGCCTCGAAGGTGGCACCATGAAAGGGTGCACATTTTTTGGAGTGAAAATGTTTAATGATTGTGGATCGATGCTGGACGATTGATACCCGATGCGACTAATCCTAGGCCATATGCGACCGCCTCTGACCATTTAGCGACATCACCCGAGAGCGACGACAACCATGAGCTTCATGCTTGCCCATGTGCGACTTCTACTACTCGTGTCCGACCCATGCGCGATACACTAGCTGTCCTTGCTCGATTGCCCTGTTCCGGACCGCCTCGATACCCGATCCATTGCGACAAAAATCAACTTCCATGCGACTTTCGATTCGTTTTACAAAACTTCGACGTTGGTGTGTTGTTGATCTTCGCCTTGTTCCAAAAACTAGCAGCGATTTGTTGATAGCTTTCTTTTCTTCTGTTGTGGATATTCTTCTTGTACCTTACCAATTTACATTACAGGCATTCAGTGTCATGTTCATATCTGCCATCACGGGCACAGCTCATGCTGGCTGATCCTATCAGGATCTGAGATTTTCGTCGCGAGATACTAACGACTAGTTTTATATATCATCGTGGCATTGATGGCGGATGGTAGAAGCGACGTCCGTATCTCAGGTAAGTCTTGCCCTCTCACAAAGTCAAGATCAGCACCAATGTCGGTGTCGCCGATTGTTTGAGTCGCTCGACACTCGGTTCCGCATATTGCACTACTGTCTGTCCTTGATCGATCTTTACCTTTCTCAGTACCGCTCGGTGTGCCAATTGACGAGCAATCGCATCAAGTCTTGAGTGAACAATGCTCTGGCCAGTTTGCAACAAACTCGTGGGATTTGGGTACCCATGGATTGCCTCCTGCCAAGAGGTATGTTGTAACGATCAAGGTCCACTCCACGATACGTGGTGAGATAAACGGACCTGGTCACCGTGAATTTACTTGAGGATCTGCGGAGAACGTGGCTGAAGAACTTCGATGATCGTGGAGTTGCAATCAAAACAGGTATTCTAGACCTTGGTGCTTGGACGAGGGCAGTGGTGATGACGTCGCCTTGCATATTGCTATCACAGCTCTGCGCTCACTGTTACATAGCTACTGCTAATCCGCATATTAACACATCTGATCAAACTGGTTGTCTGTGCAAGCAAGCATGCCGCCGAAACAAACACAGAAGAAAGCCAATCCAAAGGTTTCAAACTCCTCTAACAAAATAATGAGCAATAACAACGCCGCCAATGGCCAGGCCATCCCGCAACATGAGATCAAACAAAACTCTGGTGTCTCTGCCACCATGGCATTGCAAGCGACACAAAAGGCATGGGAACTGCGACAAGCAGCCATGGCCGCTGGTGACGCTGATGCACGCGAAGCAACACTCGCAAAGGCCATTGACAAGGAAATCGAAGCCGAGTCCTTTGGCAAAGCTGCAAAGTACACACAAACTGGTGCTTTCCAAGGCCTCGCCGCCGGCGCAGGTCTAGGAGTCCAACCCGGTGTCACGATCGGAAAAGTCACAGGAGCCATTGTCGGCGGCACCGTCTCGACAGTCACTGGTCTGCTCGGCGCTGGCGTCGGCTCTGTCTACGGTGCCATGCACGGCAAGATATGGGACTTGGGAGAAATGGCAAGTCATGGTGTGCAAGGCGTGGTTGGTGATTTCCTCCCAGACTGGAAGTCGACGCCGGCGCAAAAGAAGGCTTTGGATAAGATGGTCATGCAGACAAAGGAGACGCAAGCACCCAGCAAAGAAGAGTTGGAGCAGATGAAGAACGATATGCCCGATCGAGCTCCATCGTCTTGGTCGCAGTCAGCAAAGGACATGACTAGCTACTTGCCTGGCATGCCTTCGATGCCGTCGATGCCCAACATGCCATCAATGGGCCAAGCAGGTGCTGCTGTCGGTCTAGGCGGCCTGGGAGCATCCCTTGGCATGGGAGGTGGAGGAGACAACAAGCAGCAAGCTCCCCAACAAGCAAAGAAACGCAGTCAATCCCAGCCAAAGCAAAGCGAACAAGCACAGAAACAGCAAAAGACTTCGAACACACAACAACAGCAGCCCTCGAAACCAGCGCAACCCAAGCAACCCTCCAAGCCAAAAGAGGCACCCAAGCCAAAAGAGGCACCCAAACCTGCCTCATCCACACCCTCGCAACCGACACAAGCACAAAACTCGACCACCAGAACCACAAGATCAGCAACACAGAAGCAAACGCCATCCAGCACCAATACCAAATCAGCAGCAGCGGCGAAACCGCAACCCGCCGCTAGCAAACCTGCTGCTCCCCAAACTACAAACGCACCCGAGAAGAAGAAGCCAAGGAAATTGAATGCTGGAGCAAAGAGCAACGGTGCACCGTCAAAGCCAGCAGCGGCTCCGGCAGCACCTGCGAAGAAAGCACCAAGAAAATTGGAGACGAGGAAGCCCACTGCTACTGCTGCTTAGGTAATGTTATTGTAGAAGAGGGATAGAGTGTGAATGACTGTCGCTGTTTTCTGTTTGGAAATGTATATAATGATTGTTTTTATGATACTCCTTAGTGCGCATCGTGTTTCATTTGCCTTGAGGGCTTTTGAAATGTATATTGCAATGATTCGTGTGATGCTGCGATTTCGACTTTCGACTATGTCAAAATGTGAGATGGTGACAGGGTCTTACCTCCAACGACTAGGTCTGATAATAAACCGTGGATACGGCGACGAGCACTTGACCACACACCTCTGTACTGTAGAAGTACTATCTCCTGGCTTGCTTCTTCCCTGTGTGCGAGTCTGGAAGTGGCTAAGTACTTGTCACGGCCATGATATGTGAAATTCGATTTTGAGATCTCGAGTTTCTGGAGCTCAACCAGGAACCGTGGGTTTGCACACAGCACTTCAAGATTCAAACTTGACTCTTCGATCTTGCATGGTGATGATCTGACCATGTTCTTGCAACTTTGATCTATCATCAATTCTTCGAGTTGAAATGGTGCGAATGAATTGTGTTTTTGGCTAGAGGGTGACATTTCTTGATCGTGGTAATTACGCGCTTCCCACAATTGCGACCTGCCCCCACCCGCCTACGAATGTCGAAGAACAGGCTAGCAGAACAACATGCAAAACTTTACATCTCTGTAGTCTCTCTATCAAAATAGCACCAATTCTCAAGTGTTTTCTACTCAAGTTCTCTACCTAGTTTCGTACGCGCGTTCTATGACAATCTTCTTTTCCCCAGCGTCCACGTCAAAAAGCACGTCCAACGGTCGGATATCAGAATCCCAGAATATGTCAGCCACACCATTTCAGCCAAACCATGTAATCGGTAAGCCTGAGAGATATAGAAGCTCGGCCCTTCTCTTTGAAATGCATGTATAGACAAAAAAAAAAGTCGATGCTGAGACGCGTGGAAGGAATGGAAGAATGCTGGAAGCAAACGTGATTATGGTAGCAACGCTGACGCGAGTGAGACTGAGTGGAACTTGATTGAAACAGTCGGACCTTCTCATCTGTATAAATGGAAGTTGGGAAGCATGCTTGGAAGGGAAAGAGCAAAGCATGGTAACGGTTCAACAAGCGACATTATCACCAGTGCGATTGGTTGATCGGTATAGTCGGATCTTCTCTCCATCGCATGGAGAAGCTTTTGTTCTGTCGCATGGATAGTTTATCATACAGCTGGGCTGGAAAGCCAGAAAAGTATACGGTGAGGTGGGTGCGTTTGTGCGGGTTGGTGATTGGCACAGTCGGACCTTCTATTCCTCGCAGTGGAGAAATTATTGTGCAGCTGAGCTGAAACCTCAAGATGTGTGTTTGGATGCATGAGACTGTATGCACTATTGATTAGTGTGATCGGGTCTTTCTTGCATGGTGATTGTGCAACTGGACTGGAAGTCAAAATCCAAGTCTTGAGGTCAGTGGAGTATATTGAGAGAGGTTGTTGCCTGAGACTCAATCAATCTCCATGTGTAGCCGGCCATGCGCTGACAAACACCAACACAAGACTATCGAAGGGGAACCAGAAGTTCTCCTCAGCCACAGTACGCATCAGACTTCCTGTGTGTAGCTCAGAGCCAAGGATGTTTTCGTTGTGCCAGCAGTTTCACGTCTGGGTGGTAGAACGCTTCGAGAAGGCGCAGAAGAAGAGTCAAGAGGAAAGTGTAGATAGCGACCGAAAGCCATGTCAACGGCCACTGAACGGCTATCTCTGACCACACTCGCGCAGTTGCACTCCGAGAAGGCGGCCATTGAAAGGTCTCCAGAAGTTTTCCAGAAGTGTATCTGAAGAACAAAATGTCCGATGTCATGAGACATACCAAGAAATCAGTAAAGGCGGAACATGTTTGCCGTGGCGGCAGTTCTGAGACGAATGTCGGCGCATAAGGTGCATGACGTCGGCCCTTCTATATCACGGATCTGAGTCAGGATGAGGGCGGAAAGGCAAAGGGCATGTCTTCAGGACGGAGAACAACTGCCATGTGCACGAGGAGAAGGCGATGTGATGGCAAAGGCATACGAATCCCATATGTAAGTGGCGGCGGCAATTCCAACGGTAGAACTGGCAACGGCCATGACGAAAGGAACCCCTTTTGTGACATCTGCACGTTTCCTGGGAACTGGAAAGCGTTGTAGCAGACTTGGGAGTCTATAAGAAAAAGCAATCCATATGGAGGACAAATTGTAATACAGCGAGAGTTGTAGAATTGTGTAAGTGGCGGCGTGGAAAGTTGTCGGTGGCACTCAACGGCTATAACAGCTCGGATTACGGATGTAATGGAACGCGAAAAACTGCGCAATAGAATCAGTACGAATGATGCAACCTAGCGTTGTGTAGCCAAGAAGTCGGTCGTCAGCCTGTGGTGAATATTTTTCGAATATTTGTCAAAGTCGTTAGGAGATGGGACTCTGGAAGAGTCTGATGTGTTGCCGGATGTAACCCACAGAGATCAAGTGTGATCGGTGTTCAAAGAGAAACGCATTTCTCGCTTATTATCTAAATAGCCGAGGGGCAGAAGTGGTTGAGATCAGCAAGTTACAGACAGAGTCGGAAAAGTGATCGACAGTGAGAGACATTTTCCAGAAATCTGAAAGAATGCGATTGACCACCAATCTTTCTGTTTCGGCACTTCGAACGTAGAAGCATTCTGTTTCTCGCGATTCCATCGTGATCTTCAGATTGGAGTCAACATACGTGCGTAGATAGTCTGCCCTTATCGATTTGCTCGATCAAGCATAAACATAGGGTTGGCCTTAAGATAACACAGAACGCGAAAGGAAACGGTTATATCGATAACATCTTTCTGCCAAAATTTTGTTGGAAACGCCGAACAAGCGGAGAACCCACAGTGCTGTCCTTTCCTCATAACCTTAAAAGGCACGTACAACGCTGTGACCAGCGAACTTCTTGTAGATAGACGTTTTGTTGACATGTGAAAATGTTGGAGGAGCGAATACGGATGAGCGACTTCTCTCATTGGCCTATGGTCACTATGCAGTGAAACATGTATAGCCTTACAGCCCTTTCACGTGTTTGGAAGGATGGAAGGCTTTCGATGATCCTTTCGCCAAAACACGTGCAGTGCTGAACTGTGCTTGAGACAATGCATGGACAACCAACAATCAAGTGTTGATCGGACAAACGAAAGCGAGATCCCGTCTATACAATCGAAACCACGAATAAGTTGAGTTTTGAGGAACAATCGGTGATGAAGTGGAGACTTTGATCTTCTGCCGCCGGGAATTCCGACAAAAGAAGGTTCGTTGTGTTGTGCATACATCTGACAGCTTGTCGATGATGCGACATTACCAAACTCCGAACGCGTAACAATTCACTTTAGGTCCATCCACCTATTCCTCGCTTATGTCGTAGACTACCTCGGTAGCACGCAAGACGAGTGGACAGCCATGCCTCAAAACAAGATACGGTGAGCGAGAGGGGCGGCACAACACACGGAAATAGATGCCGACCGCCTGATAGAGTTCAAGCTGACAGGACTGACATTCGGCCGAGTACGAGTTCTTAGAATACTGGGTTCTAAGAGGACTAACTAGTGAGAGGCAAGCACACGAGGAGTGGAAAGAGCAAGCACGTGAACGTAGTGTGAAAGATTTGGTTCGTGAAATGTGTCTAATATCGACAAGAAAGGTATTCGTAGTTATCATCATCATCATCTTGATCGTGAGCCCATAGGCCAGAAAGCAATCCCAAGATCCCAATGCCCTAAACTCCGTACAGCGCTATACAAAAAGCAACATGCAAGTGGAACAAACAAGATATTCACATGACTCCGCACCACTTCTCCTTCTCTGACCAAAGGTCGTCGGAGGTACGTCTGAGATCTTCTTGGATCTCATACCTGGCGTCGCCCTTGGAGGCATCCCATTCCTCAAGCGACTCTCTGAAGTGCTCGACTAGACGTTGTTGGTCGCATTGTCTGGCAGTGATGACTTCGCTGGGACCGGTGAAGGCCTTGGTGAAGGCGACGATGTCATAGAGACTGAGACCCTTGCCAAACTGGAGCACAGTGTTGACGGCGTCGAGTTCAGCATCGTGAATCTGTTGAGCGTGGCTCATCAAAAGCTTGAGGCTCTCGGGGACGGCAGGGTGAGAAAGAGAGATAGGAGTGACATTGCCATATGAGCCGTTGACGCAGAAAGGGCAGTCAGAGCCGTGGGCAAGCTTTCCATCAAGCATGCGGAAGTCTGCTGAGAGTTCCGAATCGTCATCCCAGGTGGAAGGCTGAAGAGTGAAGCTGATGTCGCGGATGAGAGGCTGCGAAGGAGGAAGAGTGCAGAGCCATGACTCGGAAGCAGGCGAGAAGGAAGTGGTGTACTTGGTAAGACAGCAGGGTTCAGGGCAGGTAGCATCCATGCCAGGAACAGAGCTGAAGAGAGTGATGAATGAGTTGCTGCCAAGGAAGACGGGTAGTGCTTCTTGACGGGTCTGGCGACACACGCGAGTGACAGCCGGAGGAGCAGCCAGTGTGTCGATGTAGAGAGGTTCGGCTTCAGTCACTGCATATCCGTAGATCATGAGACGGATCTCGGCAGGAAGATCAAGGAAGCGGAAGGATCCAGAAGACGAGCCAGATGGCTTTGAAGGAATGGCAGGGGTAGCAAGACGAGATTGTTGGTGAGTCTTTGTGAGCTGTGCTTGAATCAAAGCAGAGTGGTGGTAGGGAGATGCGGGGACAGAAGGAACAGCCTGAGGGATGACCTTGGTCTGAGCCTTGTCCTTGGTCAGGCGGGCAGCCACAGGCTTTTGGTGACGTGCCCAAGTCTTGATGGACTTTTGCGAAGACATGGTAGAGCGTCGTGTCTTGGAACGAGTGGTTCTGGGGGAAAGAGAGCCAGCCATGTTTCTGGATTGAATGAGTGTTGTGTGGATTGGTGGTTGGAAAGAAAGAATTGGAGGACAAGGCGGCTTCAAGTAAAAGGCAGCAGCGTGGAAAAAAAGATGCCGTTTGGCCAAAGTCGAGCGGTCGTCAACAGTGTAAACAGTGACGAGCGGGGCTGGGAAGTGGGGTTCAAGACAAGAATATGCAAGCAGAGCGTTTGCGTGACTGTTGGTGCCGTGCTGTGTAAGTTTTTGGACGAGGATGGGCTGTCGTGTTCGTGTGTTGGTATGTATAAGAGAGTCTCTATTCCTGGATGGATCGGCGCAGGAGGATCGTATATGAGTATGAGCTGTTGGAGGAATTCGAACAGGACGCAGGCGCTCGTTAATATAACATGTCAAACCTGTACGGGGCGCTGAAGTGACACAAGCTGCTTCACATTACGGCCTGCAGGCGTACGGCAGGCCGTTCAGAATGTCTTTGGTTGAGGTTTCACTCAACCCGGCCCCGCTGACTGGGATAGCAACGGTCGCGTGAAGGAATTGCAAGGGCAAGGCAGAGAGGGAAACAACGTTCGGCGGGCTGGTCGCATCGCTATCACGACGGTTGTCGCACAGCTGGACAACAACGGCTTTTTGGCAACGTCCAGCTTGCTGGGCCACTCTGCGTCAGCTCAGTTGCGTGCCGTGCGACACTGGCAAATTCGCGAGACGCTGGAAGCCGCAAATCCTGCAACGGCTTTGCAACGTCGCTTCGATCATCTCTCAGCACCGCGACCTCGCTTTCTGCTACCCACGCGCCGTTTTGCACTGTCCTTGCTGCTTGCTGCCTGACGTACGCGATCGCCAACGTCACTGATAACCTAAGACAAGACACAATCGATTGCGATAGGTAGCCACGATACCGCGGCCTGCGGGACGTTGGTGATTGCCATCATGGACGAGGGAGAAGGTTGAAGCTGTATGCAGCAAGAGGACAAGAAATGGAAAGCGCAACAGCACTCTGTCCCTCCGCAATATTGGCATTCCGTACCGGACTTGTGGCTTCTAGCTTCAAGCCCACCTTTCATCATCAGCTTGACCCTGCTCATGCCATGCCAACAGCCAGACGCCCTCGGACTCTCTCATAGTACTTCTAGGAAGCCCAGCTCTACTCATACCGGCCCAGCCGACCGAGCCACCACGAGTCATACTCTGGTAGCCGTACAAAGCATGCTCACAGCAATAATGTCGCGACCGCTGATGTACCTATACCTGTCCATGAGTATAGCAGGGATATCCTTGTGTATTCAAGCGGGCCCCAGAATCCTTCCCAATCATTATTCCATGTTCTCCAGCTCGGCCGGAGGAATATCTCATAAGCTTTTGGTAATCTCAAACAAGGACTGCACAATTCCGAAGCGCTGCCCTATGCGCCCGCAAAGCACAGTCCACGACAATCCATAGAGCTAATTCCTGACGCCCACGACAGTCTACAAGGTTGATAATCTTACTGCAGTACTAAACTACGATTCATGAGGAAGTTTCCATGCCGCCTTCCTACTTGAGCCGGTGATCTCTATTTCCACCGAGCCGTCTGACCAATGAGCAAGCACGGAGCTCATTTCCTCAGAAACGATGCGCAAAAGCCTACAGTATCAAAATCTCCCGAGACTACGCTGTGTTCCTGCAGTAAGTGTCTCATCTACTTCAACTGTCTTGTCTGCTCTCTCTCCACTCCTCCAAGTCCTTCGAATCATAGTCCCGAGACACGTCGACATTCTCCGTTAGGGAGCGGAACTCGCGATCGACACCGCCGTTCAAATGTCTTACTCAGAAGCCACTTTCTTCGTTGTCCCAAAGAAGCCATCCGCAAGCACCTGACAGCGTGTCGAGCCCTTTCCAGAGGACCTGACGTCTTGTTCGTTACAAGTGTTGCCGAACTTCGTATCCCAAACTGGCGTCATCCAAGCATTCGGTCTTTCCCTAAGGACGGCAACCCCGGCAAACCATGGACTTGGGTTCGTCGAATGCCTTCTGGAGGCGAAACCTGCGCCGGTAACCTTCAAACATGTTCGAGATTTTGCGTCACGCTCGTCGAATGCGGTATACACTTCTCCTGTCCGCACTTTATTGGACATGAACCAAAAGAGCAAACATCATGTTCCTGTGATTGACATTTCGCATGATTCAAGCACGCTTGCACAACATGCTTTGGCATTGTCTTGCTGTCAACTTCACTGGATCGACATATCGGAGCTGCCTTGTATGGCGATTGCACGGTGGATCAAGATCGAGCGAACTGGCTCCAGTAGTCTGGTAGTTGAGATGCCTCGGGCTGATCCACTTCTTCCCATGTCTGCGATGTCTTCAAAGTGAGTGGAGAGACTTCAACGAAGCAATAGCTCTCCATGAATGCTACCATTGTCGGCCAGAGTTTCGAACAATGCCTCTTGTCACTGATGTGTACCACTACAGAGCAATTCGCTAGTCGAACCCCAACACTACGAGTATGTTCAGCCCCTCGGGACAGACTTCTATGAACCAGAGGAGCCGAGCCCCACATGCTTGTCGGTCTCGTTCTCCATCAGCTCTGATTCATGTGTTGATGGTTGAATTCTTCGACTCTTGAGCTGGGCGTACCTCAACAAAGGGTAAAAGATCTACCTCTATGCTAGGGCAAGCAAGCAAGCAAGCCACCAGATAGTAGGTACTCTGGATTCTGGTGCCGCAAGACGTTAAGGATGCCGACGCTCGCTTCGTTCGCCAGCGGTTCGGACCAGCTGTTTTGCGCATCGCGCTTCTTTGCTAACAATGCTCTTGACCTCAGGACAGTTGCTTGATGCCACCGGAAGTTCTCCGTATCGCGCTCTGCAGAATCTCCAGCCATCTTGCAGATCACTGCATGCCCCCGCCATGATCTGTAAGTATAATACAAACTTTGACCAATTTTGTTTTCACCAACACCCGCATCGTGCATCGTTATATCTGCGGATTGTTGCACCGTGTTCCTTCCCAAGCCTGCGATTTTTCTTACTTTCTGTACTGCTGCCAGCGTCGCTGGGTTAAACGTTTCACGTGCACAGCCCCAGCCATCTCGAGTTGCGCGCGTCGTCGTCCAACGGTTTTTTCTTGTGGCCTCGGAGTCCGACTTTCGCGTCCGGCTCTTTCGTGACCCCATTTTAGTCCATGTTGTTCAACCGGAGTCTTCACACTGCTTCTTACAAAGTCTATTCTTGCTATACCGCCCCACCACTTTGCTTCAAAAGATGGTCCACTTGCAAGAAGACGTTGGAGAAAAGCTCTCGTAACTCGTTCCTCAGCCGTTGGCACGGAGCACGCAGCATACAGCTGTTGTCTTGCTTACTATCTCGCCGGCTGTGATTGTCGGCCCTACCGCCAGACATCGGTAGCTTGTTCCGACAGATCGATAACACTCAGCTTCTAAGCATTCGAAACAGCTCTGGCGTGTCCGTAGATTCTTCTACGGTTTCCGAGGCTGCTTGGCGTTCTAACACAGAAGATGCTACAAACGCCCTGGTCCTCGGCGCGGTTGTTCTTTCTGCTTTGCTCCCATATCTTCAGTACTCATTGAAAACATCTATTCCGTGCTCGGACTGGTTTTCTGAATCATTTCGTGATGAGCAGCACCATGAAACATGCCTCGGTTGTTTGATGTAAGGCACAGAATTGCTTACTCGAAGTTCATATCCGTTCGCAGATCCCTCCGCGGCTGCAAGTTGCTTACGCGCGGACCATGTTGGCTAGAATCTTTGCTATCGTCCAGTGCTGTCGGTATATCGCCTGAGCAGGAAGATCCATTCTGAACGCGTCCACGCCGCTCGCAACAGCACCCACCCGCGTCAGCAAGACTTGTGACCAGACCGTTGCACAAAACCACGGGCTCACCAACCGCCTTGTGAAGAGACCCGTTGACTTTTGTGAACACTCCTTGGTGGCTGCCACCTTTCAGCTAACGCTCGAAAATTCTATACACGAGCGTCTCAAAAGACAGAGACCCTGTGGAAAATCCTGCGGCTCTACATTTGCAAAGGTAGAGGGGCTCTGCGGCGTCGTACCATCACCGGCTGAGGTCTTTTCCCAATCCGGTATCCATCTCGCGAGGTGCGGTCGTCTGCTTAGGCGTTCTGCGCGAGTGCGCCTCATTCGGCTGTACCGAAGTTCTTTATCTGTGAGTCAATCTGCGCCCTCGCTCGTCGGCTTCGCCGTGGGTGCCGTGTCTTCGCACTTCGCGAACGGTTTGCTGCTTTTGGCTTTTCTTTTCAAGGGGTCCACTGCGGCTCTCAGCTCCGATTATTCTCTGGTTTACTGGTCTAGGTTGTTGCAACCTCCAGCTCAAGTGCTCGCTGTCGGCTACTGCTGCTGTCAGTATCTTGGTATGCAGTAGAGACGACCAAGTGCCGTCGGTCGGTCAAGTGCGGTCATCGCGTGGCGCGTAAATCTGCTCTTTGCAGCCACCAAAGCGGACCTTTCTCCTCTCCAGGTCTGGATTTCGCATGCTTTCCTCCTTCCCTCGGAACTCTCGACATACTTCTGTCACCTACCAGATTACTTCCTCGCCTCGACTCTTCCAGTGACAAAAGTCTCCATGACACAAAGGCAAACAACACAACTTGGTAGATTGACACCGTGCAACCAAAAACTGATGTCGAGCTGCGACCCTGGCCATGCCCAGGCCTAGAGTGATCTACCACCATCTAGAGCTTTGACATGGCTTGCCGGGCCTTGCGCCATCTTTTCGGGCATTTTCTCCGCAAAATATGGCTACACTTGCAGTTTTTTTCCTTTGAACATGCCACCTCTGCCCTCCTCGAGAACCCCGCAATGAACTATCGATATGCTGCATGAGCGTCTGCACCCTGCGTGTCGCGCGGCGGTGTATCTCCTTTTTCTTTACAAGCGGACCCACGATTGTGGCACGCACGGTGAGATGCCACTACTTCACGGGTTTCAGTGCATTTGCAAAAGGTGAGTTGTAAACGAGCTGCGAAGGATGCAAGCCTCTTGCTTAGCGGAAAACTGCCGGGAAAAAAAGCTCGTCTTCTTTCCACCTGCATAGCACGGTATGCAAGTCTTTGCGCAGGCACTGAGCTTGCAAGCAACGACCTCCTGTTCCTTGTGGATCCCTGTCTCTGCAGAGCTGTGAACAGCAGGGCAAGAGACATGTCGCAGCCGGGCCCGTCGTGCTTTTGCTGCAAGCTGTGCTGACTCCTGCATGGATATTGACATCTGTTTCGAGTCAATGCACACACGTTTGTTGACTTAATGTTTGGGGGTATACCCATACTGTTGAGTCTACTGTCGCAGTTCTCGCTATCCCCATGTCGCAGGTGCGAACGGCTCTGTCGCGAGTAAACGTTGTGGGTTATACGCGAGTATTCGCTTAGACCGAGTGTCGCTGAGGGGTCAGTCGGTCGCGTAGACGGCCTGCTCTCCGTAACCCTGAGGCTAATCCGATGGACTGTCCTCTTCCGATGACGGCTCGCAAACGTCTTCACTGTATGTGCCGCAGTGGCTTAACGATTGTTCACGAGTACACTCTTCGTGCCTCAGCGGCTCATCAGCTCTTCCCAAGCACATGTACGTACCGTAAATGGCTCAATGAGCTGTTCGGCAGCATTTGTACGTGCCGCAAAACCCAACCACTTGTTGAGGAACCCCATCACCATTTTCTCTCTCTCGACCGCAAACCCGCTTTTCCCTCACTCTACACAAAAAACGAGAGCAGTCAACTCTTGACTATCGATATAGGTGCATGCAAGGAGAAAAGGAAAGCCATCGAGACCCTGCATACGTGCTCTATTTATCTGACACAGACTCGAACAGATAGCGCTAATGCAATATGCAATAGGATGTCATGCATTGCATATACAACACAACACAGACCATCACCCGCGTCGTTCGTGGACTGAATCGTGGTGTTCGTGTAAGCTAGTACTGATTTTTTGTTAGTCTGTCGGATTCGCTATGTAACCGAGAAGTGAGGCATAGAATTGCACGAGGGCAGCTCTCAAAATATGGTGATATGTTGAATTGTTACGCGAGTCATGCTTTTTTTTTATTAACGATAGAAGAGAAGTCATGGGATTCAAACACCAAATCACACAGACTCTTCTCGCTCACCTCGAGAGCACTTCCCCAGAAACACAACCAGACGGCCATCTAGTGTGAACTGTGCGAGTTTATAATCATCTTCCCAATTGTAACTCCTTAGCAAAGGCAGTTTTTTTCCTCTATCCAAACTTTTCTGCTCTCTTTATATCTGCTAGCTTTGCTGTGCTCCTCCCTAGCTACTATCCCTATATTTGATATTAAATTTATGCATCTTAGTAGATTACCCCTCCCTTTTCGTATACGTAGATCTCCTAATAGTAAGTGCTTACGAGATTTCCGTACCATGTCCTATCTTCCGCTAATCATCTATAAACCTTGTTAATGAACTACGGTACTCGAGAAACCGATTATTGCGCCATATTTGGCCGCTCTAGTCATCATCGCCGTCGTCGTCACTTACACGCCCCCGCTGTTGCGAGTATAACAATCTACTTATACCCGATGAATGCTTCCATCTTCATAATTTTTTTTATTTCCGATACTACCGGATAATCTTTCCCCTTCCTACTCAAAACCCTTTGCGATGAGTTTAATTTTCTCTTTACACTATAGCATTAAACTTGAACTCCACGTTTTACCTTCGTCAACAGGTTGATCGTCCCTTCAATCTCCTTTGTGACACCCGCTATATACCGCTGCATCCCGCATGCAGCAAACGCTCTCAGAGATCTGCAGTCAAAAGTCATAACGTGTCAGGAGATCTACACCTCGAAAGTCTGATACCAATAAACTCGAACGCCTCAAAGATCCGTGTAAGAGGTATACAAGCTCGAAAGGACGTTTTGACTTCCTAGACCCCTCATCTTTGTCGTGAACCCTCCATCGGCCACCAAGCACTTCAGGAGGAGGGGAAAAGGAGCTTTAGACTGATGATTTCACTCACACAGGAGTAGCAAAGGAGTGTACGGTGAACAGCGCTTACAATGACGGATGCAAGTAGAAGTAACATGATCATAGAAGTAAAAAGTGGCTTTGGTACAAGAAAGAATAACCACCAGGGGAAAAACAACGCCTTCACAACCATTGAGCATCCCACCCGATACCACAGCGAAAAGCCATGCGAAATCAAAAGAAAAACCACCCATCCATCATGCCAAAGCTCAAAAAAGAATGAAAGAGAACATCGTTTCATAACGTCAGTGTTGCAGCTCGCGATGCTATCTGTCGAGCATCTTCTGTCGCTTCTCGCGTTCCCTCATCCTGTGCTGTTTCTAACCTTGAGCTTTGGTGATGGACTCGTGCAGCTTGTCCAAGAACTCCTTTGCCTTGTCACCGTCCTTGAACATGCACATGAAAGACTCGACCTTCTTGCCTTCGGCAGGGACGCTGACTTGCACCATCTTGGGAGCCTTGATCATGTACAGAGCAGTGTTGAGCAGGGCGTTGAAGTTTAGACCGACCTTGCCAGATGGATCGGCACGCATGAGAATACGGGGCTTGGTTGTTTCCTTGGAAGCAAGGATGCGGATAGGACCGACGCCTTGGCTGACCCATGATGCAGGCTTGTTGTCGTCACCCTTGACAAGTTTCGTCACCTTACAACGTGCTTCGTGGATCAGATCGTACTTGGCGATATCGTCGGCGGTGAGGGAGGTCAAATCCTTCTGTGCGTCGTTGGGTGTGTCGCTGGGTTCCGACTCAGCGGCACTGCCTTCAGCGTCGGTGGTAGTGGCGCCAGGAGTCGTGGCGCGAGAGGTAGCAGCCGATGCGAACACCGATGATCCGGAAGGAGGTGCAAGTCCTGAAGAAGGAGCACCGCCAAACGAGAAGCCGGTCGTAGGGGCCGAGGGCTTTGCAGCGTCGAAGATACTACCAGATGCAGCAGGCTTAGCACCAACCATTCCACTGAAGGGAGATGACTTTTCAGCCGTTTGAGAAGCACCGCCGAAGTTGAATTTGGGTGCAGGAGCCTTGGCAGGTGAACCATCAGGAGTAGTGGTACCGGCGGTAGCTGTGCTGGCACCGAACTTGATAGGATCACTACCCTTCCAGGTGTTGTCAGCAGCACCGGAACTACCGAATGAGCTGAACTTGAAGGAAGCGCTAGGAGCATCAGATGTCTTCTCCTTCTCGGCGTCAAAGGAAACACGTTCGAAGAGACTCTTGCCAGCAGAAGGCTTAGCAGGAGTTGCCTTGGTCAGAGCAGCATGGACATCCTCATCTTCATCAGTGTCGCCGTCGTTATCGTCATCATCAGGCTTGCTGCCGGCAAGATTGCCAAAAATATTGGACGATGCAGAGGTGCTTGTGGAAGATGCAGGTGTGCCACTGAATGAGAAAACAGCCGAGGCAGAGCTTGCGGGCTTCTTGGAGGTGTCGACACTGAACTTCAGAGCTTGACTGGCGGCCAAGAGTTCGGCCTTCTTCTGGGCCTGCTTCTCAGCATCCTTTCTCTCCCACTCTTCCTCGTCTTCATCAGAGTCCATGTCCTCTTCCTTGCGCTTCTCACGTTCCTTTGCTTCTTGCTCAGCAGCCTTAGCACCGAATGAGCCAAGGAAGCTGGGAGCAGCAGTAGAAGCGCCACCGCCGAACTTGGGTACTTGGAAGCCAGATGCAGGTGCAGACGAAGGGGCAGAGCTACCACCGAACTTGGGGATCTGGAAAGGAGATGCAGCAGATGTTCCGGTGTTAGAGGATGGCAATGCTTGAGCTCCAGCAGGAGGGGCGAAGCCGATCTTGGGAGCGGTGGGCCCGGGAGTAGCAGAAACATTGCGAGCAATGGCACCGAAGGGGTTCGACTTGGCTTGGGGAGCAGTAGCGGGAGGAGCTGGAGTCTTGTTTGCAGAGGCGGAGAAGACGTTTGTGGGTTGAGGTGTCTGGGGCTTGTCTGGGCTGCTCAGGATGTTGTCGAATAATGAAGCAGTTTGCGAGAGGGGCTTGCCGCTGGGTGAGCCGGAAGTGGTGGTAGACATGTTGAACGTAGGCTTGCTGGGGGTAGAGACAGTGGAGCCCTGCTTAGCACGCTTGCTGTGTTCGTCATCCTTTGTGACTTCCTCATCAGCAGGACGCTTCTCACCGCGGGTGTTGGAAGGAGCCAAAGGAGCAGTGAGCAGCTTGGGCGCACTTGAAGACTGGATGGCTCCTGCGGAAGGCGCAACACTGTTCTCGGAACGAATGCCAGCGATTTGTTCAAGGTAGAAATGCACAATGGCACTCCAGTCCCGGGAAGTATCGGCTGATGCGAGGTAGGCAAGTAGAGACTCGTTGACCTGCTTGATCATAACAGACTCGGCCTCGGATGGCGGGAGTTGAGGAGAAGCCGGAGGAGTGGCAACGCCTGGAGTGACAGGTGCCGAGAGAGCGTTGCTTGTACGAACTTCGGATCTGCCAGAAGGGGCAGGAGCTTGTGCGCTGACGGAGGAACCGAAGGCGAAGGATGGTGACGCGGCGGGTGCTTGAGGAGCTGCCGAGACAGAGCTGCCGAAGCCCTTGAAAGCAGATTCGGCGGGCTTTTGCTGAGCGGGGGCGCTGTTGAACATGGAATTGCCGAGACCAGCATTTTGAGGCTTGGGCGATACTGGAGCGGCAGCGGGCTTGAATGCAGACGGTGTAGGTGCGCCAGATGAGGATTGCGAAGGGGCTGCGTTGATCTGGGGATATGAGACTTCGCCAGCAGGCTCAGGAACGGCGGGAGCACCAAATGCGAATGATGGAGAGGGGAGCTTCTTCTCGGCAGGCTTGGGAGACGGAGGTGCAGCGGGAGTTGCGGTTGTGCCAAAGTTGAAGGCAGGAGTTGGAGGCTTGGGGGCTGCGTCGTCTTTCTTCTCGGCAGCGGAACCGAAGTTAAATGCAGGAGCCGGAGAGGCTGGAGCAGCATTTGGAGTGCCAAAGTTGAACGATGATGAAGGTGCGGGTGCAGGAGAAGCGGCGGGACCTCCGAAGTTGAAGGCAGATACAGGTTTTGCTGGTGTGTCGTCCTTTTTCGCGGTCGAAGCACCGAAGCCACTGAAGGCCGAGGTGGTGGGTGCATCGTCCTTCTTGGCGGGCTCAGTAGCGGTGCTACCGAACTTGAAGCCAGATGTGGGTGCAGATGATGCGGAGGCAGGGGTGGCACCTAAGCTCTTGAAGGGTGATGATTGAGTCTCGGGCTGGCTAGATGAGGAAGCGGGCGTGGTGGATGCGCCGAAGCTGAACGACGGTGAGGGAGCGGATGCGGGTGCGGGTGTGGTGGATGAGAAGGAGAAGGAGGCTTTGGGTGCTTCGGGCTGTGTCTGGTAGGGTGTAATGTTAGCAAAAGGCTGGGCCGAAGGGAGTTGAGGTTGCATGTTCAAGCAGTGGTGGTGGTGGGATACATCAACCATGTCATGTTGAGTGACTTGGTCGACGTCGGGGTGGTTTACGAAGGGGGCTTGGGCACCTTCAACACTGTTGAATGGTTGATATGGCCGTGCGTATGCGAAAGCATTGGGATTGAAGGATTCTGCTGCAGGGGGTGTGAAGCTGAGCTGTTGCTGGCCAGTCTGCGACTGGTGCGACGAGCCAAAATACTGGTACGAATGGATCTGGTCCATGCCGTGCTTCTCTCTGTCCAAGCGGGATTGCAGAGCAGCAATTCCCGTCTGCCAGGCAGCAGGCATGTTGGCATCTGCCGCTGCCTGAGCAAGCTTTGCCTCGTCGAGAAAGCCATCGGTCATGAAGTGCTCTTCAGTGAAAGCAGGGAGGTGTGTGTAGGTGTGGGGCATATGAGAAGCAAACAAAGGAACGTCATGAGAGTCTGCAGATCCATGGGATCCGGTGTAGCGAGGCATGTTGAAAGAAGTGATTGTTGTCAGACTCACGGTTTCTGGTTTGGCGCGGACAAAGTCGAGCATCTTTCTCTGCACGGCGGCTGGAAGTGCGGAGAGGTCAAGGCCACCAAGGTCGGCATCCTGTACAGAGGGTCAGCGCACAAGAAGCGTGTTTGGCAAGATGACATGGACACACCTTGTACTTGGGCTCGCTGTGACGCACAATGTTAGCGAGAGCGTCAAGCTTGCCCTCCTGGCTCAGACGAGGACCGGCCGACTCGATCTCGTGGATCTCAGCAGCAGTGATGTTCTGCTCGGTGCTGCCAAACGAGGGGCCCGACATGGCTGAGAAGGGATTGAAGGCAGGTGCAGGCGATGCCGGGGCGGAAGGGCCTGGCGAGGCAGGTGTTGAGCCGAAGGTGAAGGAAGGTGCCTTGTTGGCGTCACCGTTCTGTGCAGGCCTGGCAGGTGATGCGCCGAAGCTGAATGATGTGCCGGTAGGGGTTGATGCACCAAAGTTGAAGCTCGAAGACTGAGGTGGTGCAAAGGCAGGAGCGTTGGCAGGTTGTGACTGGCCAAAAGAGAAGGAAGCGGCGGGGGTTGCACTGCCGTTTGCAGGAGCGTTTGGTGGGAAGCTCTGTGAGGTCGACATGGAGCCGAAGGGGTTGCTCGGTGCTTGCGCAGTCGTCTGGCCAAAGTTGAAGCTGGCAGCAGCTGGTGGTGCAGGAGCGCTCTGTGCGAAAGGGTTGCTGTCGCCGCCGCCGCCAAATGGATTGCCAAAGCCAGGAGCTGGGCTGGTCTTGGAGGGTGAGGATGACCGAGACGAGCCGGGGCGTCCCTTGAGAGGTTTGATGCTGGACAAACAAAGAGTGAGCGGGCTGTTGGTGATTGTGTCACCTGTTGCATATGCACTTCACTTACCTTCGCTTTGCCAACTGAGCAGCTGTCGCCTTGCGCGGTGGGTCCATTGCTGTGTCGCGGGGATCTTCCATTCCACCATATCTCTCCGCGCCGCCTTGCCCATCCGCTACTCGTTTCGACATGGCCAACTCTTGTCTATGGCGCTCGTGTCCTGTCTTGTGTGTTGGACTCGGTCCAGTGAAAGTGTCGCAGCCTGAGCTGTAATCGCGTGTTGCAGGTCGCGTCCGTTGGTTCTAGATGGGCATGTGTCGAGTTGTGTGTCTCCGTACACTGCTAAATGGAAAAGTGCAGAGTCGAGGTATGGCGATGATGCGCTTGGATCTTGGTCTGGCTTGTTTTGAACTTTTGTTGCTCGTTTCCTTGTCCGACCCTTGCCGGCATCCGATCCGCCAATCACCGTCTTTCAGCATGGTTCCTTCCCCACACCTCCGACCATTTCTACCTTCTGCCTCCTGTATCCACGACAATCTAGAGCTTTGTTTCTATCTCCTGCTCGAATAATGATATGACTTGTCCAAATCCACAGACACACCAAGAGACAGTGTAATGTCCATGGAAACACTGTATACTTCCAAATTTTCTTTGAATGCATCTCTCCTCTGAGCAACTTTGTGCCTTTCCAGCGATTTGAACACTTGTAGCAGGAACGTGAAAGCAGCATAGAGGTCTACAGTAAACGGACAGCGAGTACCTGAATCTCTGCATCTTTATTTCCCAGCATGATTGTCACCAACCTACATAAAAACACACAACGATATCATTAGATGGAACAACATCCATTGCGGACTCGAATATTGGAAACCAGGTTCATATCGATTTCCTTTTCTGTATAATTGGACCCTGTTGCTCTTGGTCTTTTGGAGCTGCCTCGTTGCAGTTGATTCTTTGGCATCTCTTCTTCGCATCCTTTGGTGCCTCTTCTGAGATCAATCCTATCTTACATGCTGGCCCAAAAGCCACTCTCAATGTCCGCCGACAGGTCCGTCAGGTCCGTCAAGTCCGTCCATGTCCATGTACTGGAACAGCTCCTCGTTGACCTCTCTCTCGGCCTGCTCTCTCTTCTCTCTAGCCAGCTTCTCTAGGTAAGGGGTCGACTGGTTCTCGTCATCGAATGCCTAATTCATGTACTGGTCCCAGTCGTCGTCCGCAACACGCTTGGTGAACTCGTTTTCGAACATGTCCATGGCCTTGAGGTTGGAGTACTTGTCAAGGCCTTGCTCGACAAAGTCAACTCCGTACTGCACGTTGTCGATTTGCTCCTGAGTAGCGAAGTCTCCGGCAAGGTAGGGGGCAGGCTGAGTGTAGCTGGCGTCCTTGTTGGGACCCTTCTGACGGGTAGCGCGGGCGCGGAACATGGCCTTGAGGTCAGACTCCTGCAGAGGAGTAGGATTGGACTCGAAACCGTAGCGAGCCTTGTCACCGACGTCTTGATCGTTGAGCAGGTGGAGGTCGAGCTGGGCAACGCGGTCTTCGCCGAGGTACCAGGTTTCTCCTTTGTCGTGCTTGATGCGAGCATCATGCTGGCTAGAATACTTACGGGCAGCACGAACGCCTTCAATACCAAAGGTCATGTCGACAATGTGCTCCTTGAAACCCAAGGCGAGAGCACCGTTTCCGTAAGCAACCTTGGTGAGGGTATGCTTGCCGATGACTCCAGACATGTATTTGCCTTCGACCAGACGAGTGAGAAGGTTGGTGAGGGGCACACGGATCAGAGAGTTGTCTTCTGACATGTTGTACCAGAGGCCGTAGTCGCGCATGGTAAGACTGGGCAAGGAATCTTCAGGAATGGGCTTTTGATATTGGCCAGAAGCGTGTTGGGGATCCGTGGTGTAAGCGACACCTTCGACGTAAAGACCACTAACAGCGTCCTCGTGGTCAAGGTTGTAACTCATGTACAGGTGCTTGACCAAGACGACGTCCTTGCCTGAACTGTTGTTGTGAAGAAGAGATTCAAAGCGAACAAGGTCGTTCTTGAGGATGAATTCGGCGCCGAGGTAGAAACCCTTGCAGTAGACGCGGGCCTCGCTTCCAGTGGAACTGAAGTGGAAGCGGTCAACAGTAGACAGCGAGGACATGGCGGCCAGGGCGTTGCGAACAGTAGGGTGACACTCGCGGGGATCGTCAACATCAGCGCCCTTCAGGAGCTCCTGCCAAAGAGAGAAAGGACGCATGTGCAGATGGTTGACGTTCTTGTAGCGAGTAGACCAGGCCTTGTTCGAGTTACCAGCCTGTGACATGGGCTCGACGCGGAAGCTGTCGGCGCATGAGCTCTGGTCGAGAAGCGCGGCAGTGGAGGCCCTGCCGTCTACCTGGGTGACGACTGCGGCCTCCCACTGAGGCAGACCAACATAGCCGAGACGCTCGTCCTCAATCTTGTAGATCTCTGCCTGCTCATCGTACTTGACTGTCTGCTTGGGTTTGAGGTTGCGAACAATAAGGATAATCTCGCCGAGACGAGGGAGATAGCGGTGGGAGGTGTCAATTGACTTGATATAGGCGGGAAGGCTGGCGATCTCTCTCTCGAGAAGCCAGTGCATGGAGTGAGGCTCTGTTATAGCCACGCTCATCGGCTGGCCCTGCTTGGCTTGGGTCATAAGCTGATCGAAGACGTTAGGAGTACCGTCCTGATCAACGCCAGCGGCGCTAGAGGGCTGGGGGTAGTCAACGTCCATGATGGGTGATGAAGAGGGTGTGTTTGAAGCTGCGGCAGGAAGGGAAGGCGCGGCAGGAAGGGAAGGCGCGGCAGGAAGGGAAGGCGCGGCAGGAAGGGAAGGCGCGGCAGGAAGAGAAGGCGCGACCGGCAGGGAAGGCACGACAGAAAGTGAAGATGCGTTAAGAGCGGGAGCTGCGTTAACGACTGGTGGTTGGATGGCGTTGTTCTGCAAGATCCACACTAGATGTGCGGCGCACTCCTGAGCGGTGCGGAATCTGCCTCTCGGGTGACCGTAGACGTAGTGGTCAAATGGTTTAGTTGTGGTTTTGTTGCGCAACTTAGTCTCCAGGATGTAGTTCTGGGGGAGCGCGGTGAAAGTGACACCAGCGGGTCCTAGATTGCGTTAGTCTGGGTGTTCAAACATTGCTATGCTATGGCTTACCAAAATTGCTGATGATCCAAGGATCCCTGTTGATGTGAGGGAGCAACTTAGCCAAGTAGGTGGCTAAGCGAGTAGAAGCAGGCCCGGTGTATAGACCAGGCACACCAGTGGATGTGTAGTGATTCCAATTTATCTGAGCAGCCATGTCGCCTATACTTGCTTATGGCGTGGATGAATTTCGGAGAAACTTCGCCGTGGGCGGAAGCGGAAAGTTTAGCCGAGCACAGACCGCTCATAGAGCCAGCCGAGCACAGACCGCTCGAGGAAGTCAGCCAACTTTCACTGATCGAGTCTACAGTGAGAGGTTGTCGAGCAGTGAAGTGAAATTCAATCACATGCACAATAGGGATAAAATGACGTGAAGTCGCAAACAATACGAGATGAAAGTGACCAAGAATTCGAGATTAAGCAGGAGGCAGGGGGTTTGAATAGCATGTATTTGTAGCGCACGATCGTGCAGTGCTAGTGATTTTTCTTTCTGAACAAAGGATTCTGGAGAATGGGAGACATGGAAAGTACTTTTACCTAGCTTTTGTGAATGGATTTCTTGATATGGGATGGTGAAGACAGGAAGTGAAGGCAGTTGAGGATGATTCAGCATTTGGATTTGAAGATATGCCAAGCTCCGGCAATCACCGCCAACCTGACTGTCTCCCATACAAATGCACAATGATATCGACTAACAGGACAGTATCCATTGAGATGTGATAGAACTGGGGCTCTCTTTGGCCAAGTCCTTGTCATGAGAGAGTGGGAGTTTCTCCCCAAAAGTTGTCTTGCGAACAGCTATCAAAATGCACAGTCGTTCCAGTAGATGAGGAGCATTCAAAGAGAGCGAACAGATCATGGACTCTCTTTGGACTCTACTACAATCCGGAAAGGACTGTGCATTTTGATAGCTGCTAGTTGCGCTGGCGTGTCGTCCTGAGAGCGGCGTGGGAATGAGGAGTGGGCAGAAGAATGCGAATGCCAAAAACACGTGAGGCCACAGCAGATCAGCCGTAAATTCTTTGTCGCAACAAATCCCAAATAACAGATTCCGGCTCCAAATGTATCTGCAGCCTATGACTTGGTCGCGTTTTCCTGTTGCAGCAAGTCTGGCTTCAGCTGTAGGGAATTGCGTTCGATAGCTCGCTTGAGGATCCGCACAAGCTGAGGAAAACAAGCTAGAGTGGTAGGCTATTCACGAAGGAGCCGTTGAACTCTTGGGCCAATGGCAAATCTGGATGGAGCCTCCTATTAAAGCAGAATGGCCGCCGCACGGCGGTCGACTCTGGACGCTGTTCCAGTCGCAGGCGTTGTCTTGAACCTGTTCGTCGGCAGAGACATGCAGCAAACGGTCCAACGGCCTTGTTCGCAATAACACCATGGACGTCCTTCGCGGTCCCTTCGCTCCAAACCCCTCGTCGGCCCTCCAGTCGCCTCCACCCCGGCGCATCTCAACAGTCGCAGGGCGGCGCCTCTCTGCTGTCGTCTCTGATCGAGCATCCACTCAGTCCATGTCGTCGCCATCGCCGCGAGTCGTCAGCCGGTGGAGCGACAGCACCCACATGGCCAGGACGATACCGCGCACCAGTCGCGACTCGATGCCACCACCCTACCTCCTGCACAGCGACCCTCTGGAAGGCGACAAGCTCGTACCCATCGGTCCCGTCGTGCGTCAAAGAGGAGGATGCAAGAGAATCGGCTTTCTGGTCCTGCTAGCACTGGTTGCAATTGCGCTCGGTATAGGTCTGGGTGTAGGCTTGACTCGAGGAAGTGGAGGAGGAGGAGGCGGCAATGGAGCATCAACAGCAGAGCCGGATGCGAGCACTCCCTCGCAACTGACGTATCCTGTTGGCGAATACAGCCTTGTCACGGCCCTGCGTACTATTGAGACCAACTGTACTTCAGACCCCAATACCTGGCGCTGCTTTCCAGGTCCCACCTTCGCTCAGTCCGCGAGTGCGTCCCTGGCCACCTTCAATTGGCTCTTGTCCAATACCTCTGCCTCGTATGCCACCAACAGCAGTGCCTTGTCCACATCTTCCCAGGGCATCGCTGCGAACCTGACCATTTCCGCATCCAACAACCCGTTCAGCATTACCTTTGATTCGACTCCTCTGACTTTCATCAATGATACGTCTCCGCGCTATACCTTTGCAGCCAACATATCGCAGAAGATCATACCAGCTTCAAACATCACCGCAGACAACAGAGCCACCGTTTGCTTCTTCAACCAAACCCAAGTCGTGGGAACGCTGCATCTGGATGACACTTACGCTCAACAATACACGTTTACCGGCAACAATGCGAGCTACACCCTATGGCCGTACGCTGTCCAAGTTGAGCTCGTGAGCCCCGGTGGCCAGAACACGCCGGCCTGCTATTACACAACGAACGGCGCCATTGGAGCCCAGATCACAGATGTGTTTACTGCTCAACCCGCCGAGGATGTGTGCCTCTGTGAATACAGAAACTACTTCTGACAGCTTTCTTCAGTCTCTCGATACCCCTGCATGTCTTCTTCCCTGCTTGTTTCTTGTTCTTTTAGCGTTGCGCCCTTATGTCAGACTCACGATTCAGTAAATGCAAATCGTAATGTTACCAGATCCTATGTGCAACATAAGCTGCTCGTCAGCTATTACTAAGCTGTGAGATGAAAGTAGCTACGCCTATGAAGGCTCGGCTGACTGGTCCTATTCCGATCACGACTCGACTGGAAATGGTGATCCATATCCAAACGAATCTACGGCAAAGGCAGCATCCGACAGCTTTGGACCCCTTCCGAGTTTGCAGACGGAAAACACAGCCCATGCACGGCAGATGATAAAGGAGGGGTATGGGGTGGATGGTGCGGGCGGTGCGGGGTTCTGAGGTCATCTCCTTGTCCCGCATGTCTGAACACTGCTCTGCTACACACAATTGTTGAGACCCACGATCACCTCGTGACAATGGCGGTGTGTGATCAGCGTGAGTCAGATATGTGTATTTGACTGCAAGTTCACTGATCTAGAATTGACCGTGCCTCCTCAAATGGACACTTGTTAACAAGTGAAGCGCGAAGGATTTTGGCATGGTCTTGGAAGCCACTGACTTTGGTATGAACGAGGCCTGACACGGCGCTAGTGTTTGCGCCTCGGTTACTGGGACCCATAAATTATATGACAATCACTGCTGGTCAATTGTTCTTAAGGTCTGCTCAGATTCTTTCTTTTGACGCCGACGTACTTTTTCTTTCTCAAAACACAATCCAAAACATATACGCCCATCATGTCGCCCGGCAAGACTGCAAACATCTCGTTCGACTCCGAGTTCGCCAACATCATCAATGGCAAGGCACACACAAAGTCAGACAACTACCATCAAGGTGTTAACCCTGCAACCGGCGAGAAGCTCTGGAATGTCCCAATTGCCAACCAGTCAGATGTGGATGAGGCTGTCGCTGCTGCACAAAAGGCGTTCGAATCATGGAGTGTCAAGCCCATCGAGGAGCGCAAGGAGCTCTTGAAGAACTTCCGTGACCTCTGGAGTGGTTACCAGGAGGAGTTCACTACACTGCTGTGCAAGGAGACTGGAAAGCCTAGACAATTCGCCGCCATGGAGGTCGGTGCCGTTGGTGCATGGTTTGACCACCACGTGGCTTTGAGTATTCCTGAGGAGAGAATCGAAGACGATGAGAAAATCATGACTACTAGATACATGCCCTTGGGTGTCGTCGGTGCCATCTGCCCTTGGAACGTATGTGGCTTATCTTTTTCGGTGATTATGAACGAGTTGCTTACAACGTCTTTGTAGTTCCCTCTGGTTCTCTCGTTCGGCAAGATCGCCCCTGCTCTGCTTACCGGATGTACTATCATCGTCAAGCCCTCACCCTTCACTCCTTACACCTCGTTGAAGGCAATAGAGCTGGCACAGACCATCTTCCCTCCCGGTGTCGTTCAGGTCCTCGGTGGTGACGACAAGCTTGGTCCCATGTTCACAGAGCACCCCGGCATCGCCAAGATCAGTTTCACCGGTAGCATTGCCACAGGAAAGAAGATCATGGCTGCTTGCAGCAAGACTCTCAAGCGTGTCACCCTTGAGCTCGGAGGCAACGATGCCAGTATCGTCAGAGAGGATGTCGACATCGAGGCTACTGCTCCTCAGCTCGTCATGGGTGCCTTCCAGAACAGCGGTCAAGTACGTCGATTCATCCCTGGACTGTCTTCAAGATGCTAATTGACTCATCAGGTCTGCGTTGCCACCAAGCGTATCTACATCCATGAGAAGATCTACAGACCCATGGTCGACGCAATGGCCAAGGTCGCCGCCAGCCTCAAGGTCGGCACACCCGACGAGGAAGGTGCCATGCTCGGCCCCATCCAGAACCAGATGCAGTACGAGAAGGTCAAGACTTTCTTCCAAGACAGCAAGGACAAGGGCTACAACTTCATTGCCGGCAGCGGAGATGTCGAGAAGAAGGATGGCTTCTGGCTCCAGCCCGCCATCATCGACAACCCTCCCAACGACAGCAAGATCATCCAGGAGGAGCAGTTTGGTCTTATCCTTCCCGTTCAGCCTTACTCTGACGAGGAGGAGGTCATCAACCGTGCCAACGACAGCAATGCCGGTCTTGGTGCTTGCGTCTGGAGTAAGGACGAGAAGGCCGCCGAGCGTATTGCTCTCCGTCTGCAAGCCGGAAGCGTCTTCATCAACTCATTCGAGAAGCCCACCCCTCAAGCGTAAGTGACCTCTCTAGCCATTCGCCCCGACAAGATACTAACAGTGTTCACAGCATCTTCGCCGGCCACAAGGAAAGCGGTATTGGCGGTGAGTGGGGCACCCAGGGTCTGTTGTCTTACTGCAACCCTCACGTCATTCACCTCTACAAGAGCAAGCTGTAAATCAGTGAGTGCGGTATAGATGCAGGCCTTCAGCAGGCACACTTTGTAAACAAGTAAACAGACATGAGATAACGAGATCAACCACATTCTGCCACAAAGCTTAAGGAAGGAACAAATAATTTGAAACGAGAGGCGCAGTTTACGAGCCGAAATTGGAAGAAACAAGGGTTCTCTTCGGGAGGGTCGGCCTAGAATCCTTTGTTTGCGTGACCAGACCAGGCTACCCGTGTGGATGAAGTCTGTAACTTCGCTCCTTTCATGGCCAACCTCGCAACTCGTAGTGACCAAGGGATCAGCATACAGATCGGATACAGCTGAAGAGGCCCAATACCAGTCCATCCTCCTGTGGTATTGCTTCAATTCTTGAGGATATCATGCATCTTTATAGCCACCCACGCGTTACAAATGTCGGGTCTCGACTACACCCACGGTCCGGGACGATCTCCCGAAGCCGATACGGGGTGTGTGTCCGCGAATCATTGCCCGTTCAGTCAAATCTCTCACTTCTTTCTGCAGAGGCACTTTTTAACAAAACAAACCACTCATGATGCGCACATGCACGGCGTTGTGCGGTCAGTGGTCAGCAGCCATTTCGTTTGGAAACAGCGCTGGTCGCAAGCCCTGCCTGCGTGAATGTCAATCATGCAATCGTCGTGCCAACATCTGAGGAGGGTTTCACGTCGTACATGACGTTGCAATGACTTGATCCGTGTGCATGTTCTCATCGTCTGTTTATTTCTCCATGACTCTTGAGAGTTTCTGCCAACAACTCTTTTATCACTCCGAGTACGAGGCTGGCATCAGGCGGACCCTTTTGCGACCCCCTTGAACGTTTGTGTTTACTCTTTGGTCCTAAAGTCTGTTCAAGAGTGAACAAGGCTGAAGATTTGTTGATCGTCAGTCAAGGAGGCGAAAGCTTTATAGTCGTTTATCTTTCGAGTCCTTTTCTTCCTTCTCGTCCCTGTTCTTTCCAAACAAACTCCCCGCAAGACCCTGCATTTTCTTACCGACAACTGTAGAAACGCAGGTGCATACACAATGGACATCATGTCATCCGTCACGCAGGACAAGTGCAAGAACTTGTCCGAGCCATCCACTGGACAATTCGCCATATCATGGTACGTTCAACCTATTCTCGCCAAGAATAACCCTTCCTCCTCGCCGCTTCTCATAATGTACAAAACAACATACTGATCAAAACCTCACAGCGCACTCCTAGCATGGCTCTTGATCTCTTACATCCCACAATTCGCCCGCATCATCGGCCGCAAATCCGCAGAAGGCCTCTCGACTTTGTACATCCTTCTCGGCTCGTTGTCTGGAACTTGCGCAGTGGCGAATATCATGGTGCTGCCTTCGAGTCAAACGGACATGTCTTGTTGTAGGCATTACACTCGCTTTGGATGTATATCGCGCTTGCTGGGTCTCTTCCAGGTTGTCAGTGGAGTTGCTTTGTTCTGGTGCATGTGAGTTTTTTGTTTTCCTTTCTCTCTCCACTGTTTGTGTGTACAAAGAAAGAAAGATGCAGAGTGCTGACCGAGAGAAAACACAGAATGTTCCTCTACGTATACTTTTCAGAAGAAGAAGCCGATGCCGAACTCCACGGTCGCCGCCGCTCTCTATCTTCTCCTGACCGCACTTTCCGCCGCGCTCGTCGCGCTATCCGCTTGCTCATCATCGTGGTGGCATTCGCATTTGCGGTTATGCTCGTCAGTGCGGTGATCCTCAGTCGCTTTCCTTGGTATTCGCAGGAATGGGCGAATGTATTGGGAATCGCTGTTGCTTGCTTTGCTTGTGTGCAGTGGGTGCCGCAGGTGTGGACGACTATCCATTTGGGCCATCTGGGAAGTTTGAGTTTGGCGAGTGTGTGCATGGGTGCGCCTGTAAGTTTTTGCCTCTTTCCCCCCTTCTAATGCTTATCCCTTCCAATTCCCTTTGCACAAGGACTGCTTGATTGACTTTGATTGCAAAAACAGTATACATGGATCTTTGGCGTCAACATGATCATCCGCCTCGGCATGTCTGGCTGGTCCGTCTGGATCGTGTACGTGCTGGTCGGAGTGATGCAACTCATCCTCATCATCACCGCTATCCTCTACATCATTCGCGACAACCGCAAAGCTCGACGCGCTGATGCTACCTCCACTGGCAACTCCTCTTGCAGACGTGATGTCTCAGAGTCGCCTAGCACGAGAGCGCTGAGACCGCAATTGGCTTCCTGGAATAGCTTTGCTGCTGGCGCGACTGAGGGAGAGGCAGAGGGCAATGAGAGGACGCCGTTGCTGGCGGGGAGGAATAGGCATGTTGAGGAGACTGCTAGTCCTCGACGTGTTGTTTAGAGTTTGAGGTCGAGAGAAGGGAGGAGGATTATGGTTAGCAGTCAAGGTTTGGACATTGGAGGAATTTGCTTTTGCTAGACAAAAGATTGGGGAACTGGAGCTACACAAAGGAGTACAGGTGGGCATACGAAGCGGCGTTCCCGGGTGTAATAACGAATATTTCAATGATGCATTTTTTTTTTGGCTCTTCTTCCATATCTTGCTCGTCATGTCGCTGGAAGAAGAATGCAAAGTTAACACATGATATAGTACATTGGAAGAGGTGGAGTAGCCTACGCTGCTGACTCTTGATGGATTCCTGCCTACCACCTTTCCCTCAGTCCTCACGACCTCTGTCTCTTCCTTCATCATCACACATGGCATCCTGGCCATCATCACTGTCCCCGGGCTCATCGATCTGGTCCAGCAATAAATTGGCAGCAGCATTGACTTCGTCTTGATCAAGCAATTTGATAGCCTCGAATGAATGTTGCATCTTCTGGAACTCAATGTTGTGCACGCTGGCAGTCGACGTGCTGATGCTTGTGCCTGATCTACCCGACAAATTGGGTGTCGGAATTCTTGGCTGCGAGCTGATGCTCAGACACGCCACGGGGTTGATTAGGCTTTGCTGCAGCTTTGGCTTCACGTTCGCGTTTTCTGGATGCGGCTTACTTGTCCTGAGCATTGTGTGAGCACCCGGTAGAGAAGAAGCAGTCGCAGGGAAACATACTCTGCATTGCTTGCAGGTCTTTGTTGTTGTGTCTAGCAAGCCGTGACTGCGAGAGACTTTGCTTTTGAACCAGTCAAGCGGTCTTTTCGACTCGCAGCTTGAGCAGCGCATGTTCTCGGTCGGAGGTATACGCGTCGTCGGCGAAGACATGGTTGGTGTTTGATGTCGAAGGTAAAGTTAAGGTCTTCATGCGCCGGGTGCTGCGACGGCAGCATACTAAAAGTGCAAAAGATGCTCACTTAGGTCGTGATCAAGGCCGCCAGACTGAGAGTCTTTTGCTTACACGAGCCGGATGACGCGGCCACAAAGTGAGAGATGACTTGGTCGGAGAAGCTGTGTTCCATATGCCAGGATTTGGTAGCGTCGTCTGCTTCTCACATAGCTTGGGTTGAAAACCGATCTGCAAGAAGGCACCATCGTCTTGTGTCGAAGTGCAGAGGAGAGCTACGACCTTCTCATATCTCTGTGGATGCGCGACTCCTGATCCGAAAACAACTGAGCATTCTGGCTAACAATGGCATGTCAGACGATTGCGCTCAGAGGCATTATTCGCTGGAATAGATACATCGCTGCGACAGCCATCGAAGCCATCACAGCCGTTCCCCTTCCATTCATCCGAGTCTGCCAGGATACAAATCTTCGGTCGATGAACGTCTCGAAGTAATGATAGCAGGCGGATGCGAGAGGTCCTCAACAATGAGACTCGGTTTTGGTAGAGGATCAGTCTGCGAAAAGGTCACGGCGGCTTCGAAGTCGCGACGTCTCTTCTGTGCTTCCGAATGATTCGAAGAGAAAGGGTTGTTGATAGCCCAGATACTCCCCCACGTGCTGTTGCGCTTCGCGGTGCTGTTTGTAGTGTTCGAAGGTAAGGTGGTCAATGTGGGTGGCGAAGCAGATATGCCTGTCAGCCAAGAATTCTGACCTTGATACGCTATCGTGGTCTTCGCGTCCGAGCTGTCGGATCCAGTCTGCAGGTCGTAAACTCCCTGTCGAGCTGTTGCTATCTTGACTAATTTTGACAAGACACCAAATTCCAGTTTCAGCTTGATGCTGTAGCACATCCCCTTCAGTGTGACTTCAATCTGATACATGCCGAGGTACTCAACAGTAAGAAGCGCGGTATCAAGGATGATAATCACAACATTTATCGCAACCAGCTCCCACATGATCTTTCGGAAGCGGCCGTCGTCAACCACTTTGAGAATGCGGCGGACCTCAACGAGGTAGATGAATGATATGATCAACTCTTGAAGCGAAAAAATTGTCATCTGGATTTTCTCCATGACAGAGTATCCGAAGGTAAACAAGTGGGGTTTGCTCGAGTTGGATCCAAGAGACAGGACATTGGTCGGGACAGTGAGGATGACTGCATTGATTATTATCATCCAGAGTATGCTCCGAAGCAACTTGCGATTTTGCGTGATACAATGCAGTCGAGAGTATAAGACCAGACTCGAGCCTGGCACCAGGACGACCCACCCTATGCTCGATAGTATGATCATGCCCAAAGCATCGCCTTCTCCCACCTGTTTCAACCATGCGCCAACAGAGTATGGAATGATGGAGATAGCCGTGATGAGCAGGGACCAGAAGTATAGACCTGAGTATCGCTTAAAGACGACGAGGACCAGTATGACGATTTCGGCGGCATTGTACCAAGCGATAGCGGTGAATGCAAGCATTGCTCGAATGACGATGGCATTCTCGCCTTTGTATCCGCCCGAGATTCCCGACTCTGCGTCGGTGATACCGTCAGGCATGTTGGTTTGCGTCGGAATGGCTTCCTAGTGTTCCAAGATGATAGTTGATATTCGATAGATGATACTCAGAGTGTTCAACACATGGTTGTGCTGGAAGACAGCCCGAAGACGGTGAACATCTGGGGGATGGACGATTGAATGTCGCAGGCGAGTGAGGAGTGAGAACAGAAGACACATCCATAACTGGGACTGCCAACAGCCTTGAATCCTTCGTATGCATCACCGTCGGAAGACAAGGCCAGATCGGCACGTGGGTGCATCCTACAGGGATGTTATCGCGCCATGCGCGTCACTTTGCGGGGTTGCGCCAGCCTTCAAAGCTTTTTGACTCTGCGCCAGACCGCTGCATCTTGCGACTGACACCTCGATACCCTGTCAAAGTCCACTCCGAGATGGATACAAAGAAGCGGTATCGGTCGTCAGGTGAGGTGACAGAAAATTTCTCCGGCTTGTAGAAGTGACATCTCCGTGGAAATATCACAGCCTCAAGCTTACTGTACCTGCACATACAGCAATACAGCCATCAGAAAATTGGGTGCAGTTGGGTTGCTAAGTGGCATAATGTCAGGCTTGGTAACAAGAGCTCAAGGTCAGAGTCCGGCACGTCATGACAGGAATTGGGCAACGACTCTGAGCACCTACTGCTCCTGATTGCTATACGGTCTTACAAGCCCTGTGGCCAGTCACCAGGGTTGTTCCATTCACTACTGCCATTGAGGAAACGATCGATATCGAATGTCTGTAGATCAGGCATTTCAGGTAAGGTTTCAAGCCAAGTGTTTCCCCAGTCATTGATAGTTTGAGGCTGTGATAGCATTTGCTGATCAAACAAGACTGAAGGTGAATATGTCGACACAATTTCTGACAGCGTTTTGAGATCCGCCTCTTTCCGCTTTCTGTGCAAATGAATGAGTAAACAAGCCGTGCTTAGAGCTTCTTTTGCAGCATCAGTTGGGTAGACTAGCTGGATATTACTCAATGTCTTGATGCCATCATTCAGTTGTGCGATGGCTGCTGGTGTGTCTAAAGCGAGTAAGATGCAGATGATCTGGAATGGGACATTGACCACATGATGCCATGGAGCACAGTCATCTAACAAGTCTTGAGCAGCTTGAATACCTCTCGCAGTTACCGACAGTACCTGCGTGAGAAGGTTACCTTGGAAATGGAAGTTGAGAATTCTCAACCGGCGGCACAACAATAGCGTGAGGTTGCACTGAGCAAGAACAGATGGCGGTGCAGTGTGATGCCGCTCAACGATTTTCGAGAGTGAGTTCTTGAGATCCACGACATCCACGTTCTTATCAGGATTGAGGTTCTCGGCATGAGGTAAAAGCTCCAGGAGCTCTGTAGTGTAACCGCCTTCTCTAGGAGCCGGTAGATCAAAATCGAGCGTCTGGAGATGTACTCTTGAGCGTCCGATATCAAATGACATCCAAACATTCAGATGCTGAGCGATACCAAGAATTCGCTTTCTGATCTCTGGTGTCAACGGCTGACCTGACTCATCGGTGCTCCAATTGAGTACATGAGTCGAGTGTATACCAGCAGCTTCGAGAGTGTGCATCAGCATGCAACTAGCCATCCATGCGGCATGCGCCGGGGCAATCATTCGCATGTAAGCCACCCGCAACACCCAGGCGGTGACAATATCCAGAGAAGGATGCACCGATATTGATTCTTCGAGAATTCGCTTGGCTGTCTCGACAAGGTCCAGTTCTGCATCAATCACATTTCTCCGAGAGAACAGAAGTCCCAAAGCTGCAATGCCACACAAGACAGCCTCGAATGAGCTCGTCTCTGCATTGTCATTCGTCCAGTAAGTTCGCATACGGCGCTCGAGCGATCGCCGGTCTACGAAACCGTAACAAGGGTCAACCTTTGCGAAGTAAACACCGACAAGTTCTTCTGCCTCAGACCAGGAAAGGATCTGGGTGATAGAACGGGAGATGGGGGTATGATTTGACTTTCGTGAACCAAGGAAAACATTCCAAGCGAACAAGCGTAGTCGGGGAGCATTAGCCGGATCAATGCCTAATGCCATCTTCCTCACAAAAGCAGAACCAGAATTTGCTTCCAGCGACTCTATCCTGGTTTGAGCATCTTGATCTGTTGGCGATGCAGGAGTGTGTTCCGCTACTGGTGAAGTGTCGGATATTGCGGCGGCTTTTCTTTTTCGAGTAGATTGCGGATAATGGCAGTCGTATGCATACCGCACACAAGTGCTACATGGAAAGGCTCCATCACATTTCCTTTTGCGTTCTCGGCATGGCTCGCAAGCTACGCGTGAGCGCAATCGGTTATGTTGCGGTGTCGTTGTCGACATGTCAGTATCGGCGACTTGCAAGATGCATGAACAACTATACTCGAGGCTTACAAGAAGCGATGAGATGATTCCGCGTTGAGTCACCGTTGTATCACCGTCTTGTTTGAATTCTGCTGGAGGCATGGGCAGTGTGAAGGCTACCCCGCACCTTCCGCAATAGCCGCGATTACCCGAAGTCCAGCCAGGACAGCTCTTTCACCGACAACAGTTTGAGAAGTTGATATCTGGTCAGACTTACAGACTTCTCACTCATTGGTTCTGGGTGCGAATGAGATAGTAAAAGGAGCCCATCTCACGTGGGTGTCTTTACCATGCTCAGCTTCTCAAAAGCTTGGCTGCAGCCACGAGCCGCCTAGAATGTTTCTACACACGAACGCCACGCTTGGAAACATGCTCAATATCACTCGAAACGTGCAGTTCGCTCCACGAACACCCCCGGCCCCACGCATGCGATACGTGTGGCACTCGGTCGATCAGGATGATGGTATCTCAACAAGGCAACAATGACAATGGTCTCCTTAACAACTTGCTCAAACATTCTCTCGGGATGCAATCCACCAATGTTCCTACGAGGATCCTAGAAGCGTTATCATAAGAATCCTCATGTGAGCGATGCTATACAAAGGCCACGCCCATGGACGCCAGCTGGTCCATCGGTAATCAAAACTGGTCAATATGAAGATTTGCACCGCCCTTGGGCTCGTCCTGTCTATCACGCTTTCTGGTCTTGTTGCTGCAGAGAAACAGTATGGAGTCCTTGGCTTCGGCATTCCAATGTATGATCCCTTATGCTGTTATTCTTGTCATGCCGCGTTATCTGCTCTTTATCTGAACTGTACGACCTTCTCCGAGAACATGGATATGGGCCACGCTGGTATGAACATGAAATTGTTCAAGCGTATGGATATGGGAGGCGCATCCACAGCAACAACGAGTGATGCTTGCTACGCTGGCGACAGGATCTGGCTCGAAACGTTTTCCAACTGCGTCCACGACAAGTGCTCGAGGGATGGTGTTGATGAGGGTAAACAGAGTCAATGCTTCTCCAAGCTGGCCGCGAATGGACTACCTGTATCGTCACTACAGGTCTGTTTGCCATCGTCAGCTCCTGGTGTCGAGCTGGATGCACATGCTACATGGTTGAACTCGACAAGTCGGGTCGACGAACATGCTTACCTCGCCAATTATGTGACGATGAAAGAGTTTGTATCGGCTGAACACCGCCATACTCGCTACGCGTAAGCACATACGTCTCTAAGCCATTGTTTAAAGTATGCTGACCCGATACAGACTTGTTAGCATAATTTTCGTCGTGGGCATCTGTATCATTGCGGGAATTGCGGGAAGCTGCAAAACACACATCCCGTCAAGATTCCTGTCTAACAGCTTGTCATTGAGGTTGAAACAGCACTTGCTTGTACCTGCTGCATTCAACGATCGGCATCTGTCGCCGCTGCCATATCGAATCGGTAGGTATCAGAACGGCCAGACTTCACGTGGGTAGTTGCTGATTGTGTTTTTCTCGTGCAGGCTACCTACCCAAGCGTGGCATCTCTCTATTCATCGCCGCATACGTTATCCTCAACATCGTTTTCTCCGCCGTCTCCTTCCATCATGTCACACCGAATGCCTGGTACGCTGACAGGCGTCACGAAATCGCTGCTTACGTCTCAAACCGCACCGGTGTTCTCAGCTTCGCAAACCTTGCTCTGGCGATACTACTCTCAGGTCGTAACAACTTGCTCATATACATCACTGGTTGGAGTCAGAGTACAATGATAGCCATCCACCGCTGGGCGTCCCGAGTTGCCACCGTCCAGGCCGTCGTGCACTCCATCATATACACCATCACATACTTCTGGACCGGTGGATACGCTGCGTACAGAACCGAAGCAGCCATGGCTTACTACTGGTGGGGTATCATTGCTACTGTCGTGTTATGCCTTTCGGTAGGCCTCGCAGTCCTTCCCATCCGCATTCGGTCCTATGAAATCTTTCTTGTCATACACATAGCTTCCGCTATCCTCGCACTGGTGGGCTGTTGGTATCATATCGATCTGCGCTTCGGCGACAAATGGGGCTACAAGGTCTGGCTGTACATTGCGTTCGCTTTCTGGGCCTTTGACCGGCTGATGCGTTTCATCCGTCTGGTCTACTTCAATTGTCTCGGCAGTCCTATTGCAGTGGTCAAGCAGGTCCCGCACACAAATACCATACAGATGACTATCACGCTGAAGAAAGCCTGGAATGTCAAACCTGGTCAACACTCGTTCCTCTACATACCTCTACTCGGGAAGCCCTGGGAAAATCATCCGTTCACCATCGCATCTTGGAGCTCGCCCAAATCCAGTCGTAACACACCAGCACTCGTGAATTGGCCAGGTGACAAGGAAGCGGACGTCCACGGCATTGAAATCAGTAGCTCTTCCAGCTCGCAACACAGCCACGAGTCGCACCAACACTATCAGCTTGTATGCCTCATGCGTGCCAGAAAAGGCATGACTGCATCGCTCCTTTCGAAGCTGCAACGATCAGGAGCAAACTCGTTGCCTATATCCATCCTTACCGAAGGACTTTACGGCGGACACAAGGCAACATTGCAACCGTTGAAAACAGCAGACACCATTATTTGCATCGCCGGCGGTATTGGAATCACTAGCTGTATGAGTTTCCTACAGCAATATTTCAACGAGTCGCAATCAGTAGAACCTACTTCGAAAGCCTTCATGGGTTGTGCAAGCAATTTTGTGCTCGCTTGGTCGGCGAGAGAGGAAGCTTTGATACGACACATCTCTACCTCCCTTTTGCCTGACGCTTCTGTAGGATTCCCGAACAAGCAAATTGAATACCGGTTCTGGTGTACTGGAGAAAACAGTAGTCAAGACACGGGACTGGAGCAAGGCACTGATATGCAAAGGGGCAGGATGAATGTTAGAGAAGTTGTGAGGTCGGTGGCGGAGAAGGGAAGAAGAGTTGTGGTAGTGGCTTGTGCACCTGGTGGAATGTCTGATGAAGTGAGGAAGACTGTGGTCGGCTGTTTGAGAGACGGCATGCCGGTTGACTTGATCGAAGAGGCTTTTGCATGGTAAACTGCTATGACAATAGCATTGAGCGAGCTGAGAAAAACTCGTTGATCATATCGTTCGTCTCTCATACGCTGATAAGCACTGTCGAACAGTTGCTCGGGGTCATGATGGCTACTCTTCGTTTCACTCATCATCTCTTATCGACGGATGCAGCAAAATCCTCTACCAACCATCCTGTCTTCCCTGCTGCTCACCCTGATCATAAGAGTTCTGCACACCATCACCGAACCGATCAACATCCTGCCTGCCCTCATCATACTTATCCTGCACCCCCTGACCAAACTGATCAACATTCTGCTCCGCACCTCTGTACTCATCCTGTACATCATTCTCAGCACGTCGCCCTTCATTCTGGACGCCCCCAATCTTATCGCCAATCCAGTTTGCCGCCCCCCTGAGCCCGCCGCCAATGTCAGAGGGAATGTTTTCGACAGAGTCGACGGTGTTATCGAAGCCTTGTTTGGTGTCGCGAGCGAGGGTTTCGGGGGCGTCTTCGACGGATTGTTCGTCGCGGCGGAAGGAGTTGCCGAGGGATTGTTCTTCGTTGTTGAAGGCGTTGTCGGCGCGGTCGTACGTGCCCTCTGTGGTGGGTTGAACTGTTAGTGATGGATTGAGGAAGTGAAGGGGAAGAGAAGACCTACCAGCTTGGCCTACGGTGTTGCCGGCGAAACGAGCGGCATTCTCATCGTAGTCGTTGTTGTTGTAGTCAGACATGATAATTTGTGTTTTGTGGTGTGTTTCTTGATGATTGTTTGAGTAAGAAAGTTGCTTGGTGGAAAGTGTAGGATGGAGCTAGCAGACAGATAGTTGTTCCTTCTTTTATACTGGCTATTTGATGGCATCCAAAGCAAGTTACTGGTGCATTGCCAGCACAACAATGACGTGCGGGCGGCAAGTAGCCAAGGCAGGGTTTGATGAGCTTGATTGTGGTCAAGCTTCTGTCACTATTTTGAGGCGTCATGGCGGGGTCTTGGGCGGTATCCTGAAACACGCTACAACAACGAGCCGTCCTTGAATGCTAGCATTTGTGCGAAGTATTTGTGAACCTATTATCCATTCGTCTTTGTACGGAGTTGTATGGAACAAGTTGTGCAAAATCAATAAACGCCAGTCCAAATCCCCATGGGACCATCACGCAGTCTTCACCGTCGTGCCTTTGCTACCACCCCCGTTACTTGTAACAAATATACCGTTGGCGGGCTGCTTAGTCTTCAGTATGGTGACGCTGAATTTGCCGTTGCCATTAGATGTCATGGTGGTTGCTGTTCCAGTGGCCGAGTTTGTCAAATACACCTTCAATTCAGCCACGTAGCCGACGATGTTTGTGCTTGCTGTGACCGAGATGGAGCCACCTCCAGATGAGTTGGTTGTGTAGCTGTCAATGGTAACAACATCCTTCACAGCTGGATCGCTGACCACTGTGACGTTGGCGCTGCCACTCGTGCCTGCGGCAGTACTGCTGACTTTGATGTTGAAGATGTAGGTGGCCTTGACTGTGCTAGAAGGTGCAGCGAGAGAAGGGCTTGCAGCAGTGTTGCTAGACAGAGTAACAGTAGGTCCGCTGACCTGAGACCAAGTGTATTTGAGGTCGTTGGCGGCAAAATCGGCACTGTTGGTAACATTGAATCCAAGCTTGACAGGAACACCAGGACGAGTCGTCTGAACATCTCCAACTGCCACGGTGGGAGTACTTGCAGCAGGGGAGCTGCTTGGTGTCGATGGAGCTGAGGGATCAGTCACGGTACCAGAAGGAGTGCCGGACGGATCGGCGGATGCAGTACCAGATGCGGCGGCGGAAGAGGCAGGAGCAGAACTAGCTGCTGGAGGAGAATAAGGCCCACAGCTTTTGGTGGCAGGAGCGCTAGCACCAGGCCAGGGGTTGAGCTGACCAAACAGATTTCCATCTTGATCATATCCCAGGCCCTGTGCAAGGAAGGGGAAGTTGCTAAAGTCGTTCACAGGTGGGACGACCCCGGGAACGTTTGGTTCTGGGAAGAGGAACTCCAAGACAGGCTGGACATAGCGACCGGCGTTAATCTTGTTGTCGGTGAGCTTCTCACCGGTGGAAGCACGAATGACATATTCGCGAGTGTACTTAGAGGTCGTGGTGGTTCCTGCTCTCCACTCCCACTTGTTACGAGCATCTCCTCGCTTGTAAGGGGCAGAGCCAACGGATCTTTCTGTCTCTTCACCAGTGCAAGGGTCGACATCAATAGCAGAAACTGTGATAGCGGCATTTGGATCCGAGGTATAGCCAATGAACTACCTTTTATTAGCATATTATCCATCTCGTGAGTACCGAGTCGTGAGTGCTTACTCTGGAGTCACCAAACTCTGAAGTTGCTCCACCATCGTAGATACCAACAATAGCGTCCTCGACTCGTATGAAGGTAGGAGCACCCGAGGTTGTGATTTGTACGTTAGGTGCAACGATCGTATAGCAGACGATAGTACCACCGATGTTGACACCAGAATATTCAAGATAGTCGCCCACTTGGAAGGGTGCCATCTTCAAGGCGTCAGGAGCTTGGCTGTTGGCTATCAGTACGAGGAACGAAGCGCACTGGTGGAATTGATCTGCTTACAAAGTGCTTTGGCCTGCTGGTCGGTTGCTTGAAGGACAAAGTGGGTCAGACGAAGACCTTGGGATACACATCGGGAAGCCGCTGAATGCGGTGATGGAAGGGTTCTCGTCGTCTGCAGTATACAGAGGAGAGTCTTTGTAGCCGACGGAGTACACTCCGTTGGGGTCATTGATCCTGATGGTTGGGCCACCTTTGATCTTCATTGTGCCGGCGGCAGAGTTGATGCTTTCGATCGTTCCTGAACTGGCCTGTAGAAGGTATTCTCCGATCTGCACAAGACCAGCAATTGCTTTGCCATTGACGACATTTCCGATCACCCTGCCATCGTATTGTTAGTATGCTTGACAGAAGTTTGAGGCGGGAATATACGCACGAGACTTCATGACCAATGAAGCTGTTCGCACTAGCAAAGTCTTTGAAGGGCGAGAAAGCAGCAGGAAACTGCACTTGGAGGTTCTGAGGAATTGTGACAGAGTAACCATTGACAGAAATGGTACCGCCAGAGTTGTAAGTGCCATCACTGGCAGTTGCACTGTCAAGCCTGCCGTCGAGAATGAAGGGTTCGACAGTCTGAGCAGCTGCTCGAGAGCCCAACAATGCAACAGAGAGGAGTTTGAGGGCAGTAGAAAGCATATCGGAGAAGTTTGTAGGTTTGAATTGATGGAAAGCATACTTACAACAAAGACGAGTGGCTTTATATCAACATCTATGCTACCAGGCACAGTATGGACATGGCCGTGTTTAGGATACCTCTCACATTGTCACGACACAAGACATTCTCGACTGATCGCAGCTGTGTATACAACCATGTCACTCATCTGTGCATATGAACAAACTTGGATCAGGTCAGATCAGAATAACTTTCTTGGCAGTAATAACCATGTCTCAAGGATCAGGGACATGGGTAGGGCAGACGGAAACGAGAGGTGTGCCTGTCTGCTTGATCAGCTGACAGGACTTTTTTCGAGTATGAGTCCGCTTTCGCTTGACGACAAGGGACTGCTGTATGTGGCAAGCGAGGTAGACAGGTCGAAGCCACAGGTCTGGGTTTGGGGCGAGTATCTTGTACAACGCCTCTCACAGCTGAAATAGCACGAAGTGTAGGCAACTCCGGGGGCTGATGCATCGGAATGTCTCCAAAGCCATCACGACGGAACATTTGCCCAAACCTTACAGGCAGTGGGTAAGCGAGAAGCAGTTGTTCGAGTATTCGTCAATGTTCGAGACCCCGGTACCGAGTACCGAGTACACACAGACAGCACCAGATAACAAGCATCACCGCTCAGCTGCCGAGCCTTCGAGCTTGGCACATAGCGGGAACGAGACCGTGACATTGGTACCAGTGACAGAGTGAGCACTGGGTAGAACAAAGGCAGAACAAAAGCGGAGAGTTTTGGAGAGATTGTCTGTACGGATGGGGAGAATCAGGGAAGGATCCGAAATGCAGTCAGCGCCAAGTCTCCTCCACAGATCGCAGGCCTTGGCGAGGTCATCCCGATTCTGTCAGCCTCACGAGCCGCTTTCTTTTGAATCTTCTCCTTTCTGCTCCTCAACAACGAGCCCAAATTGCCCATCGATCTACCCAGCGACTGTCCACCCACGTCTAACCATCCCTTCCACTCCCAAAGCCTGAATAACCGATATATGCCTCTTCGGAGGGTTTTACGATGACCTGCGTTTGTAAAGTCTTACTCTTGGCGAGTGCAGCCACAACCAGAGCAAAAGTTCATATGTACTTCGTACACTCGCCTTTCCGTCTTCAGCTCTGAACTCTATAGAGAAGCACGGCCCGATACCCCATATCCAGCTATTCCGGCAGCACATCACCCGCATACGGCTCGAGAACCTGCTGCCAAGACATGACAATTGCAGACAGTAGTTCTGAACATCCCTGTACAACCGAGCTCATTGGTAGTCGATATCCATTTGCTATTCTTGGCCCGATCAGCTGGTTGCCAGGATGTACAAGGTGCCAGCCCTATGCTTCAATAGTCTTCTGCCTCTTGGACGTGGTCTTGACCATTTGGAGCATTCCAGCTCATCCCAAGTCCAGTGACAGAGAGCCTCGTTCCACTTGTCATGGATCCAAAGTCAGCTGTGAGAGGCTTGTCAATTTTGCTTACCTCGCGCATGGCACCAAGCTGGGACTGGACTCTGGAATGACACCTCCATGCTCGAGCGTATCTTCTACTCCAGACCTTTTGCCTCGTGGCATGAGGCGCCACAAGCCGCCTTCTCGCCACGTGCAGTCTCTACTTCGAAGTATCAGACTCCAGCTGGTTTAGAGAGGTAGGGATGTGGGCGGCGATTCCGAGGTCCTCCACCTTGTATAGCCCATTCTGGAAGTGATTGTAGCACGACAACGGGATATACCTGATCGAAACATGCGGACCAGAAGAGTAGACTCATAGTAGGCAATTGTGTATATATATGGCCGACTCTGGCTCCAGTAAGTCAGAAACAACAATCGCCTTCTCTCGCTTCTTTACATCGCCTCCTCCTCTGGCCTACCCATTCCCTCGCTTCTTTCCTCCGCCTCATCTCCTCGCTCTTGCTCTCAGTCCATCATCGCCAACTATGCATCCTCTTCTGCTACTTGCTCTATTCCCCTTGGCTCAGGCCAAAGACTGGGACTCTCGGCCTTACAAGAACTTCTTCGAGTATCCTCTGCCGATTCCTCCTGTTAAAATTCCTGTCAAGTAAGCACCTCTATCAGTCTCTGTACACGACAGATTTTCTGACGATAATCAGATCGTTTGAAAACATTGACTACTACGAGATTGATATCAAGCCTGTCGACATCGAAATATATCCTGGCATCAAAGCGCGCCATGTTGGATATGATGGTATGGTTCCCGGACCAACTTTCAAGATGAAACAAGGCCGCGAAGCTGTTGTTCGCTTCATCAACCATGCCGACCGTGCGAACTCAGTCCACCTTCATGGATCATACAGTATGTCTTGCTATCTTGTCAGACATGATTACTTGCGATATACTGACACATTGTCTGCAGGCCGTGCACCATTTGATGGATGGGCTGAGGACACTACCGAACCTAACCAATACAAAGATTACTACTATCCCAACGCACAGGCTGCCAGGACGCTTTGGTACCACGACCATGCTGTCGGACACACCGCCGAGAATGCCTACTATGGACAAGCAGGCTTCTACATCCTGGAGGATGCTCATAAAAACTCTCTCAACCTCCCCTCTGACAAATTCGATATCCCTCTTGCTCTCTCGGCCAAGCGCTACAACGCCGATGGCACACTTTGGGATCCCGAGCTCAACGGAGAAACCACCAGTGTCTTTGGTGATATCATCCAGGTCAACGGTCAACCTTGGCCATACCTCAAGGTGGAGCCTCGTAAGTATCTGTTCCGCTTCCTCGACACTTCTATCAGTCGTTCTTTCCAGCTCTACGCTGAAGCAGACAAGAACAAAGGCACCCGCATCCCCTTCACAGTCATCGGCTCGGATGCGGGCCTTCTTGCGAGCCCTGTTGACACTACCCAACTCGACATCTCCATGGCGGAAAGATGGGAAGTCGTTTTCGATTTCGCCAAGTATGCTGGTCAGAACGTCACACTCAAGAACACCGGCAAGGTCGCTGCAGACGATGACTACATTGCCACCGACCGTGTGATGAGATTTGTTGTTGGTGATACTGTCCTCGATAACACCAACAACGATCCCCTGCCCGCAAACCTTCGCAATGTTCCATTGCCACCAGCCAAGTCAGGCGTCGACCGTTCTTACGAGTTCATGCGCAGCAATGGCGAGTGGCAGGTCAATGGTGTCACTTGGGCCGATGTTGAGGACAGAGTCATCGCCAAGCCAGAGAGAGGCTCTGTGGAGCGCTGGGAGCTTATCAACAGTGCAGGCGGTTGGAGTCACGTATGTGTTCCCTGCTGCGTTTCCATCGAGACTATGCTAACTACCCACTGTAGCCAATTCACATCCATCTTATCGACTTTCAGGTTGTCGGTCGCAGTGGCGGCACTCGCGGAGTGCTTCCTTACGAGCAGACCGCATTGAAGGATGTTGTGTGGTTGAACAAGAACGAAAAGGTTCAAGTCCTTGCTCGCTATGGCCCGTAAGTACACTCAGCATGTCTTGCGAGATCTCACACTAACATGAGGCATCCAGATGGGATGGTCTCTACATGTTCCACTGCCACAACTTGATCCACGAAGACCACGACATGATGGCCGCTCTCAACGTCACTGCGCTAAAAGACCTCGGTTACGACGAAAAGACCTCCTTCATTGATCCCATGGATACCAAGTACCGCGCCAAGGCCTTCAAAGCCGAGGATCTTGAAAACCGCAAGGGCGACTTTGACATCGACACCATCGAAAAGAAATGCAAAGACTTCCAAGACATGGATGCATACAAAAAAGTCAATGAAGTTGAGGAGAAGCTTGAAGAGTATTGGAAGACCAGACAGTCACAGACAACATTGCAGACCGTGACTTCGTCGAGCAGCAGCAGCAATTCTGCTTCTGTGGTCGCTTCTAGTGCTTCTCAGGCTGTTTCCGGTTCTGGTTCTGGATCATCGGTCGCGTCTGCACCCGTGGCTTCCTCGGCCGCAGTGGCTAGCAGTACACCAGGAAGTACTCTCGTTACATCGGCAAGCTCGGCGAAGACGACCTCTTCCACAAAGAGCGATGACAAGGGTGGTAAAAAGACTACATCCTCATCGACCGCCGCAAAGTCATCGAGCAAGAAGAAATGAAGTTTCTAAAGTCTGTTGTTTTCTTCTCTATCGGCGTTTGGGTTGGGCTTCAAAGATTTTGCATTTGTTTTCTTGTACATAAAACATTACATTCTTTTCCAGATCTGATTGCTGGAACATCCGAACGCGAATTGTATACTGTTAAGACCTTGGAGACAAATGCCTACAATCCTGCAACTTTATATTGTGTCTCGTTCGAGATTGCCGTCGTTTGATAAAGTTGTATCGAGCAGTATCAGTGGTCAAGCTGGGTGACTGTGCCACCAATAGGCCGCAACTTCGCATCATGATATCAGATAGAGAATCGCAAGTCCACTGAATTGCCTTACTAGAATTGTCATACATCTGAAGCGTCTTGTAGCTTGTATAGATTGGATATTCCCTGCAAATACTAGACGGATGGTATCGCGAAATGCAGTGATTAGTGCGACAGAGCTCCCAGCTCATGTGTGAACAGAAAGGTGAAGATCGGTTAGGTTCAAATCATAATTTAAAGATCATAGAACTCCCAAGCCGCCTTGTGGCCGGGCTGCAGCTTCCTGTCTTGCATCAAAGCCCTGAGGATTTCGATAGGCATTTCTCCCTCCTTCAGTATCCGGTCGTGGAACTCCTTCTCTGGCATACCAGCACCCTCGACCATCTCCTTTCGCATAGCATAGATCTGCAATGCTCCTAGCATATATCCGGCTTGATATAGCGCATTGTAATCGCCATTGAAACTTCGCCTGACTTCACCTTCGGCGGTGGCTCTCTCATGCCCAACCTTTTCAACCAAGTAGTCGATGCATTCTTGGGGCGTCATTTGACCCATATGGAACTTGAGGCTGAAGACGATGCGAGCACAACGATGCATACGCCAGAAGAGCATACCGATCTTTTCTTCTGGGGTCTCGGCGAACCCACGGTCCCATAGAACAAACTCCCAGTAGAAGGCCCATCCCTCAATCCAGAAAGGCGTCGTGAAGAGGCTTCTGTAAGACCTGTATCGCGCGATCATATGCATCTGTAGATGGTGACCAGGGATTAGCTCGTGGAAGACTGTGCTCCGCGACATGGGTCTATTGTTTCCACGCATAGACATCAGCTTATCTGAATGGGACATCGTATCGGTCGGATACGACACGATGAGATCTTCGCCTCCGAGGAAGAAAGGATTCACTTTTTGTCGCTCGGGTTCCATCATGAAGGTTCTCCAGCATTCTTCAGCTATGACTGGAACTGTGACCAGGTCATGATGTTTGACATAAGCTACTGCCTCTGCAGACAGTTCATGAACCAGACGCGTCTGTTGACCAGGCTCTACGTAGAGGTTCTTGACGTGCTCCAGAGCAGCTCTCCAATCCACTCCGTACCCCAGTGCTCTAGACGCTTTGATCATCTCATTCTCGCACCAGGCATATTCCTTATCGGCGATTTTGATCAGCTCCTCGGGACTGTATGCGATGAATTGAGCGTCGAGGTCTGCTAGGATACCCGAACGCCCGACCGGCTGCCCGACTATATCACCGGTAGAGTCATTGGAAGAGTCTCCAATCAGTCTGCTGTTCACAGTCGCTCGGAACGAATTCAGTTGCCGGAGTGTTTGCTGGAAGGGAGCAGATGTCCACCACGTAAATTCTGGATCGTATCCCTTGTAGAAATTCATCCATTCTTCTAATGCCACTCTCAGCTCACCAACGTAGTTGACTGCACGGTAAGCTGCAAAGCGGGCTGCTGGATCTTGAGATTGAGATCCGTTCTTCGTGATCGCGTGAAGCTTCCTTGTCACGTCTTCAGACACAGCCGAAAGAGCCTCTGCTGCATATCTGCCTGTAGTCGGCACGACTCTTTGTCTTCGCTCGATGAGATCGACCAGATTGGATGCGAATGGTTCAATGATAGACTCTAGTTCTTCGAGAGAGCTTTCAAATTCCTCCAGAGCTTTGAGCTGCCGATTCAAGTACTTCTCCAGTAGTACATAGTCGATTTGATCCTCGGAATCCAATTGATCCAATCGGACAGCTGCCAGCTCGGCTGACTTATCGCGGAAATACTTCTCCAAGCGACGAACGCGTGTTTTGGAAAACGTGATTTTGTAGAATTTCTTAATGTCTGATATGTCTGCTGTGACGCATTGGATCATGAGACTGATGAGTCCAGAGCTGGCACGTTCATGGCCTGCGACTGGTAATCTGACTCTCATGTTTGTTGGGATAAAAGCAGAGAATGAGGTGGATGTCCAGCACTGTATGATGAGTGTGCTCCTCTACAAGTGGAATGAGGTGTGGGAAGCTCCACCCTATCAAGCCTGCCACGTTACATCGCAGGAAGGCGCGATAGCTTCTCAGACCTCGGTTAAATGCCGTATACCTTATCGCGACGGCGATCATGCTCCCATAGGATAACCCACTCTCCCAAGACGATTCCGGCGATCGTTGAACGTGGATATGAGCGAGTTGAGAATACTGTTCGGACGTTGTTCGATGTAGTGACAAAGAGCACCTGATTTGCCTGGCTAGAAACAAGTCCGCGTTTGGCACTCGTTGAGACGATTCGTTCTCAACGTAGTCAGTATGTTGAGGACACAAACGCGTCCTGTCACGTCGCTTCCTTAATAATTGCGCCAATACGTACATCGTCGGTCACTATCTTCAGTCCGATACTGCACCCAACGACACCATACTGATATCAAACACCTCATTGGACTCGTGATCCGACATGATCTTGTCAACCATCCCACCGCTCGCCAATCTCGCCAACCCATCTGCGTAACCATCAGTCGTCATCAGAAGCTTATGTGACTGACTCCCACGCCCATTACTAGACAGAGTCCGGAACACGTGTAGCAAACACTCCGTATGTGTTCTGTCAGATCGTTGCTCAAGCGCTTGAACACCATCTATCACACACAGCACGTCACCAGAGATTACAGATAGCATATCTTTCATCACAGCTAGCAGCTCCAAAACAGACGCGTCCGGAACGAAGCATGCACTCAATCTTGCTGGCGAAAGACTTCGATCACTGGAGAACTTCTCAGGAACAAATCGAATGGCCTGTGCTATCATCGATTGAAGCAGCAGAGATAGACGCTCCTGAACTGTCCACTTCCGTCTGAGTTCCAATGCGCACAGGTGCGATATGACCTGGAACCCGGAGCTTTCGGCTGCTGCAGTGACGTACAGCGCAGTCAGGGTGTTTTGAGATGGTGTTGGAGTATCCGAAGGTCCTTCTACCCACAGACACGTCGTATCCGCGCCATGTAGCAGCTGCTTGAGACGCATGGCCACCCGGGTATCTACATGAGCTCTGCTCGCTCTAGGGATGAGCTGTTTCACGTCTTCATCGTGTTTGAGCAACAACGAACGGATAGCGGCGTGGGTGTTGAGGAGATCTCGTCGCAGATATTGGACTGCCTGCTTGTCAGGTAAAATTTGCTCGTTTTCTGATGTGACGCTAGCATTCGGAGAATTAAGCAGCATCGCAGCAGCATTGCCTGTGATGGCAGTTCTCGAGTTCGCCTCTTCCAAGAATCTCTGCCCACTAGATCCCAAAGCGCGTAACATGGCCATGATCCGGGAGGCTGCCAAATCCGAAGATGCCTCCTCCTTTGCCACGATGGTATTGAACATGTCGTCGATTCGTGTTGCCCGTTCTAATCTGGCTTCACGCTCGAGCTTGTCGGAGATGGAATTCACTTTGCGTTGGTGAGCCGTGAACAGGTTGTCGAAAGCGTTCTTGTCAAAGGAGCTGACCAGACGTTTCCATTAGACGGGAGGATGAGAAGAAGAGGGCGAGTGGGAGGAGTGATCGTAATGATTATGGTGATTAGTAGACGATAGGAACATTCGATCGACGGCAAGCCATCTGAGAGTCGAAGCAGTAGTCGAATAGGATCAATGTAATGCATTCCATAGATTAAATGTGTAAGCTCTGCCTAATAGTCATGCCTCATCAAAAACCGGTAAACGACCTGCGGGTATCTCTTTTGACCGAAAAACAAAAAAGAAAAAAATTCATCATCAAAGCAAGTGCCAACGCCGAAGAGCCACTCCTTCCTTTCCCATTTTGCAATCATCCTCTCATCTCAACCTTTTGACTGCCAAATTACCCGGCAACAGTAACGATGGGTCTGCGATAAGCTTCATACTCAGGTGGCAGATCAGTAAACTCTGGGGTCTCGAGATCGTTATATGACCAACTGCCCCTGTGTTCAGCAGCAAGCAGCTCCTCTTCATATCTGAACTCGGCCAACTGTGCCTCAGCAGTGGATGAGCTTCGTGATGCAACGTCAACCTCGCCCTTGCCCTCAGCCGAGATCTGCAGTGGAAGCTTCAAATCAACAGAAGGGAAGCCAACACCAGCAGAGTGGATGCCGAGAGAGAGACCCAGCGAATAAACGCGAGAAACAAGACAACCGTGGAATGTAGGCACGAAATGCTTGTCCTTGGGAAGCGCGACCGGAACCACGATTTCTGCAGTCCAGAAGTTTCCGCCCTTGTAGTTTGTGCTTGGGCTGGAGTATTTGGGGATTTCCTGGTGGGAGAGACCTGAGTCGCGACGAGCGAGTTGTTCATCTGTGGATTCTGACTCTGTTCGCAAAGTCCAGTCCACTGAGGCCATGCAGCGTGATGAGAGTCCGATGTTAACCGAGTGCGAGCCTTGCCTGTGGTCGAAGAGGACGTCCTTTTTCTTGGGAAAGTCCATGCGGGCGCCGGTAGCGTAGAAGGTTGTAGTCTTGAGTTTGCTGTTCAGGCTCCCGAGACGAGGTGGCTGTGACTTTGCATCTGCTGGGTCGAAGCGTAGTCTGACGGTTGCTACTGTGCTGACGATTGTATCCTCGGGATTGTATGATTTGGGAAGCCGAAGCGACTTTGGCTGTTCGGCCCCGATGATCAAGGTGCCAAGCTTACCCTTGAACATGCCCTTCTTGATCGACTTCTCAGACCTCAAGATGTAGTCACTGTCGCCGAGAATGTTGACTGGTGGTTGCTCATCCACGGTAGGAACGATGCGGATTGTCTTCATCTTTGTTGCCAGGTTTTTTGGTTCGGTGCTGATGTCGTTAGCTGCGGTGATGCGAGCAGCGATCTGGTATTGGATCTTGGCCATGTCTGGACCCATGTCATCATGAGTTGTGAGAGTAGCCAAGCTTGGGGGCAGCTGAAGATGGCAATCACGGATGGACTCGTGCTGCACTTCGTGTTTGCAAACACGAGGGAGCAAGCGCTGAGGGACAACAAAAACAAAAGGGAATTCGTAAGTTCGTCCTGGTTCGAGGATTCTGGGTTGTGGATAGCTTGACTCTTGGATGGGTTGTCTGAGTTTGAGGAATTGATGGAAGGCAGAAGCGCCGCCGGCCAGACCAGGTGTAGATGGCATCTTCTCCAGGAATGTCTTGGTGGTGCCTAAGGTGAAGGTTAGTCATGCCATGTGGAAGTGGAGCAACATCGCAAAGCATACCGATAAACTGAATGTCAATCTCATCGAACCTCGTGCTGTGAGAAACGGCGATCTCGACCTTGCCGGAAAGCCTATCTAGTGTCGAGTATGATGATTGTTCATCGTTGAGAACAATGTTGATGTGAGGCTTCGATCCCAATGCTAGCGTGCGCAATCTGGAAGCCATGGCTCCAGTGGAGGATGCATATGATGAAGCGGAGGACATGATGTTGGAGTTGAGATACGACGAGCACTCTTGCCGGACAAAGAGCGACCAATAGGAGACTCGAGGTGCGGGGATAGCTTCAGTATGTAGATGGTACAAATATATAGGTATCAAATGTTGACTGCTCGACGAGGAAGGCGACGAGCGATGGAAAGTGAAAAGCGAGTACTGTGGACCTACTATGATGCGAGATCGTCTTTTACTTATATGATGTTTGCGTGCTCCAGGAAAATTTGACTCACCTTTTCCCGATGGCATGCCACGCCCTGATTGATCATCGCGCCCTGCCTTTGACACGAAAGGCGCAAGAAGGTGCCTTCGGTGTGAAATGCTTTAGCCGCATCCGGACGACATGCCGCGCCCTTCTTGACGACAAAAGTCTCTGGGGAAAGCTCGATCGGCAAGCGGTTTCCCCATGTGCTTCCCGTGCCCTTCGAATGCTTTACATCTGCTTCTCCGATATGAACAGCCTATGATTTTCCCGCATGCTCAACCTGCTTTTCTGGATGGAATGAAAACTCTTGTCTTCTATCTGAATTTCCATCAAGAACACATCGATGCCGATGCTCACTCCCGTTCTTTGTTTTTGGCTCGCGAACGTGTTCTTGACCGCTAGGCACCTAAGGGAAAGCACACCTCAACAGAACCTCTAATAGTAGGTATAGCCTGAAGATTAGTCAGTGATGATCGCTAATAGGAGGTGCTGCCGGCCATGTTGTACTAGGTTTATTGCATGCCTCTCGCATCATCCAACTGTTTGGACCTATCGTATGACGAAGCTTACAGATCATCAGATCAGTCCTGTAGAATTGTATCTGAACAATACTTTCTACATGGTCATCCTCGTATTGCTTTGCAGAAACTCCACGCAGGAGATGTTTTCCGGTTGGGGCCTCTGAGGCTACAAGCAGCAGCCCTAGGAGTTCTTTGTTTCTTGCGCCGTTCACGGAGCCGGTTGTGGCTTGCCCATGTGAAGCAAAAAGTTTGCCGACAATGATTTTCCGACGGGAAACATGCGGCCTCCACATTTTCCTACCCACCCTGACCTTCTGCCTGGCCGTCTCCGGAGCTCTTTATCATCTGCTTTTACTCGATGGGCTTACCCCATGCCGTGCTTGCCGTTCTTTTTCTATGGATTTCTGACCAAGCAACGGCTCACTCTACATCATATAGAAAGCCTCTCGTGTGGACATACCATACAAGGACGATGACTCAGAAGACTCAAGCCTCTCTCCAGGCTGCCAATTCGATAGCTAGAAAACATCGTTTCTTTGTCATCTTTGAAGATGATCAGCAGGAGTCATCCCAGCTCTTGAGCACCCCGCATGTTTGGGTGAGCAGGGGAGATCTGGGGATCATCACAAAGCCTCACGGTCCGGACGCCCGATTGAGAGCAAAACTGATAGCCGAAATGGCGCTAGCGATCGGTCCGTAGGTTGACGACGTCTCGCTCGTTGTCTTCTGTCTCCAGTACTAACCTGCACATATCAACTTCTGACGACAAGCACGAGTTTATCTGATCACGTCAAGCAGCTCGAGTAGACTGTACACGCCAAGGGAACCTAAGAGTTGCTTCAATAGAACAACCTCACCAACATGTCTGGCTGGGCACGGATAAGAGGTCTCCAACACATATCGAGAAGCACCCCTGATCGTTAGCTGACATGTGTATCCTCCAGATGCTGTCTTGACTTCCAAGTGGAACAAGCCTTTCCCGGTGACCATGATTCCTTCGGCCATCGGAGTATACATGGCTATCTACTTTGCCGAGAAGCAGAGTGAGCGCCAGAGACAGATTCTGGACGAGATCAGAGCACTCGGTGAGAAGGATTTGGATGCGGTAAAAGCAATCGCGAGCAAACCGCGATGAAGATTCCATCATCATTCCCGGAGGGGCGGTTTAATAGAAGGATTCGATAACCTTGATGGGCAGGTGGGTACAGTGTGTGTACTTTGACTTGCTGATGCCTAAAGCTAATATTGGAAGCAGATAGTGCGACTGGAACCCACGTGTTGTGTATAGTGCATATCTCTGTTGCTTGTATATATGGACTCATACGTCTCGTCACTGTATCCAGCTCAAGTGTCGGCTCGAGAGCATGTATATGTTGGTACATAAGAGTTGACCAACAAGCCAACAATTGGTGGTCTTTACACGATCAAACGAGTCTCACCATAACCCAGATAACACGAAGAACATAAGCAATAGGATGTCTCAATGTCATTGTATATCGTATCTTCATACCAACCTCCCAGGAAAGACCAGCGACTTTCATGCCCTTTGCCCTCGTATCCATGGCCCTTATGAAGCAGCAAAGCCTCTAGTACAGATGATCTAGAGCTTAGCCTTCGCCTGCATCTTCTTGAAAATCGGCTCCATCTTCGTCGCCTTCATGACATCCCCCTTGACCTTCAACTTGCCACTCATAAACAACTTTTGCGCATTAGCCTCTCCTCTCACCAACTTTCCAAAGTCGCCATCACTCAACGACATGGTGACTGCAGACTTTTTGCCATCGGGAGCTGTGCCTTTGCCTGCTTTGCCGGCGTCTTTGAGATCAATGTGCCAGGATTCTTGGGCGCCGGACTGGTTCTTGAGGGTGAAGGCGAAGATGGCACCGCCTTTTTTGATGGCGTCGGCGCGTTCGGTGGAGGAGGTTAGGGCGGCGTTTATGGCGTCGAAGGCGGCTGAAGAGGGGAAGTTGGCTGTGAGTTGGTGTTAGTAGGAGCTTGGAGTTATGGTGGAGGAGTGGGAGAGAGTGAAGCTTACGGTCTGCGATGGACATTGTGCTGATGATTTGGAGGTTCCGAGAGAAGGAGTGGATGTCGAGGTGTTTTCGTGAGTGCTGTAGAGTCGGTAGATGTGATAGCAGGGTGTCGAGAAGATGGTAGTCGAGTATGGGTAGCAGATGAACAAGGAGCACTTCGAGCTTTCATGAGCCCCATCAACAAGTGCGCATACCGAATCCGGGGAGCCGAGGCAGCAAATCGCATGTGAATTTCTTGGCAATGACGGCACCATCTGGCTGTGTTTGACTTTCTGACCCTTCTTCATGTGAAGCCTCACTCCTTCATGTGAATGAGATCTTGTTCATGTGATTTCATCGGATTGGATTTCGAGATGCCTTGTCTCAGGCGCTGAAATTGTGCAATGACGATCTATATGACTACAAGCATAGCAAAACATATCGTAAGTCGTTAACGAAGGAACCTAGCATGCTCGTCCAACCTCGACCATCTCGGTCGCTCCAACAGCTTCATCTTGCCTCGTCACGGTAGGTCTCTGTGGTGAAGCATACATCGGCGGCGCCGTATCCGCGCTACTTCTCTGCTCGCCCTCAGCATCGCCAACGCGTCTCCAATGCAACAGCTCAGGATCCATGCGATAGCTCCCTCTCCATCGACCATACGCTGGCGGCGGAGGCCGAACATTGGCTGGGCTTGCTTGAGAGGCCGTCTCGACATCCTCATCATCCGCTTCGTATTGGACCATGATTGGACTGTTGGGGATCAGACTCTGTTCTGCCTCTGTGAGACGGCCAGCTCGCCATCGTGCATCTCCAGCATTTGCATCCTCGGACTTGTCCTTGTATCGATTGATGGCCTTGTGCAAGCGGACGGAAAAGAGAAGGATAAACCCAGCCACAACGACAAACACTCCGACTATACACACATGGACGCTGGTGGGTATGTCGTTGACTTTGGGCATCGCCATTGCCACGTCTTTGGCATGTCAGCTCGGCTTCGAACCTACACACGGGCAAACTACTCACATATGCTTAATGCTACCACCAGTAGCACACAGAGTATACTGGTCATGATAGATGTGTTGCGTACTTCGACATATCGACGGCCCTTCCTTCGTCGACGAGTGGCGGGTACTTGTTGTCGTGTCTGGGGCTCTGTGCACTCTGCATCGGTCCGTGTACACAAAGGTGATCTGTTCGCTACAGCATCCGGAACCAGTACAAGTGTATCTGTGTCTGCGAGCGGTAATGCCAATGCCTCTCTGCTGATGACGGATGAGCATCTCATTGACAGCACTGAGTGATGGGCAGTCCCCTGTGTGTTTTATCAGCGACCTGAACATTGGCACTCGGACGTGGAGCAATAGCTTACGCCCAGAGACAATGATCCTCTTGCACTGCGAAGAGGTGTATACGATGCAGTGGAGTCCTGTCGACTGTGGTTCGATGTCGATGAAGCTGGTGAATCCTCTGCTGTTCCGGATGGTGAGACTCTTCTGGATGCAGACCGAAGAGATTCTCCTACTCGAGTATCGACGTGAACGCCGCTCAGTCGACTCTCTCGACGAGTCTCCACCGTCGAGTTGGTCTCCGCATCTGCTCGCGAAACACCGTTCTCGACGTGTCTTGCAGGCGTTCTCGGCTCTCCATCGAACAAAGATATCTCAGTCATACTGTGATTGAGCATGCTCAGTCTCGGACTCGGCGACATCGTGCTTTACTACAGCTTTAAGAATTAAGGTTCAACAGAGTGAAAGCTTGAGTTGTTGACAAAAGATCAAAGCAAAGGATCGAGGTGTTGTGTTTACCTGCATCAATGGCTGGCCCCAGATCTCATCCCTGCGCTTCGGTCAACTTTCCTTCCACTTTCTGCTCAATTTCCTCATACATGCCACAGAAATATTGGTTTTTTGCAAACTGTTTGGATAAAACACTGATCTTGCATGTGCCATAATCTTCGTGGATGTCTTTGGCTCTGTGATATTCCTACGTGTGTTGCTCGATGAGTACTTTGTGATAGAAGAAGTCTTGGGGGGATCTTTCTTGCGTTGACTATTGTAGCCATTGATCAATACTTTTCGATGAGCACTGTGGCATCCATGTTGCCAAAGTACTTAAAAGAAGGAAGTGAACGTGTGATTTCAGTTCTTCGATACGAAAGAGTGAAAGAATAAAGAATAAAGTAAAATTATATGTATGCAGCCATTTTGCCATATATTCATACCACCCACCACCCATCGCCAGCCATACACTTTGTAATAGGTACCCAGATATCCTTGCTCCCAACTCTGCAGTCCCAACAATAAAGAAATAGAAATATTCATATAGTTCATGCTTGTCTTTTGTGCATCGATTGCAAACATAGCCCCGAATATAACCGCAACACAGACATCCTTGATAAAAAGATACAGAAGATAAAGGGAAAACAAACATCAGTTTTCCAAGATCAGTAAGCATGAACTTCTTCTCATGTCGATGGCTTGAGTAAAGCAACAGCTAAGCCTCCACCAAGGCCTAGACCATCTGTAGCAGCGTTTTGTGTGCTGCCGACTACACAGTTGACGGGTCGTGCTTGCTCGACATCATAGACAGCCACATTGCAAGTTGTAGATCCAGAACCGGTGGAATACATGCTGTATGTCGCACACATTTCTATGCAGTCGTCAAAGGTGTATACGAAGCCAGAAGATAGAGGTTTGAAATCAGAAGGTGTATTGGTGTCGCAGTAGCGTGTATATGCCGATCCTGCAGGTGTAGTGGTGCTGTTGGCCACAGAGCCAACGAGAGAGGAAGTATTGGAGATGGTGGAGACAAAGATAGTGTTGTTCGCCGATGGACACGCTGATAAAGGCACAAATGTTGGCGTTGATAGTACGGTGGTCGATGCAGATGTTGTGGTGGTGGCGGATTTTGCGACTGTTAGGCTCGGTCCTGATGCGCCGATTGTGCGGACGCCAGTTGGCGATTGTGATGTTGATGTTCTGGAAGGCATGTAAGTAAGCGACGTGAGTGGATACCCACAGCGTACGTACAGGTTCTGATCACTGGCCATCGCTTCTGCATTCGCGGCATGAGATGCATTACGCCCTACTGTACCACCCACCACCGCACCGACTACTATCAAGACAAAGACCAGTGCTACTAGCAGAAAAGACCGCATCTTCATCCCAAAGATGATCCGCGGTGGCTTGTTGATCTCGCGATATTGTTGTGCGTTGAAACTCGAGGGATAGTTGTCCATGCTGGTCACCGGGTACTTGTCCGAGACAGGATATGTATTGTCATCGTACTCGAGTCCATGTTCGGGTAGTACTTCAGGAGCATTATGGTATTGATAGACGCCAGATAGTCGTTGAGGTTCGTGATGTTGTGGTTGCTGGAGTGAGAACCGGTGTGAATGTAGCTTTTGGAAGGTCAGCATCGTTCAAGCTACGTGATATACAACTGAGTTGTCTATGACCGACTCAATAGGACAGTCATGAGTTACGAGGAAGATGGGGAAGTGGCAATGATCAGGAACGGCCGTGTCAAACATGTACGTACCTCTGTCGAAGCCATGATTCGGTTAAGCAAAAGCCAAGATGTTCTTATCGATCAAAGTGTTCCAGGAGAGTCTGAATACGAAGGGACGGTGGGTTGACAAGAAACGCGTAACGGGTGACAGATGAGATGGGTGGATGATAAAGAAGAACGAAGGATTGAACGGCTCCCACGAGGTGAGAGAGAAGTGACAGATAGGCAAAACAAGAAAGATTGAAAGCTCGGTACAACAAGATCAAAACCGGCGCCAAATCGCGAGCGAACGTACGAAACGAAATCAAAGCGGCCAAACGCGCTGCATGAAAGGGAGGAGTCAAAGTAGAAAGTAAAGAAGACGATCGCCAACAAGGAGGCCTGGTGCTGTACCTTGTGCCTGGGTTGCTGCAGATGCATACTCTAGCCCCCGGAGCCGCCGCATCCTAATTCCAACGTCCTGGTGAACGCTTGCAGAGAAAGAGGTAAAGATGGTCCGGGCAATGCATGTCATACTCCCTGTCCAAGAGCGCCAGAAACGTCAGGCAGACCTACCGATATTGCGTTATAAGATCTCTCCGATCGCAGGGTTGTGTGGATCTCGCGTTTGTTCCTGACAGCCCTGTCATGATGAAGAAGTGAGATACGGCGTCTCGACTTCGAAACATGGCTTTGCTGCATTGTCAGTATTGCAAAGGTCAGCTAGAAGGAAGGAAAAAGACACGATGTGGAGCTGGGCTATCGAGCCTTGTCCTCGTTGGGTAAGGTTGTTGCACAATCATGCAGCTTCGCCGCGCCCGTGTCACGCCGGCGATTTGGGTCTCGGTGCATGACCCCCTGAGAAGGATCATTGCATATTTGGTCGCACGCTTTCGCTCTGTGTCGCCAAACGAGATGGTTCACGTCACGACAAGGAGAGTTTGGCGATGAGTGGAGGATTGTTTGTGAGGACAGAAAAGGCAGCGGACCGCTCCTTCCTTCCCGCTTTTTGACAGATCAACCTTCGTTTTCCCCACCACCTGTTCTTGCCAAACAACGACATTCACACGTCCGTTTTTGACAGATTACGAGCAAGAGACCCGACACCGGAAACGAACATGCATGACACGGTCAAAGGATCTAGCGGGGTCAGCGACCAAAAATCAAGATAAATCGCAAAAACTTCGGAACCAAAAACCACAGGCAAATCTCCCGCTCGAGTCTTTCATGCAAGTCATCTAAAAGTTCCCGCAAAATGTGTGCAAAGGGCTGAGAACCCCCAGCGAAAATCAGTGACGGCATTGACCTGCAGGGAAAAGCAGACTTATATTGCTGTTTCTTACGCACGCTGGAGAGAATTCCAAATGTTTGATCGAGAGGGGACTATGCATGCTGCAACTAAAGTACTCACTTGCGATCTTGCCGCTACAGTCCCTTCTCGTTATAGCAATCATCCGTACAACGATAGTCTCGATTGAGCGATTATTTTCAACACCTGAGCCAACTTACCATACAATTATCGCTATTTCTCACCTTCTCGATATATCGCCTACTTCTGAGCCAATTATCGCTATATCGAACACGCCATGGCACCTCCGGAGCCTCGCCGCCGGCGCGCTATAACGACTGAGCAGAGAATATCGCTTCGTCGCTACGCACAACAACACCGCGCGCTCAATCAGCAACAGCTAGCTAGCTGGTTCGAGCAGCAATTCGGCCATCGACCCTCTCAAGGTACTATCTCTGAGAGCCT